ATCAATAAGCTGAGATGCACGCTTCTACAACTCGGCGCTTCGACCTATCCCTTCCTTAGCATGAGCTAGCTATGTGGTATGATTTATTAAGGAGTGCCTAAACTTATTACATTGGCAATAGATTTAGAGCTCGATCGAAACCTACGAGATTTCGGGAACGATAGGTATCAAACGGAGGACCTTAGATTACCTTGCCGAAATATCCCCGGTCGTGGTTGGACATAGGAGGATGCGGTAAATCACTGAGAGTGTGCGATATGGGTCGGAGTTAGTCTTAAGTAAGAGCTCCAAATAGGCACTCTGTTGAAATGTGTCCTCTTTATGATCACTTTAGCTTGTTATTCACAGATTTGTTTTACTTGTTTTGCTATTCAGTAAACTCACGAATTTGGTAAGATTTAACTTGAAAATGAAATACGCAATCAAAAATGTGATTTTAATACTTATATGAGGTTATTTGAATGCCAGAAAGCAATTTAGTAGTATAATGAAGTTCTAAATTAAAAAAGGAAGTCATAAAATTAGGTGAGATTAAAAGAGAAGTACCTAAATGCCGTTAGGTTAGAAAAGGAAACAAAAAAATAATTTTTTTTACTAATTTATTTATTTTTCTATTAAGCTCATACAACCAATTTTAGTACTAAAGTGTAATTAATCATCAATTTTCCATAGTCATCTCAACCACCATGTAGCACCTGAGAATCTCTCGATAGTGCGAAAAGCAGGAGTCTTTGCCGTCGATACACGGTAACTGATTTGCATTCACAAAGCAAGTGGCGAAATTTAAAAGCCAAAAAGTTAAAAAAGAAGTCGTGCGCCACAAAGAGCGCGTCGTTGCCGTACTGACAAAGCATTTTTTTCAGAGAAAAAAAGCGCTCTAATTACGGCCCTTAATTACATATTCCATTGTTCCGGGGACGCTTTTCGAGGCGATTTGCAAAAATGAACGATTTCCATTTCTACGCGGAGTCTTGGTTTTATTTGTTACGTGCCTATCGTAATGAGGTATAAAAGCGGCGCGGCATCAGTAAATTTGTATATAAAGCGACGACGAGGAGCATTTAAACTATCGACCCGGCTAAAAGCACGGCCAGACTGGAAGCCTCCTCGTTATAAATACCATCCTATTTTCTACTTTGCGACAATAAGTATCCTCTTACGGTGTCTAAGAACGTGTGTAGATTCACCAAGTTCAAGACCCTTAACGTTTATAAATGGATTTTGTTATATTATTCAAAATATTGATCAAGAAAACATAAAATGTAGTCTCTAACCTACATAGAACTACGTGCAAAATACCATATTATACCTTTACCAAAATCGCGTTTATGAAAGCAAATTATGTTTAACTAACACGCAAAGTGTAAATATAGATGGTAATAAACATAAAAGGACGTGAACGAAAACTCCTTGAAATGTACTCTTTTTGTACTTATTTCTAAATAAATTCAAATCGCCTCATTGACTTGGTATTTAACGTTTAACAAACAAATAAATCCAAATTTTCGATTTTCAATGTTCTACTAAACTCGCACAGAAATGACGCAATCATTGAATTAATCACCTCGCGGAGATTTGCATAACGAGTCTGGGTTGTAATCAAATCAAAATAGAACTGATGACCGTAAATGTATTCGTTACAAGAATTAAATACAACGTTTCTCGGTAAAACTGTGAACATTTTCTAAGAAATTAACACGTACTGAACGTAAATACAACATCACCTTATTGAAGCTAAAACAATAAATAAAGAAATAAATTCAGTAAAGTATTTATTATCGATGAATAAAGTATGTTTTTAGTATGTTTTAAAATAGGAAGTAATTTTTTATGCGTCGTATGTTTACGCAAGGTTACAACTTTAAGCATTTATTTTGTAAATGTTTTATTGGAATCTTTTTGCTATTTTAAACTTGTGTCACACAAACTTGTTGCAATACTTATCGGATGCCAACTTGTATAGAAACTATTATGTTCTTGTTAAATCGTTGCACGTAACTGGAATTGTATAAAATTTAATTGTTCTTAATTGAATATCGTCTTTAATAAACAACATAAAGAAAAACCTTTTTTTAACTCTTATTTATTTTTATCATTGATATTGTATAGATACAATAGAGTAAAAATAAAAAGAATTTCTGCCTCATTTTAAATAGAAAAGCTTTTTAATAAATCAATGAAAAGAAGGTCGCTGTTACGTAACCTGTAATATTCCAGATAGTATTTTATTAAATATTCAAATCTACGCTATCATAAAAAACGATTTTTCAAAGTCTATCGACAAATATTACATTATTTATAAACAATTTTAATATTTATAAATTGAATACCATATAATTAACAAATATATTTATTACACACAAAATAAAATTTCTTTTTTTCTTTCGAGTTATCTAAGGGCATATTATAAATTTATAAATTTTGCTCCTACGAGCTACCATATACCACATTCCATGAAAATTAATCACTCCTATTATTACGCAAGAAATCTTTCTGGAATATGCCATATTTTTACTGATGCAGCTGTATATACAAACTTGTATTATGCTGCTACAGTAACTCCAAAGACTGATAATCATAGTATTAGTCAATCTTTGGGATACCTTTATTGATGCAGCACGCTTTACTTCGTTTTTGTTAACATCTTCATTTTCACTGATTTAGTTTTAATATGGATTTTCTCATTTTCATCAAATCTTTCTCAGAAGTTACAGAGGATTACAAAAACTCCTACAATAACTTGCCTGGTAGCCTTGTGAATAAACTTGAAACATTTCTTGGTTTAATTTACCTTAACCACATGAAATAGTCAAATTATCGTATATAATTGTTACGGATTAAAAACATAACTGTAACTGTGCACAGAGCACACCTCCAGTTGGAAATGGATTGCTTACAAATAGTTTTATGAAATATGTATTTGATATTTGATATATATATATATATATATGTGTATTTGATATAGCTGTATATGATGTAGGTGAAGTAAGTACTCCATTAAACAGTATTGCGTTTCAATACAAGCGGCAAACGTAACATATTCGTAGTCCATCATATTGTAGATTGTAAAATTATGGCAGCTCTTAAAAGATAGTCCTTCATCGAAATTATCATTAACCACGAATGTGGTTAATCTACAGCCAATGGTGGAGTCCTTTCCCAAACCATAGATAATATAACAACCTCTTGCATTCTTTTCTAAAAAACTTTCGTCATCCCAAGTAAATTATTCTACGTTTGACAGAGAACTTTTATCAATATATTCAGCAATAACATTTTTTAAACACTTCTTGTATGGACACTAATTCACAATTTACTCTGACCACAAACCATTATTCTCTATACATTCTAAATCAGACAAAACACCTCGTCAAATTCGTTACTTACATTATATTATTCAATATACATCCGTTATCAGATTCATAAAAGGATCTTCTAATATAGTAGCAGACAATCTTTCATGCGCTGCACAAGATGACTTACAATAATTAAAAAAGCTTTTACAAAAGCAATCTTTGAGAGTCAACAAAGTTATCCTTTCACAAGAAGAAACTTCATTTTCTAAATTGAAAATTGGGTGTGAAACTTCTTCTTCTACTCCTAGAATTTACATCCCTGAAAAATTCCGTCATACTATCTTCGATAAATTTCACAACATTTCTCATCCAGGAATTCGTGCGACTCAACATTCACTCAAAACACAGTATTTTTGGCCGCGAATGAACAAGGACTATATCTTTGGACAAAATCTTGCCTTCGTTGTCAAACATCAAAAATGCACAAACACACAAGATCACCGCTTCAAAAATTTACTGTTCGGAAAGGTAGATTTGAACACATTCACATAGATCTCATAGGTCCTCTTCTATCTTCAATGGGTTACTCTTACATTCTGACGATCTTAGAACGCTTTACACGTTGGCCAGAAGCTTTTTACATCACTATTTTTCCAGATTCGGCATTCCACACACTATCACACACGATAGAGGCAGACAATTTGAGTCTCAACTTTTTTCTCAATTTAATAAACTATTAGGATCAAAACAAATCCATACTGCTTTTTTTCATCCGCAGAACAATGGTATTTTAGAGACATTTTAGAATCCTCAAAACGTCCATTGCAGCCAAAAGTAACAACAATCGCTGGTACGAAGAGCTTCCAATGATCCTTCTTGGACTCCGGTCTACTATCAAAGAAGATCTTGGATGCTCTTCCACCAAACTAATATATGGTCAACCGCTACGTTTACCAGGAGATTTTTTTATCAAATCGCAAAATTTTATCCTTTACTTATTAACTTACGTGAAACATTTTCAAAATTAAAGCCGTGCCCAACTTCATGTCATTCATCAACAAAACCTTTCATTCACAGAGATTTGTTTAAATCCAACTTTGTATTCCTTAAATTAGAAGGTATGAGAGGCGCATTGTCCCCTAGATTTGAAAGACCATTCAAAGTAGTTAAAAAATACAATTTAGCATTTTTGTGTTGTTCTCTAAGCACTGTGGAACCTGCTTAGAGAATGTCTAAATTTCTTGTGACATCTGTATATCTCAACTATATGGAATCCATACAAAATAAAAAATTCCTTTTTATATTGACCTATTTTTCACACTACAAAATGTTCTAGTTTTCATTTTCATTAAAAATTTATTTCACATTCAGATGAGTTTAATCATCAACATAAAAACTACCTGCGTCCAAAAAAAATCTGAATAAAGAAACAACAAAAAAGCAGGATACATTCGTAATTGTAGCATATCTTTTGACTGCCCCAAGCCAAAAATAAACAAAACACAAACAGGAAAAACAATCGATAACATAACTATTTTCGTCATAGTTAAAATATTATCTCGACGTCGTAATCGCATTTTTGCGATAACACCTCATAGGAAAAACTAATGGTAATCGATTCCGATTGAAACCGGTCGAAAAAAAGACAATTTTAATTCATGTCATGATCGTAATGTAACCCGCCACAGCTGGGAGATAACCTACCTTTATATTTGGGTGAGCGCAGGTGAAACTCTCTGGTCGGGTTGTGGTCGATTGTTTCAGGTTTTCAAGGACTGCCGGCAGATGTTTTCAATGAAAATCGGCGGCAGACGACGGGTCGGACACTTACGCGCACTCACGTTATGTTTTTACCCACATTCCGATGGTAAAACTTGGACGAAATCGCGTAATTTTTCGTACACAAACACAACGTACTGTCAAACGGGTTCCATGACAGGTCGAGCTGTTCAGTACGCTTGCGCGTAGTTCCCCCGATGCAAAAGCGCCGTAGATTCCGGGCTACGCTCATAGATAACTAGTAAAACTAGGAATTTTCATTTTATTATTTATAATAACAGAATAAATTATAGTAAAACCTCGATATAATGGACCTCATTACAATGGACTAACGATATAACACTATAATATATACGATATAATATACTATACTATACTAGACTTCGAACAAGAAAAATTCGGATTTAGCCGTACATCCCTTAAAGACGGCTAAACCCGAATGTCTTTCGTTCCAGTTCTAGTGTTAGTTCTTGCTTTAGTTGTTATTTAGCACTAGATTGTCGTATATTTATCATTGAACTAAAACTAGAACTAACACTAGACCTAATTCTAGGTCTAGTGTTAGTTCTAGTTTTAATTGTTATTCCACTATAAATTGTTATTATATAATCTGTATATGCTTGTTAATTTGTTATTTAACTTGTAGATACATTTTACATAAATCAGGATTTAATTTATGTTGAAAATTGGAATTGTTTTTGGAACTTTAAAATCAATTATAAATTTTAATCAAACATTTATAACAGGTAATTAAAAAAAAAGCTGCAATCACGAGTAACTAAATGATTTAAAATCGTTTGAAGTAATTCTAACTTTGAAGCGATGATAATATATTTTTAGTCGGTTTCGAATTAACTGCTAAATAATTCCACCAATAATTTACATTAATTGCGTTACAGTGGATGTTTAAATGTTTTGTTTCGCTTTTTATGTGTTTATTGTAACCTGTGAATTTCCAATTATTTTCAACATCGTTCAATAATATTTATTTATTTTCTTTGATGGATATTATATTTGTTCGATAAACATTAAATACATTAGTATATTTTATACGGCCAAATATGTATCTAATGAAAATTTTTAGTTATTTTTTTTTTATTATTTATTACTAACTGTTGAAAATTTTTCTGACATGCAATGCCAAGGGAAAGTGTGCTGGAATGAGCAAGTTGTGGCATTGATCCAAAGTTGCGAGGGATGAAACTCAAGTCACGAAAGTGTTTGTGTACAGATGAAATAAAAATGAGCTTTCATGGAAATTCTAAGTAAAGTGTGCTCTACTTCAACAATCGGTTAAACGAATCGATTACTATGTCAGTAGTACTAAGAATTATATAGGATGTCTTATAGATGCGGTACAAAGTGTTTTATTGAAAAACAGCTTATTTATTTTCACACTATCACTTATTCATTTCGGACTAAAATAATTGTTTAGTCTTTGATGGGATACCATGTATAGGAATAGAAATATTTAATTTTCCATGTTTATTCATCAAATATTAGTAGAAAACACAACTCAGAAATACATATAATTAACACACACCAAAGATTATATAAATAAATATAATATATTCTGACTATAGAACCAACCACATTGTGTGCAAAGGAATAAGATGGCATGAAACGAGGTGAAACGTGTTGTTTGCGATTTTCCCACAATTTGAGTAAACGTTTTTCTACTTCTTCCTGGTTCTTCTCCATAAGCATAAAAATCCCAACGCGTGAAATAGCAAGCACAGCAAAAACATATTCCACAGGTTCCTTTCCAAATTATCACTGGAGAAACTGTACTTTTCCAATACTTGTGATCCATCGGCTAAACACGGTATATCCGGGTCTGAACTTTCACAAGCTAGAAAATTGATAAACATTTACAGTGTATTATTTCCAACTAAAAACAAAAAAAATCACTAAATAATTCTTTTTACTTATATTTTTTACACCATCCCATTGAATAATGCTTAAAATTTCTGTTGAATACATTAACCACGATAAATATTTCGTCCAGGATACGATGCTGGGTAAAGTGCTGCAAAGCGATAATTTTCAATGTATAAGACAACCATTTAGTTTGAATTCAGTTCCAAGACTAAAATTAAATAGGTACCTCAAATTTATAAACAATCCGGACGTTACCATTAAAACGTAGTCGAAAGGCACCAGCCATGCCATTGCGTTTGGCACCGATTCAAATGCGTTGGAGAAGAATATCCCTTAAACGATAAGGTAGCGTTAGGACTTGTTTCCGGAATGCGAGAATATCCGGGAATAATTACCGCATGAAGTGGCCACGATCATTGTTAGAATTGCCGATAAATTGGACATCATGAATGCATAGGCTGTTGGACGTAATCCGGATAACCAATATGCTATCGTTACGAATAGTATTGGCTCGAGAATTAATCCTGGTAACTGAAAATTTTTAAACCAAATGTGTAACGAAAAAGTTTATTTTGATTTCTTATTGTGTGTGGACGTGGTTAATATTTAGGGCGGAGTTTCCTTTTTTTCTTAACGAACTTAATATTTTTGGTATCTTTGCAACTAGCGAAGTTATAAAATAAAAATTGATAAGCGAGTAGGTAAAATTTATGGAACTTCTCATATTCTTACAGGAATTTTTCAGAATCTTTTTGTTGGGGAAAATATCATCACAACTCGAAAATAGGAAACCCCTCTACCAAATGTACTGCTGTGGTTATTGAAAAGTAGGAAAATATTTCTGCTAGAACTGCTACAAAAGGAATCGAATAGAAAGATTTTGAATTCGGAGAGAAGTGCGGTAAGCTTGAAATCTCGCTAGCACTTTGGAACTTAACAAAAAGAAGCAGACTATTACACTACTATTAAATGTCAAATAAACTTGCGATTAGCAAGAGAGGTTGCGGACAAAAAAAAATCGGCGCCAACCTGCAGGAAAACGTAATAAGAACAAACCACACAACAGTTTAAAAAGGACAATAAACTGCTATGAGCAGAAAGCACTGAACAAAGTGAAGATGTACAAACACTATTCCTCTAGAGATTAAAGTCATTAACCAAGCCGTATTTACTAAGAAGCTAAATCGGTTTACAATATTTAATTCCAAAGAGATAAATAACAAAATTAAACTATAAAGAATAATGGAAAAGAAAAGGCATACTGAGTCGCAGCGCAGCATAAGCTCGCCTAAGTAAATTAGATACATGTGCACGAAATCTAAGTGATGAATCGATGCTAATACTTCATGCCTCATCGCTGAACTGTAAACTAACACCACAAACACTGATGTCAAGGGACTCGAACACGAGCAACAGCACTCTGGTTCCCAAAAACCATAATTGATGACTTATTCGGATTAATATTTAGGCACAGTTTGGAAGCTCGATGAATCAATTTGTCTAAATCATAATTAATATAATTCTGAGCAGTATGCACTTGAGTAGGATCAAAGGAAAAATGAATCTGGGTGTCATCAGCGTACATATGCATATCGCAGTGATACAACACACCAAAAAGATTACTAGTATAAGTTAAGTAGAGGATTTGGACCTAAGACAAACAAAACGACCAAAACAAAAACACAGGCATTGCGCGATAGACCGGCATGCCAAAGAATTGCCAAAAGCGTTCTATGGTGGACTGTATCGAATGCCTTGGAAAAGTCAAGCAGAACAAGAACCGGGTCTCTGCCAATATCCCTTCCTCTGATAATAGTATCAATAACTTCCAAGAGTGCAGTAGCGCAACTGTAACCCGCTCTAAAACCAGACTGGGTATCAGGTAATATGGAAAAGGTTTCCAAATGTTCTCTTAGTCGATAAGCGACAATCCGTTCTAATATCTTAGATATTGCGGATAATATACTGATCGATCTTAAATTATTATGATTGGAAGGATTAGTAGTCTTCGGTATCGGTGCAACCAAAGTAACCTTCCAGTAATCAGGAAAAACAGAAAACTCTGTTGACGTCATTCACCAAGCCATATTTACTAGGAAGCTAAAACGGTTGGTATTCGAGTTAATTTGAAAATCCAGTTGGATAATAACTGAGCTTTTAGTGAAAGTATTCAAGGCGTAGTCAACACTGCATTTAATCATACACCAGCAAAAGCACCAGAAATAGATGGTGTACCAAGCATGGTACAGAAAATGCATCCCGAAGTTACATGTTTGAAAGTTATCAAGTTAATTGCAGACAAGCAATTGCAGTTATCAATTAGAAAGTACTGGACAAAGCGAAGATGTATAAATACTACCCCTCTAGAGATTAAAGTCTATTACCTATTAAAGCCTTATTTATAAGGAAGCTAAGAAGGAAGGTATTGGAGCCAATTTGGAAATCTAGTTGGACAATAAGAGAGCTTTTGAAGAAAGTATTCAACACTGCGTTTAATCACACAGCAGCAACAAATCCAGAAGGATTCAAAATTGCGATAAAAGGAAGACAACCTAAATCCACAAAAGTACTATAAATAGACGATGTACCAAGCAAGGCACAGAAGATGTATCCCAAAGTTAGAAATTGCAGAACTTGTCGAAAAACAAAATAGCAGATTATTACATTGCTGTTAGGTATTGGAAAAGCTTATGAGAACTTATGCTCTGTTTAGCAAGATAGCTTGCAGAATAAAAATGATCGAAATCATCTTGGTGGAATAATTTGATAAGAACTGGGGTTCGCAACTAAAGAATAGAGACTTGTAGGTGAGGATGGGATATAAAGATAAACTCAACTCCTGTTCTTCACTATCTTCTCAGCTATAACTATAATTAATTACAGCTATAACATAATTTTATATTCAGCAATGGGTAGGTACTCCAGGAACGCAAACATGCTGAAAGCAATGGACAAGAAATGCATTTTTGTTTCAATATTTCCATCATTTCATCAGTATTACGCCTACATGATGGTATTTGCAAATAGTGACAGTCTGAATGATTGTGTAGGGTCTCCAAGTTTAAGTATTTTACTCAGTTTACTTAATTTCTAAACAACTTTATTGAGTTACATAACGTATCTTCACATAAATTAAGTTGATCCATAAATTACTCAAACTCTGAAACCCATATTGTAGGAATACAACATGTTATCAATTTTATTTCGTAGCATTTTACACGAAAATCGTAATCAACGAGTATAATATTAAAAAAATTGGAAACTCCCCCATAAATGTAGTAATACAAATAGATTTTATTTAATCATTTTCGATTTTTTATCTTATCATTTCCACACTACTTATTTGTACAAATTGTGGTAACATCGCCTCCGTGGCGCAATTGGTTAGCGCGTTCGGCTGTTAACCGAAAGGTTGGTGGTTCGAGCCCACCCGGGGGCGCTTCTTTTTATAACTTTTCATTATTTGCAGTTGTGGATGTTCTGCATAAAATTGTTGTGATATATCCATATTTTTAATCACTACAATCATTTAGTAGATATTTAAAATAAAATTTTATTGATGTTGGAACCATCGCCTCCGTGGCGCAATTGGTTAGCGCGTTCGGCTGTTAACCGAAAGGTTGGTGGTTCGAGCCCACCCGGGGGCGTTTATTTTTCCTATTATTTTTTTTAAAAAATTAAAAATAATATAGTTTATAAATTATATAATATACACTTTTTATGTAAATTATAATTGTTAGTTTTTAAATGGTTAAATTTAAAACCATTTAAAAACTTTTATTTACCATTGCGATTATCTTAGAGATGTAAAACAGGCCAGCAGGATAAAGCCCAGATCGATACTCCCTAAGGAACAAAGGAATGTCATCCGGAAAGGCGGCTAGTACAGAATACATCGGTGTGAAAGTATTCTCAGTGACAAAAAGAAAAATTGCCCCCTGCACTGACTGAATGCCATTCTGCGACAGGGCCACAGTTCCAAGGTAACACATTCCAACCATTACGGCGATTCCCTGCGAAAAAGAAATGAAGGGCTAGAAAACTATGTTATTCCGCTTTTCCTTCTACTGTCGCATATAGATATTCGTTTACCGACGATTTTTCGATCGATTCACGTCAGAACAGAGAACCGGAACGAAACTGCTTATTTACTTCCATAAAATTTGATCAAGCTCCATCATAAAGAGCGACAGCGCGTAATGGAAACGGAAGAATAAAAATAGTAGAAAATATCAGTCGGGGATGTCAAGGAAATATTGGATTGGGTAAAGACACGAGTTTAAAAATAGACCAAGAAAAACCTTGACTTATTATTTCATTGGAATATATGCAAGGTTTTTCTTTAATAACTTAATAAATTTACTCACGATTTTTTGAAGAATTCTTAGTAATTGTACTGTAGGATTCCTTAAAACGTCCAAAAAACTCCTGTATGTTAACCAATATAATTTTGTCCAACAAAAAATTTCTTTACTAAAAATTAACTTACGTAAAACCTCGATATGACGAACCTCGTTAGAACGGACTAAAAGAACTAAAAGTAGAACTAATACTAGACCTACAACTAGAAACATTCGGGTTTAGCCGTACATCTTTTAAGGCAACTTTTAATCCGTTAAATCGAGGTTTTATTGTAATTGTTTAAAAAAATCAAAACAGCTTACAAATTCGATCGAATTATAAAACTGGAATGTTCACTCGCCCTCCCCATATGAAACTCGTACTGAACCACGACGTCAACTTCCTTAATATAGTCACTAACAGCAAACTGATTACATATTCTTTTTATTGTCTGTTTACTAGTTTCCTCAAACCCGGGGGTTACCGCTAAAGTTCTAATAAAAAAATCAGCGGGGTTATAATTATGTGGACATTTATATCCCAATCTGAAATTCAAAAAAAATTACACACATTCGTGATAAATAAAAAGTGCGAATTCAATAATAATAACATTAGTGATGTTCCTCTAGTTTTCACATTATTACCGAAGGTAAAATTGATTGTAGCGTGACTCTCGGCCGTTATTATACGTTCGCTCGTGAACCTCTTCTCCTATTGATTCTAAAGCTCTCCCGTAGCCTGGAAGCTCTCTAAAGTGATTACGTTAAACATACCGATTGAAAAATTCAACAGCGTTTGCCGTCGCGCCCATGAACGCAATCTTCCCGTTCGCCAGCAGAATCACTTGACTGAACATCGCAAAAATCTCGGAAGACGGCTGATGAATTGTGCATAGGATAGTTTTGCCGCCGGCGGACATCATGTTCATCATAGTGACGATCTTTTGAGCTGAGTAAGCGTCTAGTCCGGTTGTTGGCTCATCACAAAACAGTAAAGGGGGGTCAGTTAATAACTAAAATCAACAACGAAAAGAACAAAATAAAAATAAACAACCAAAAATTAAATATACATTTATGAAACAAAAATTGTTTACTGCCTTAAGTAAACGCCAAGAAAGAAATAAGTTACATTTAAAGTTAAACAACCATCCCGCTTTTGTAGTCCGTATGAATGTGGACGGAGTGTGAAGGGTAGAGATAACGTTTTTGAGAGGGTAGGGAAATTTTAACTGTTGAGAAAGCACGTTTTACCTCTGTAGCGAAAGCGAGACGCTTCTTTTCCCCGCCAGATAAAACTTTGCTGTCGCCGTTGATGCCGATCCTCGTGTTTATGCACTTCGCGAGACCGAGCTGCTTGAGAAGCTCGAATATTTTGTATTTGCGCTCGCTTTCCGTCGTTCGTCGATCTAGTTTCATACGTGCCTGAGAACATACCAAAACATTTATTTTAACCATACCTATATTTATATTTCCCATCACATTTGTATTTATTTCCTTACCATCATTGTCATATGTTCTAAAACTGTCAAAGATCCAACAAATATATCTTCTTGATGCATAAACCCACTTAAATACCTCATATAATTACCAATAGGTCTTCCATTAATTAAAATATCCCCCTCAACAACAATTCCTCCTAAAATTAAAATTACACTAAACCTACTTGGAGGATTTAATAAATTACCTGTAGATCGGTAGGCCAAAGCAGCCATTAAGGTACTTTTCCCCGCACCGCTAAAACACAAGTCCAATTTCCGAATATAGTTAAAAAATTACACCGGACAAAACTAATTTAAATATTCTAATAGGAAAAACGAATACCTCGCTCCCATGAGGGCGACCAGGCTGCCAGTTTTTATGGCTCCTGTAACTATAAAAGAAGGGGGCCCGCTTCAAAAGTCAACTACTCAACTCTAATTAAAAAGTTAATACCTGGAAAGTTTGCTAATCCGGGAGCTTAATGAAAATTCATAGCACCGGAATAGTAAAATACACAAATCTCAAACTTTCCAACCTACATCGCTTTTCAAACTTCGTACTTAACTTACCTTCAGTTATTATTCGTTTATAACTTTTGTCCGACTTATCTTTCGTATGCGTGTAAACGCTCAAATCGTGCCATGCCAGTGTTATTCCTTCTTCCATTGGTGACCATCTACTGTATGTTCGCAGACTTCTTTGTGGAGTTGATCCACTTTGTTGCAAAATATCTGAATTTTCCTAAAATCATATTTTTTTAGTAATTCAAAAAATCTGTCACGATCGGTTCCATTAGAAAAGTGAAGGAATAAACCTCTTGATAAATTTATCCTATAGATAAATCCAGCTCTTAGCCAATGAGACCGCTTAAAACCGCCGTAACCAAGGCAACTATCCTCTAGATAGTTTATCAGGAGGATGGTAAAAGTGTAGCCCATGAAGTTTTATTGCTCGATATCTAATGTAGTTTATCTAACCAGGGTACCTTTGAATTGGCAACAATTCACTGATTTACTGGATGATTTTTAGATGTACTCCGATTTCCAGTCGTTACTTTTCTCTGTCCGTCTAAATGTTCTCTTCTACTTCCCTTTCTTTAAGTACTTTATCTATTCCCTCACTTATACTTATCCTCAGTCTTTCTTTCCTTTTACTTTCTTTGGGCGTCCATAACAATATTTGTTCTGGTAGCCTTTCATTTGATCATTCTTTGTATCTCTTCATACCATCTTAGCCGATTTTCTCTTATCTCGTCTATTATGGTGTACGTAACTTCCATAATATCGCGGATTCTGTCGATAGTAGTCCTATCCATTTTCGATTTGCCCGCTGCTCTGTGTCAATAATCCATTTCGCCTTCAAAATTTTCTCCGTATTTTCTCTAAGGGGTCATATTTCGCCATGTATGTCATTATGCTCGTTTCCTTATCCCATAATATTCCATTCATCATAGCTATTGCTTTTCTGTTTTGTATGTTTCTATCTTTTATGGTACAATTTAGTGTTCCGTTGTGGATATTTGTGTTCCAAAATATTTACTGTTTTGTATATTAACTTGCAGATCCCACTCTCTGTATTTCTCTATGAGCTGCCTGATCATGTATTCCATATCCTGCTGGTCCTGTTCGATTACTCATCGGCAAAACTTAGTGTGTAGATGATGCTAAGGAATACCCATATTTTTGTATTATTTTTTCCACTGTTTGAGCGCTTGATCTAGATATATTTTGATAAAGGTCGCAGGTAGGCAGCACACCCACTTAAGTCTTTTGATGATGTGATACGTAAAATTACTTAAGGTACAAGAACAGCTACCATAGAATATACATATAGAAATATTTAGAACTTTTCATTGGGTTCAGTCAAAATAACAAAATAAAGGTTGGTGCGCATCTACAAACATTACTGAGGGAGCCAATTCGCTCACATTTCAGATTTGTTTCCATGTTTAGATGAAGAACATGCTATTTTGTGCTCGAAAATGGTTGAAGAGGCAGAGGTTGCTGTTTTGGCACTCAACAGTCTATCTTGCAAAACAAAAAGGATGCACAAGGAATTTTTGTAGGTGTTTTACAAGCAAATCTTCAAAATATCAAAAGTTTTCTGTCAAATATACTCCTTCGTGCAAGATATTGCACTGGAATGTGTTAACCCCATAGCAAATCATCAAGAGATCGATTTGGTTGGATACACCTTCTTGAATTCACCACATTTAAATAATCATCGTGTAATTTCTGATCCTTTCTACGCATATATTACGTATGTGCGTTCAGAACTGTTCGGAACTACAGAACTTTTGAACCAAAACAGGCCTTATAAGTCATATTCAACGAATTTTAGTTGAGGTCGACTCTTTATTAGTACAAAGTATGCATCGAGTTTTTGTATAAAACTATACTTTGGTGATATTTTTAGATTTATGACCGTAATTAGTTGTTTCAAAACATAACTAAATTTTTTACAATTTCTGAAATAAACATTATTTTCGATTATCGATATATTCGTAATTATTAAATCGTTTATAAATAAATGATACATCAATCCCCTGGTCGATGAAAACTTGCACAATCCATTTGTTCGCCGCGATGAGTAATAACTCCAATTTACTCTGGTTGGTAGTTTCGCTTGAATTGATTATTGCTGTTTATTTGAGTTTTCAAGTACATTTTCGTTTATTAATTCCATTTGTTGTCTTTATTATTCCCACAAGCATTTAATAGAGGATCAATAGAATTCTTTTATTTTCGTAACGATAAATAAATAATAAATTTCGAAAATTTAAAACAAAAATTGAAGTGAAAACTTACCTCATTTCCGTTTAAAAAATTTAAATCTTCTAAAGGTGTTCCTTCAGTTTCCATTGAATCAATAATTCTGATTTGTTTTTCAGTAATTTGATTACAGAGAAATTTAAGGTACTAACTGTACAACTTCAACAAACAGACTGTAATAAATATCGCGTTTAAAACGAGTAGCATAAAACGGCAAATGAAGCCTGTGAATATTTGCGTATAAATAAAACTTCAGGGAACGTATAGGAAAGTTGACACCGTCTGGAGTATTAAATTATCAATGCATCGGAAAGCATGCATCAAAGAACAACTATTTCCGTGTTCTTTATTACTGTAAAAGAAAAGAAAAGATGGGGGTTACTATTTAAATATATTGTAACAAATTTTATATTTTAAATCATAATATAATATATTATAAATAGTATAATAAATAAATAATTTTTCTTTCATTCTCTTCTTGCAGTTTTTAATAAAAGAGCAATATACGCTAAAAATCTAAATATACATATTAAACTAAATAGCATAAGTATATCCTTATTAAAATTTCCCTGGAAAAAGAATTTTTAAATGAAGTTTTCGTAAAAGTTAATAGAGTAATCAGTGTCAGACCTCGGAAAAGTTGTAAATCTCCAATACAATATGACCGTTTTTGGGACAAGTCGAATTAGTGTTAGTGCAGTCGATACTTTCTACACCTTCCCACTGATTTATCATTAACGCTTCGTTTCCGAAACGAAACCAGGATAAATACGACAGCCACTTGAAGTAAATTGGTATCGAGCTGAAAAGGAATAAACTTTTGCTACACCTGACGAGACGAACTTTAAGAAAACTTTTTAAACCGTATTAAATAAGTTTTCGTAGTAGATATAACAAGTTCGTAGAGGAAATTTTTTCAAAAGAATTTCATTACCTTATGTTTAAGAAAAATCCGCCGAATAGCAGGAAAGGGATTATTAATGGCGGTCCTATTGAAAGAGCCATGGAAACGCTATTACTAACACAAGATACAAAATATCCTAAAAATAAATTTAGAAAGGGATTAAAAAAATAATTAATTGATTACTTACCGAAACTAATCGCTACGTTTGCTACTAAAGTAACAATTCCACAAGTAATTGCAAATCTAGGTAATTGTGGATTTAACCCGATCATGTAATAACATATACATGTAAATAAAACTGGTACGAATATAAATAAAGGTGTTTCTGATAATGTTTTACATAAGAAATAAATATCCGTTCGATACATTCCATTCCTATGTTCCCTTAAAAAAATTGGTAACTCCGCAGAAAACACCTAAAAATAAAATTAAATCAAAAGAAATCAAAAGATTCGTTGAGTCAAAATTTACGTGGATTACAGCAAAAACATTTTGAAACGTCATGTTGGTTAAAAAAATAAAAAGAACCCCGTTTATATTCATCACGCCATTCTCATTAAGTATTTGGCCGTAATAAATTATTCCTATTAACAAAGCTACCATCTAAAATAAAACATTAATTAAATAAAATTTATTTAATAAAATTAAAGTTTTGAATTAAGTACCATCGTTTGTAATATTCTGACTTTTATGAGTAATGGTTCTTTCATTACACTTAACCAAGACCTCCATAATACCGCCCTAAATTGAGCGCACCAAGAAGCTTTGTATGGATTTTTACTATGATCTCCGTTTGTCCATATTTCATAACTATAATTTTCTTTTTCATTTGTTGTTGCTGCTTGAAGGTTTTTCTTTCCTAAATCCGACTGCCCAAATTGTTCACAAATCATAGAAATGGCTTGCTTACATGATTCCTCTCTACCAGGAACTATAGCTAATAATTGAATGAAATAATCTGCTGGGTTGTAATTATGAGGACATGGTGCATCCATTCTTAAATAATTATTAATTAAAAAAAAATATTACTATTTCTTTTTACCTACGAAGTAAAAAATCTTGAAGCATCCATAGGTGTACCTAAAAACGCTATTCGTCCCTCAGCCATCAATAATAATTTATCGAATAACGCGTATAATTCTGAAGATGGTTGGTGTATTGTACAAACGATAGTTTTTCCACTTTGAGCCATACTTTTCAATACTTGTATAACGTTTAAAGCCATAAACGAATCCAAGCCTGAAGTTGGTTCATCACAAAACATTAACGAAGGGTTTGTTAGAACTTCCGCAGCGAAAGAAAGCCTTTTACGTTCACCTCCAGAAATACCTTTAATCCTCCCCGGTATTCCTATTCTTGTATTTTGACATTTCGTTAAAGCTAGCTATAATTTTAAAGATCATTAAAAAATTATGATTAGATCTTTTTAAGAAATTACATCCTGAATCACTTCCTCAATTCTTCGCATTCTTTGATGATATGGTATTTCTTTGTCCATTCGAACTAAAGCCTTCAATGTAATAAACAAAAATAAAAATATTAAAAACTAATTTATGAAAAGGAAGAAATAATCTTTATATTAGATTAAAGATGAAATGATATGATTCTTTAAAATGATTAAATTCAATTAGGATAGATTATGAAACTTATTTACAAAAAATCGAGAAGTTTAGCTTGTTATTTAACATAATGTAAAAACGATAATTTGACATATAAACTTTAAAATTTCCTGGAAGGGCTATTTATGAAAAGGAAGAAATAATCTTTATATCACATTGAAGATGAAGGATTCCTCTTTAAAATGTTATATAACACATATTAGGTTACAATATAAAAATTATTTACAAAAAAATCGAGAAGTTAAGCTTGTTATTTAACATAATATAAAAACGGTCATTTGACATATAAACTTTAAAATTTCCTGGAAGGGTTATTTATGAAAAGGAAGAAATAATCATTATTCCAGATTGAAGATAAAGGATTCCTCTTTAAAATGGTATATAACACATATTAGGTTACATTATAAAAATTATTCACAAAAAAATCGAGAAGTTAAGCTTGTTATTTAACATAATGTAAAAACGATAATTTGACATATAAACTTTAAAATTTCATGGAAGGTTTATTTATGAAAAGGAAGAAATAATCTTTATACCAGATTGAAGATGAAGAATTCCTCTTTAAAATGATATATAACACATGTTAGGTTAAATTATAAAAATTATTTACAAAGAAATCGAGAAGTTTAGCTTGTTATTTAACATAATGTAAAAACGATAATTTGACATATAAACTTTAAAATTTTCTGATAGGGTTATTTATGAAAAGGAAGAAATAATCTTTACACCAGATTGAAGATGAAAGATTCCTCATTAAAATGATATATAACACATAATAGGTTACATTATAAAAATTATTTACAAAAAAATCGAGAAGTTTAGCTTGTTATTTCAATTAATGTAAAAACGATAATATTACATCTAAATTTAAAATTTTCTGGAAGAGTTATTTATGAAAATGAAGAGATTATCCTAATACCAGATTAAAGATGAAGAATTCCTCTTTAAAACAACAAAATTAGGATAGATTATAAAAAATATTTACAAAAAAATGTAGATGTTAATCTTGTTATTAAGCATAATGTAAAAATAGTAATATATCTAAACTTAAAAATTTCTTGTAAATTCATAAATTAAAATTGCCATTTAATTAATTTATATAAAAAACTTTTTCCCGGAAGCCTTTAAACTCGACCAAGTTTAGAAATATTTCCCAACTCGAGTAATTTACCTGTGGTGTAATCAAGAATAAATTGAAATCACAATTTAAAGTCGTACTAATTTCAACAAATCTCTTAGTTATTGTTTAAAAGATCTTATAAAAACTTTTTTACCTGAAAAATTAAATGTTCTCTAACAGTAAGACTTCCTATAAATAAATCGTCTTGTTGAACGTAAGCTGATTGACTTGTAAGCGATCCAGATCCGACCGGAACTCCGTTTACACATCTAAAACCGGATACTTCAAGATTTGGGGGCGATCGGAAAGTTAAAGCATTTAAAAGGGTTGTTTTTCCCGCACCGCTCGATCCTAAAATGGCTAGGAGTTCTCCGGGATAAGCAATTCCATGTACTAAGTAATTAAAAATTAAGGTATTAAATAAAAATCGTTGAAACTAAATATCATTAAAAAGGTTATCTTGTGGTAAAGTGCTTTGGAATTTGTTTGATTTAGAAAGTTGTAATTTTAGAACATTTTAGATTAGCAAAACAACTTTTAATAGAAAAATTAATAACCATTTTTTAAAATATGTTTTTTTGGAAAATTCGTCTGGGTTTTCCTCGAAAATGTTTTCCATTTTGATTTATTTTCCTCTGTAGCGAAAACGTTCACATCACTCCAACTGTAGATTATTCTCTCATTTAAAGGAACCACTTTACGTTCATCTGTACTTCCATAACTTTGAATGTGTACACTTGTTAATAATTCAGTAATATTTTCTATCTATAAAAAAATATTTTCAAATAAGTGACCTTTATAATGATTATTTAATTAAATTATAGAAGTAATCGATAATGTAAAGACGATTTTTTTATTTCAAAATAATCTTAATCAAAGTTTACCTCACTAATATTTCTGGATATTCTTTCTCTTCCTTCGTCTCGTTCTTCCTCAGTACGAATCAAGGGAACTTGTTCATCGCTCATTTTTTGTGAAAACCACTCCAACTGAACTGTAATTTAGCGACACAAGAACGTTATTAGATTAACGATTTTTAATTAGCGTGGAAGATCGTTAATTTATTTTTTGTTTTGTTAAAAATCTTAGTTAAATGGATTTCGAAAATCAATTATCGTGGAAAAGCACGCACTTTACTTCCTGATCGCATGTAAACAAACTTAAGAATGTCACATAAAATCGTTGTAAGTCGATACTCGGCTTCGTATCGGTGGAGGTTTCCAGTTACCTTACCTATGGGAAAAATGTTAGTTATACCGTTTCAATCGGGAAAGTATTTTTTTAAATTATTTTTTTAGTCAAGTCGAAGAAATCTTTAAATTCTTATTTCTAAATTTCTTTATTTGATTCTATTGATTATTTTCTTGTAGTATTTAATAAAATATATCTTCAATAACTTATAACCTTGACAGGTTTCCTGAAGATGACCAAAATCTGTTGAAACATGTATTAATAAAATTATAGTATTAGTCCTCATTGCTTGGTTGTGAATTTATTTGCAAGTTAAGGAGCAAAGGAGGAAAGAAGAAAAAGACAGATGGTGACGGACAATAAAAAGCGGTGCTAACACGAATACTCCCATAAGAAGTCTTGCGATGTAGGCCACTTTTTGTATAATACAGAAAGATTAAAAAGATAATGCTTTTCTGGTACACATTTTGTATAACGTTATAATCTAAAATAAATAAATATATTAGCCTACGTCAAGAAATAAGTCTTTATTCCAGGCTGCTTATAGATGTCTTTCTTAACAGCTTGCACTTAAGATGAACGAACAATATACTTAAAATATTAGATATCATTGGAACTATATTATCCAATATGTGCGAATTGTTAAATTAGAGCTGTGGCCCGATTTTGTCAGTTTTATAGATAACCCTCCATCAAATGTAACAGCCTTTAACATAAGACATTATGTTCTGTCTAAAAATTTCATATATCCTTCTACAGGCAAAGCAATAGTAATCCTTCTTCCTCAATCTAAAGATATCAATCATTAATCCATGTATGAACTTCCTAGTTTACACACACCTTTCAAGTTCATTCTTGTTAGCAACACATCTTACCTGACTTGAAAATGATAACACGAATCAACAAAATAACACGAAAACACTATAAATTGTATCACCTGTTGCTCAAATACTATATCCCATGTGGATTCAATGGGTGCTTGCGGTTCCAGTAACCCATTCAGAATATCGATTCGCCAATGGAAGAGAGATAACATTCCAGGAATATTATTTTTTCACTCAACAATATTTTAAATGTCTCTTTGAACTGTATCAATCAACGGTATATTATCGTTTATACTTGGTTTATGCGCTCAATGGAAAGCCTGTGTCACATCAAACAAGATGGCTATTTCACTTTAAAATGATGTTTTACAAATCTTATCTTGCTTGTCCCCATCCATTCAATTGTTGAGCACCATGGCACAAGTATTTAAAGGCTTATTAAAGGCATGGTCTTTTTTTCCGTTTTAGAGATTCATCAACAAGCCATTAATAATGTGGATACTTAAAAAGTATTTATTAAAAGTGAATTGTGAAAGAGAAAAAAACTTTATTTAAATACATTTTGTACATAAAAATTACAGAAAAAAATAACACTACTAATTTGTTTATAAATTTCAGGACAGATAGATCGCATAAACAAACCAAGAAACATAATGGATGCTACAAATTATTACTTATAAGCAGTTTTTTTCTATATCAATTCTTCAGTAATAAAAAATAAATTAATTACTTAAGCATAATTAATGAGATGAGCAAAAATCGTCAAAAGCAAAAAAAAGAGAAAAATATAGGTTATAATAAAAACAGTATAATAATAAATGGTAATTGATGCGAAATCCGTCGTTATTATCGTCTTATTACAAATCTACGGTGATTATTTACATATTTACAGCAGCAGCATGGCTATATTTTTCTTTAAACTGTAAGTACTTGTTTAACTTTTCTCGTTTAACTTCATTATTTAACATTTAAAATAAACTAAGGCGGTAAATTAATGATATAGCTTAATTTAATCTTCTGATTTTCTTCTATTTCTATTGTTAATTTATGCAAAATATCAAAATATAGTACGGCACATTTTCTTTAACTAACTGTTTATTTATTTTTATATATATTTTTTTAAGCGTTCAGTCATTGAGCTAATTACTTAATTATAAGCAACAAAACAGGATACTTTTTTTAACTTAAAAACTAGTTTAGCAGATATTTTTCTTTGTAGATATGTAATCATGATCTGTATTTGAACATAACACTATTTTTAATAATTTCAAGCTTAGCTTATAGAATTTCGTTTTGAATTTTTAATTATTTTAATCCACCTAAACAAAAGTGTAAAAATTATATCAAACAATGTTATATATAAAGCTTCATAAATATTATAAAGAAAAAGATGTATACTGGGTCATTCAATAAACCATTATAAAAACATAAATATTAAATAAAAATGAATTGCACACTATTTTTGAGAAGAATAAATTCGATTAAATTTTTTTCAATATTAAGGCTCTCCTCTTACATTTCAAAAAACGAACACAATGTTGTTAAATACCTATTTAAACTGAATAACCCTATATACACAAGCCTAAAAATCAATTATTTAGATTACTTTCACTTAAATTGACTTATTATCTATAGGAAAAAATGATACTATATTGGCACTTGATTTGGCTTGGGAGGAATTGGATTAGAAACAAAATTTTTTGTTCAATTATAGGCTTTTTAGACTTTTAAGTTAGTGGGATAGAAGGATTTTGAACCGTTCTTATTAAACCTTGTTGTTTTTAGCTAAATTATGTGTCGCCCAATTCACCGAAGTTTTCCAAGAATTCGATAAGGCCTCGTCGAATTTCGACCGGAAGTGAGCCAAGGCATCTTTTTCAGACATTGAAAGTACCTAAATTTGTTATAAAAACCATCGATTCAAGACGTAATTAATTTAAAAAAATTCTTACCAAAGTTTCTTTCAAATAATTCAAATCTTTTTCTGAACTTAATTCGGGCAACCCTGTTGATATCATCATTGCAAATAACGATATTATTAAACTTCCATGTTGTCTTAAAATTGTAAAAGCCTACAAAAAAATCAATTAATAAACGAATAAATCAGAATGAATAATTTTTATTACCTCCTCACAATATTTTTGAAACAGTTTAAACTCTAAGGTTTTTTGCCCTTTACTAATAACATGGACGAAATCATGTGTTAAAACGAAAGGCACTCGTTCGCGTTTGAATCCAAATTTTTCCTTGAAATGCCCTAAAATGTGACCGAAATCGATGTGAAACAGTTGACCGGTTTTTTTAATCATGATATTATCCGAATGACGATCAGCAACACCAAGAACGTAAGTCGCTACACAATATCCAGCACAAGATAATGTAAATTCATTTATGGCCTTTTTCAGTTGACTTTCTGTTGAATTATGATCTTTTAACCATGCTAAAAAAATGTTTTACATAATGATTTGGTTACAGTAATAAGGGAAGTGTCACAACTGTGTCTCACAGATTTGGATGAAACTTGGTAAAGTCAAGAAATGGACCAAAATAAACGAAAAAACGTAAAACGGTCGGCAGTAATACAACTGGATCAGAAAAGTTAAAATTACTGCTTGTTGGACAATTAAAAAATGGATGGGGATTATGGACATACCAAAAAGGGCTGGATGATTTTTCAAAAATATCATTATATTTGAAAAATGGCTCTTAGGATTAAATAAAAAATGTAGTACTTAAAAGAGAAACATTCCACTGTTTGTGGACAACTATTCCGCTCAACCTCAGATTATGCAATCAAAATTGACATATTAAACTGACATACTTTTCTCCTAATATGACCTCTGTGTCACAACTGATGGATCTGGGAATTATAAAAAATGTTAAACAATTGTATAGAAGATAAATTTTAATGAAACTATTAACCAATATGGATGCAGCTACTTCTACAACAATAACTTTACTTGACGTAATTAAAGATTACAAAATATGGAAGGTAGATTTAAAAAAACCGACAATCGCGAAATGATTCAAAAAGGGAAAGTTTGTTAAAAACGATTAATTGTTTGAAATGAAGCACTTATGGTCTTTATATGAAACCATAATAGATATGCAGTGTTCACTTGATAATTATATAAATATCAATGATGATATCCATACAATGGACTTTCCAACACACAAGGACATTTTGACAGCGTTATGAGGACTTAAATTCCAGATTAAAACGGTATTTTTATGTAATTTTTAGGCCATCCACTAATATAATCTGTTACAAATGTTACAATAATAATATTCTTATTGTTTCAGAATCATATGAAGGTGATGATAATCTTAAAAATGAAATACGTATCGCATTTGCTAAATCATATTCCTTTCCTTCATATTCCTTTCCTTAGAAAGCTTTGTATTATCAAGAGAGAATATTCCAGAGAATATTCATAATTCTATACATTTAATAGAAGATTTTTTCGACAAAGAGCTTACTTAAAAAGAATTGATTAATTTACTAGTTACAATAGTATTAACGTTTCTGTTTTAAGTATACGATTCAAGTATTTCTCGATTTCTCCCGAACTCAAAGTTTTTTTCCGCACCTTTAGCGATTCGAGTTAGGGGAATTTTACTGTAATTCCAAAAAATAAGGGTAGTTCGACCCTTTTCACCATGTCCTATATGTGTAATACATCAAAAGAAAGCTTTTTTAAAATGAATATCAGTTTCATTTTGCCAAATTTTGATAGCACTTTTCGTTTTTATAATATAAACGAAAACGTACTTGAAACACAGTTGTGACATTTTCGTTGTAAGACAAACATTTACCTAATAAAGAACCTTTTCTAAACGCTGAAGTTGCTGAAAACGTCCCTTTTTCCTTCTGTATATTGGCTATAGTTTCAGCATTAAGAACCACTTCAATCATACCTAACCTATTATCCATTGATATACAATTGTAGGGGTTCATCCTTAAATCTAAACCTGCATTTTTCCATAACTTATCCATAATCCTAATCATTTGTAACGTTAACATATCCTGACGTAAATCATCTCCATTTTTAAAAATTATATAAATATCGTCTGCGTTATAATCAGTATTTTCAAACACAATCCATAATGGTTTCATCTTACTATCCATTACTCTACATTTTTCCACTCTAAAAAAGTTTATAATGAACTTTCTTCCCATTAGAACAATTTTGTACAAAAATTGCCAAACTATAACTAATACAGTTTGGCGTATTAAATAGGAATGTTCAAGCAGCAAACAAAAAATAAATTTGACATTCTGATTGTTAATTAGTCAATTAATAATAATTTGCTTGCCCAAACCTAGTAACAAAGTTTTCATAAAATAAAACATACTTAATTCTTTTGCATCTAAACTTGGGATCAATAGGACTTATAAAATTATGTATTGGATTATGTTCTTCAGTTAATTTATCTTGTAAAGCAGATTTTCCTTTCTCCTTATTGCTATGTTTCTTAACAATTTCACTGCTACTTTTCAATTTTTCCAAACACAACAGTTGTTTGTACAGGTCGTTCATATGATGAGGACTACCTCTACAGTAAGCTTCTAAAATTAGACCAAAACGAACGGAAACAGAAGGAACTTGCATTTCAGATCTACAATTTTCAAACGATTTTCGAACATCGTTAATTTTAATTCTTCGCTTTTTTAAGTTTTTTTTTACCTTAAATGCCAAAATAAGTAATGTCCGATTTTTCGGTTTTTAAATGATCGTTTTAATAAGAACATTACTAAATCACAGTCTAAAAAGAGTTCGTGTTTGATCGCTTGAACGAGTTGAAGAAGATAAAGTAAAATGTCGTCATCACTGTATAAAAATAAGATTTTTATTTTTCATTTTGAAATGTTTTTATTATATTTACCTAAGGTCGTTTAAACATTTTACGGCAAAACTTCGGACTTCTTCGTTCGCGTAAGCATAATCTAAAAGTTCTAAAGATTTTTCAACTGGAATTTTAGGCCATTCTTTTAAAATAGCAACAACTTCACTTATTTCTTTGTTACTTTCCCAATCAACGCAATGAAGCAATTTTGGTAATATTCCAGGGAATTCTTTCATCCAATATCTTCGTGATTTCCAAATTGATTTTCTTTCCTAGTAAAAAAGTAATACATCCCATATAAAAAAATATATTTTTAGTCTTAAATGGTTTCTTACTTGATCATGAACCTCCTCCAACGAATCATTTTCAAAAATAACTTTTGTCAACTGTTCATACTTTTCGATCAATTCCTGTGTTGGTGGCTCTTCGTTTTGCCGTCCTAAATTGATCATAGATTCAACACTGGGATAAATGACCGTTTGTTCAGTATATTTCTCAAATTGTAACGTAAGCGTCGTCGCATATTTCGTATCCGGATTACTAACTACCGTACCAAGCGGATGAAAAATATCATCGTTTAAATTCATCATATCTTCGGCACTGTTCCACATATACAAACTCATAGCATCGGTTCGCAAAGCGTTTTTAAAATCGTAAATTGTTGTATTCGCCCAGGCTACCGGGTTAATGTAAGAATCTTTGTTTGGAAGTCGTCGCGATTTTGTTCCGCTCTTTTTCGTCGTTTCATAAACGACAAAACAAAGCTTGGCGTTTTTTGGTATGTTACAAACTTCGATTTTAAAATCTAAAGTTTTGTTGATTTCGAATTCGCAATGATCTTCAATGACATGTTCAGGAATTTTTTGTGCTTCGCAAAGGGATTTTCCGCCGTGAAATATTCTAGCTTGAACTCCAATCTAAACAATTTTTATTTAAAGAAATCATTCGAATATATAAATTATTTATAACGCACCTCTATGTTTCTTTTTACATCACAATTGATTCTACAAATTGTACCTAAAGTAACTTTAAACGTTTCTTTGATATCCCATGCGGATTTATTTTTATTTTTCTTTCTTAATGTATGGTTCCCACCTCGTTTTTCGTAACTATATACATCCACAACATCATCACCAGCAATTGTAGCTAGATAAATATAATAATTTTTATTGTAATTAAAGTTTATGTTCAATATAACTCACAAATAAGATCTGCTTTGTTGACTAAAACTAAAACTGGGTAAGCATCCTTTAGTAATTCCTCTTGAATATATTGATATTCGATTAATGGATAGGAACCAATTATATATTCGTTTTGTCCGAATACTTTTAAAACGTACTTTTCAACATAAACGTCGTGGATGTTTAAATTGCTGGCACGCTTGTCCAAACAAATTTGTAATAGTTTTTCTGGGTACATGTCGCGAGGAACGTTAAATGAGAACGATTTCTGTGAAAATCAATTTTTAAATTAGCTTAAAAGATAAACGCGAACATTTAAACACAAAAATTAAAGAAAACGATAAATAATTCTATTATCATAATTTTTCATTAAATGTGATTTATTAATACATTAATTTATTTTGCAACTTTAAATTAATTAATTTTAACCGCAATCTATTATTATCTAAAGATAATGTAGTGTGGTAAACCATGACGATATTTTTCGGAATTTCAGAGAAATTTTTATTACTTATTCAGGAATGTATTTACTTTTAATTTTAATCTCGGTTAACTATTCTGGAATTTCCAATATCACTTTAACTTTCTATTAAGTGAAAAATAAAGAAAAACACAAAAATAAATATTTACTGCAATTGTATAAAAAGTTTAACAAATAATGGATAAAACTTAAAAAAGAAGAAAAATTATTTACTTACATCTTTATCAATTTTTATAGAAACCATAAATTTCTGCTTAGTAATTGTGTTTGGAATTCCAATTCTAGGTGAATAATAATACATCAATTTTTGTTCCCAAGTTAATTGTTGCCGATCTTTTGCGGTGTCTTCCCCAAATTTACGCATTTTAAACCGGAACTGATTTACTTCAGCGCTACTAAGTGCATCAAAATCTTGTAAACCTAAATTAAAAAAAAATATTAATTGACACTCAAATCGTTCAATTAATTTTTATTATTATTAACGTTACGTTTTCCTATAAGTTGACTAATATGAGAATTATCTGTTTCATCTGCACTACATTCTTTAATAATTAAAACATGACCCGTCGGCCTGATATCGCAAAGACGTTTCCATTCATCCATAACTTTTTCCATTTCGGCCATGCTGTTGATGAATTGAAAAACGTACACGGACATATCGTGTAAAAGTCCGTAAAGGGCATTTTGTTGAGCTTCGATCCATAAATCCTATAATAACAATTAGAAATACATAAATAATATAAGCGACATTAATTTTATGTGTAATAATAAATTGTATTGTTACCAAATAAGTGAGGTTGAGTGGCTATTATAATATTCAAACTTTTAAAACACTACCTTTAAATATTTTATGAAAAAAATTTTCTAATTCCATTAATGTGAAATTTAAATAATGTTTAAAACACCTTTCCACCTATTCAACCTGTTGAACTAAAATACTAAAAATAGTTCAAGCAGTCTTCACATTCATTATAAAGAATGTATTTTACAAAGTAACTTAAATTGAATCCAGTAAGAACAAGTTTTAAAAAGATAATTCTAGTGTATATATATGGAGTTATGCGGAATAATAACTAATTAGTTAAATAATACGTAAATCAATTGACTGTTTTTAATTAATGGAAAAGTTATTTATTTTAAATTTAATTAATAATAATAAATAAAATCTGACATTGATACACATGCAAGATAGTAAGTTTAGAAACGACAAAATATGTCGGAAGTGAAGTTTTTCTCGGAAAGATAGTTCCAATAAAGTTTTAGGGTTTTAATGAATAAGTTCTATAGAATAATTCATTTCGATTTGGGTGAAGAGGTAATTCGTTTAGTAGTTCTACTATTAAATAATATAATGCGCCACAACAAGATATCAGGCGTTATTTGGTGAGACATGTTTATCTCACGTACAACGTATTTTCCCTTCTTAGTTTAATGTGAAGTTAATGAGGTAATTACTTTCCGCTGTTTATTTGCTCCACAAACTGGGAATTTCATATAACTCCCAATATAGGAATGCAGTAACCATAGTTACGAAACTACTATGCACTTGTACTATCCCACATAAAATGCAAGGTAGTTTTGCAAAGGAAAAGTTTTGCTTGGAAAAGGTGACGTTCTTATGATAACTCTGAGTTTCCATCTTAAAAGACGCACGGCTAAACACGAATATTTCTGGTTCTAGGTTTAGTGTTAGTTCTACTTTTCGTTCAATAAAAATATACACAATCTAACGCTGCATAACAATTAAAACTAGAACTAACACTAGCCATAGAACAAGAAAATATCAGATTTAGCCGTGCGTCTTCAGACATGTTAGTTCTAATTCCACTGGAATAATGTGAATAATGTGGAATGCACTCATTCCAGTGAGCAATTTGATTACTGAACTGGAATAATGTGAACGATATGATCCAGTCCAACATTGGAGTGTTTTGACTCGCTGGATTACTGAGCTGGAATAATTTGAACCGGGCATCAATTATTAAATATTGAAAGTTCAATTAATCTTTGAATGCACTCTCTATTTTTCAATTTCTTCGTTTTTTCGTTCACTCAGGGTGCGCACTCAGCGACTATTCTAGAAATTATAGATAATGACAGGAAAATTAAAACGGTTTTGTCCCTTGGAACTTATTGTAGTAATCAGTATAGTCCTAAGGCTGGAATGTTTGGAGACACGTAACTGCATGACTTGTTTATTTTTATTTTACACTTTGTTTTAGTAATACATTATACACTTCACATCAAATATTTCATAACCTTTATATTAATTTTTATTATTATAAGGATACTTTACCTGTTTACAACCTAATATGTATTAAATAAATTAACTAATTATAATAGGTGGTATGAGTCATAATCTAGACATTGGGAAGTTTGATTCAAAATTTCTATTTAGCATAATAATAAGTATTATTGAAATGATCACATCAAAGTTCAAAAGTTACATTCATCACTACTCATTATTTCACTGAAATAATGTGAACCAGCATTGGAATGCACTCATTCCAGTGAGCAATTTGATTACTGGACTGGAATAATGTGAACGATATGACCCAGTCCAGCACTGCATCAATTATGAAATATTGAAAGTTTTATTAATCTTTGAATGTTCTGCATTCACTCTCTATTTTTCAATTTCTTCGTTTTTTCATTCACTCATTATGCGCACTTGGTGACTATTCTATAAATTATAGATAATGCCAGGAAAATTAAAACGGTTTTGGTTCTTGGAACTTACTGAAGTAATCAGTATGGCTCTAAGACTGCAATATTTGGAGATCCCAGCTCTAACACATTGATGCATAACACATAACTGCATGATTTGTTGACATTTTTATTTTACACTTTGTAGCAGTAACACATTATACACTTCACATCAATTATTTCATAACCTTTATATTAACTTCTATTATTATAAGGATACCTGTTTACACCTAATATGTATTAAATAAATTAACTAGTTATAAAAGGTGTTATGACTCATAATCTAGACATTGGGAAGTTTGACTCAAAATTTCTATTCAGCATAACAATAACAAGTATTACTGAAATCATCACATCAAAGTTCAAAAGTTACATTCATCATTACTCGTTATTACTAAAATTAAGCTTCTAAGAAGAAGCAATCTGAATCAATTCTAAAAACAATCTTAAAAACGTTTTCAAACAATTCAGTGGAAATGTTATTACGTTTTTATTTGTACATTTATATGAATTAAGATTTTTTTAAATATATCTTACCTCTTTAATTTCAGCAAAAGTTGTATCATATCGTGTATTAAGCAATATAGTAATACCATTTGGCATAAAACAAGTAACCACCGTACTGCATACATCGTTAGGTCCAGATAACCAAAATTCATAAGTAAATTCTTCGGGTAGAGGCACCATCTTCTTAACTTTTACTCTACCAGATTCGAACACACACCAAAACTTTTATACATAACCACACTTTATATCCTTAACAAAACACTTTTAAATTTATTTTTGGTTCAAACGTTTTCATTTTTCTTCAAGTCTTGATTGAAGTTCTACGACACTGTCTTAAATGTATCTGCAATCCCATAAGTAAACCTATACAAACCATTGGTTTAATCATAAAATAAGTATTGTTATTACCTCAATTTTCAGATAATCTTAATTGTATTGTTGTAAGGATTATTGTTATTGTTGTTGTGTCACTTCCAAAAACAACAACAGTGTTGAAGTCATCGAGAAGCGAAAGACTCTAAATGGTTGGAGTGGTGGACTTTTTTTTGCCTTTTTTTACTTGAGATTGCCGCAAGTGGAGTGTCCGCAACTATTTATCAAGTTCTACTTTATCGACATTTGATATTTATCTTATTTTTTAATTATATTAGAATTGCCAAAACAATATTTTATAAAAATTATTTATACTATTAATTTAATTCATATATAAACCTGTTTAATTAAGAATATTTCGTTGATATTCCAATACATTTTCAATAAATTCTATCTTTTCCACATATCTTTTCAAGAAGATAGGCAACACAACGTACTATATTTGACTTTAAAAATTTACATCAGAAAAAAAGATATCGTTCGTGTAAATAACTTACGTGTTATCTACACGTGAAAATAACACGTGTAGATAACATTTTTGTATAAGAAGCGCAATATATACACGAAGCATACAGATTAAGCGTTTTTCGGTTGTAATAGATATTGCCTACATTCTGAGACTATGCTTTAATTTATGAATCTCCTAAATGAATGCTTTTATCATAATATATCATTGAAATTAACTGAAGGGGCTTACACACAACGTTGTCGTATCTTACTGACACAAAATTGACAGTTAAAATTAAAACGAAACGTTTGTAGTAATTTAGAAATAACCTGGCTTTTGCCAAAGCTGCGAAGTGATATCCACATTAACGCCATGGAACACCATATCATGCATCTTTGGAATGTGAGTACCTCGGCTTAATGCTAAGATCAGGAAGAGATCATCTCATTGAAGACACATACATGTACATGTATATGTTAGCCGATTATGTCGTCCTGGAACTAAGAACTTGCACTGAAAACAACTTGGGCGGATAATGTCTGCAAAATCGAAACTCACTCTTGGCCCTATAACGTCTGCAAAAGTCGAAACTGATGCACCATGCATTTTCTCTTATTGCCGACGTTGCTTCATGGGGAAGAAATGCAAGGAATCGTAATTGCTCGAGTGAACAGGAGGCTACCTCATTACAAACTCCAAAGTGCATCTTTATGATGTGGTCATCCAGCAAAATACCTAATAAGCGGATCCACCGACCAACAGTAGTGCAACAGAACAGAGCTGACGAATTCTAGAGCTATCAAAGAATTTCGTTCTTTTAATTCTTGCAGTATTTGCATTGTTTGCAGTTATCTCTTCAAAGATGAAAAAAGATACTTAACTATATTGCTCATATATTGCTGTTTTTGGCGAACGGAGTACCTTACAACGTCCTCGAGCAAATATTGGTAATGAGTGTAACGATTTCTGCAACCATTACCATCCTAGAGAAATAGCAATCGAGCACGGTTGCTATGAATAGAGTCAGTATTGGGCTAATACACTCAGATAATGTAGCTCAAATTACTGGAAGAAGTAGTGCTGGTACATAAGAAGTGTACGTCCAGGTAGTTTCTGCTCATTTAAGGAATTCGGATGATTTCGGACAGATTTCGGACAGGCGATGGAAAGAAAGGACTGGTCAAGAGGTATTGCAAAAACCATGTAGGAAACATGGGATAAAGGGCACACAGATGAGGTGGTCGAAGGTCGAGGAATTCCCAATCGCTCCCCAAGGAGTAAACCACACCTAATTCGTTGTTGTCCAATTATGGACCATACCGATTGACGATTAGTATGCACAAGTTTTGAAAGAGTTGTATGCTTTAAAGGTCGTACTTTGGGTGCGGTATGGTTCAATACAGTATCACAACAAACTGGGGCTGTATTAGTCGCCGCAACTCAGACAATTAGCATCGATAATGTAGATATAGCGCCAGCTACGAGAATCAACTGCTGAAAGCATAGGCATGACTGACACAAATCAATAATGGGAAAGGTCCCGAGCTTCACCTTGACAGGTTATAATAAGGTCGTCTTCTATTGGGATATGAAGATATGATAGCACGGTCTAGTGAAAAGAAATCTTATCAAAGTAAATGGCTAAATCTATAAATATTTGGAGATTAAGCCACAACTTAGCAGGATGACTACAACCGTGTTTAGCAGAAGTTATAAGATCTATTGCAACTTTAGCCCTCCAAAAGTTTAGGGCAAATGTAGCTCCAAGGTCTTGTTCTTTTATGTCGGTAGGTGTCAAAAGAGCTTTACCGAAAATTGTGTGTCTTAGGCGGCCTGTGGTGACACAATTACACAGTATATGTTCAGCCTCAGTATATGTTTCTAACTCGTCGTTGCAAAGTCGACAAGTTCGATCCTCAGCTTGTCCAATGTGGAAGAGGTAGTATTTTAGGGGCGTATGGCCGGCCAGGAAACCTGAGAGCGTCCTTAGATACCCTTTGCTGAGGCATAAAACCTCTTTGGTTTTGTTTTGCAACGGAGTTATCATACTCTTCGCTTGTCTGTGACCTGGAAATTCTTTCCAGCGTAAGGCTACCTTTGAGGCCTCCCAACTATTGATTACTTGTTTTAGGTGGCTCTTTTGTAGTCCACAACCGGGTTGGGGTCCAATGAAGGGCGTTTTCGCAGCCTATTTGCTCAGCTTGTCCGCCTTCTCATTGCCTTCAATGTTTCTATGAGCTGGAACCCACCATAGAGTAACAACATTGCCCCTAGCGAATTCTCTCAGGTTGCTGGTACACTCTCTGATCAGTGCGAGTTTCATCCTTTAGGTCTGAAACAGAAGAGGTGAATTAAAGGATAATTCGTAAATAAACAGTCATGCAGGTGGATTGCAAAGTTCATGCTGTCCCAATATCTGGAAAAGCCAAAATTGCTCCGTTGTTGTAGGTAGGGCTATTTATCTGCCATTTCCCAATCATCAGTTTTATTAGATATAAGTATGTTAGCATACAAGTTTTACTTAAAAATTATTTCTTCAAGTTGCTTTCCTACAACGTTTGAAGAATTAGTTCTCTGGGCTTTCACCTATGTTCTTTTATAAATCTTATCTCGTCATTTATAACTAATAATAAAAATTATTATTTTTTAATACTTAACACCGTAAATGTATACTCTACTTTAAATTCGTTACGTCATCATGTTAGAAAGGAAAATTCGTCGTTTTGATTGGTCGACCCTCCAAGATGGCCGTTAATTGACAGAAAACGTTTTGCAAACGTAAACGTACGTCGTGGTTTCTTTCATAAATTGGATTTTTTCTTGGTATTTTCCGAATTCCTTAAAAATGGAAACAATGTAAGTATCCCAAGTTATTCAAATAATTTTCGGTAACTGCTTTTATTACAAAAATCGCAAATTTGTGTGATGTTTAAACTCCAACCAGGATAATATTCCATGGAATTGTATTTTGGTTGAAAAAAAGCTTATCTTTCCGTGGGATAGTCTGTTTTCTGTTAATACTGTTTGCTTTAATTGAGAAAATGATTTTAGTTTAGTTAGTAATGTAAGAGTTTGTGTGTAGTTAGAAATAAATTGTGTGTTAGATACCTAACCTTGAAAATCTTTGAATGTGGAGTTTTTTATAAAAAACTTATCCATTTTAATCTATTAATAATAATGAATAATGTTTAGATGATTTTAACGCAATTGTGGTTAATACAGAACGTTATTATTCTTATGTTGTTATAATTAGATCTTCTGGAGATGGAGGAGATTCAAATGAAGTAACACAACTTGAAACAACTAAAGTGAAACCTGATGATCACAAGAAAAAATCAAAAAAAGAGCACAAACATAAACATAAGAAAAAATCAGCGAAAGAAGAAAAAGTAAAAAAGCACAGAAAGCACAAAAAACATAAACGCAAACACAGTGAATGTTCAGATGGCGGAAAATCATCGAATAAAAGCATTGAGAAAGATAAAATTGAAAGATACACTCCCGAATTGCAAAAGGATCTTGAACATGAAACAATGAATGTTGTTAATGGTAAATCAACAAAAACCGACACTGATCATATCGTTAATTGTCTTACAGAAGGTTTTACAAACACACATACCACAGAAATTGTATCATCTGAAAGTGAAGATGCCCCTGAGGCGGATTGCGACAGCGACGCAATTAATGTGGATGTTATCGAAGCTGATATGGATTTGGAAGAATTAATGAAACAGAAAGAATTATTACAAGCAGAAATTGCTAAAGCATGTCTTTTAGATGAGGCACAAATCAAGTACAAACCAAAAGTAGAAGAAGTTATTTTATTGGATGACTCAAGTAACGACGATTCCCAAGAAAAAGAAGTCCAAACGAAAAGGAAACGTACGCCAAGTCGGGAAAGGAGAGTCATCATTGAAAAAAAGGACCATCGGCCTGACGAAAAAAAAATAAAACCAAACAAAGAAGTACAGAGTAAAGAAAAATTGAAAGATTACGATCGGTACGATAAATGCAAAGAACGTTTTGCACCGAAATCTTACAAAGACCTAAAACAAAAAGATCGGAAATCTATGGAGAGACAAAAATCGCGCGAAAGAGAAAGAGATTATAGACGGGATAATATCCGATCAAGAAATGATAATCATTACGATAGAAGAAGAGAAAATCATTATGATCGTTGTAGAGATTCGAGAGATAGAATCAGTAATGATAAATATCGCGATAGATATAGTAGAGATTACGATAATCGGTATGATAAATATAGGAGCAGTTATAGGGATAAAAAGGATAGAAGAGAGAAAGAAAAAAAAGTTAAATTGGATAAGTATAAAGATTCTTTAAGCGAAGGTCAACCTCAACACTCAAGTTCAAGTGACGATGAAATTGATTTGGATATTGATATTAACGATGATGAGGAAGACGAACAGAAAATTATTGAGAGGAGGAGAAAGCAAAGAGAGGAATTATTAAAGGTAAATGGAAAAATTAAAGAATCATCATGTGGCTTAAAAATCGAGGATTTTTTTTTTTTTTTATCGATGTGAAATGACCCAGAAAACACGTTAAAAATAATAAGAAAGTGCGGAAAAGTTTCGATGTGACGTCACAAGCAATGTTATCCATGCATTTTACTATTAAACTTTAGTGCAATAAAAATATGCAACATAATGATATTTCTCTGCTAACTAGCACTATCTACGACTGTCACTAGAACTAACATTAGACCTAGAATGATTCTAGTTCTAGGTCTTGTGTTAGTTCTAGTGATAGTGCTAGTGCAGTATTAGAACTAACGCTAGACTGAGTACTAGAAACATTCGGATTTAGCCCCACGTCTCTTCAGACGGCTAAATTTGAATGATTCTAGGCCTTGTGTTAGTTCTAGTGATAGTACTAGTGTAAAAGTAGATCTAACACTAGACCTAGAACTAGAAAGTATCGGGAAACCCGTTAATTTCTAGTTCTAGGTCTAGTGTTAGTTCTAGTTTTAGTGCAATAAAAGTATGGAACATGTGATATCTTATGCTAACTAGCGCTAACTACCACTGTCACTAGAACTAACATTAGAACTAGAAACATGCGAGTTTAGCCACACGTCTATAAAGACGGCTAAACTCGAATGATTCTAGTTCTAGGTCTTGTATTAGTTCTAGTGATAGTGCTAGTGCAATATTAGAACTAACACTAGATCATTAACTAGAAAGTATCTTCAGACGCACGGCTAAACCCGTTAATTTCTAGTTCTAGGTCTAGTGTTAGTTCTAGTTTTAGTGCAATAAAAATATGGAACATGAGCTAAGTTTCCACATGCATGAATTACTAGGGGCAGTAAGAAGCCAGTTTAGTGGCGCCAGAAGTTGTTTCCACATAAATATGATAATTGTGTACTGACACAGTAATAAAAATGACGTCAAGTGATGTACAGTCGTGTTCATTGGAAACGAAGCTCGTGGAGAAGGGACTTGTGGCGGTCCAGGTTAGCCAGCAGCATGTCGGATCTCACAACAGCTTGACCTTGACTGCGCATTTCCCGTGAACACGACTGTACATTGTCGTCATGTACTTAACGGTTTATACCTTGTTCACCTTTTAGACCACCCCTTTCTCAGGGAACCCACTGGTTTATACTGCAGTGCCATATTTTGGTATTCTGTCATCCTGCATGCTCTGCACGTGGTCCACCCATTTCTCTTTGTATTCTTTGATTTTATCGTTAACTGCGCAAATTTCCAGTTCCTCTCTAATATCTTCGTTTTTGATATCATCCAATCTGTTACAGCCCTTGGTCGCTCTTAGAAACTTCATTTCCGCGGACTCTATCTTGCTTAGGTCTTTTTCATTGTCACCCATGTTTCGCTGCCATACATCAGGGTCGGTATTGTCATTGTTTTATAAAATTTCATTTGAGTATCCTTCCTGCATTTATTACTGAAAGTTCGTCTAATAGTTCCACACATACTTGTGAAGATTGCCAATTTGTGATGTATGTTCTTATCGTGTTCATAGCTAGCGTCGCATCCTAGGTATTTAAATTGGCTTATCTGTTATAAGCGAGCGTTATCAATGTATATCTTAGTTCTTATTGGTTTATTTGCTATGAATGACATTGTTTTTGTCTTAGAGATTTCGTAGTTGTCATTTCTAATTATACTATTGAGCAAGTATACGGCTTTTTGAACGTAGCAAAAATTATTTGATCGTCTGCGAAGACTGGCGTTTACAAGACGTTGGACTTCGTGCTGGTATCAATGTGGTAATACAAATGCGTACATAGCTGCTGTGTTTGTATCGAATCTTCGAATGTAGAAATTACCTAGTTCCATTAAATACTTTAATTAGAAAACTATGTCATTAATATACATAATAATGTACATTATTTTGTCATAATTATACACATCGTCGGCTGATGCTTGTAGTATTCACTTGTATACGCATTTAGTTCGTATTTTTGCCTTTATCGAGTTTTCATCAACTATTCTTCTTAAGGCTTCATTTCTTGCAGTTCGGTCCTTATGTTCTGGAATTTTATGATTCCACCAACACGAGTATTCTTCATATGTTTCCAAAAACTGTATTATTTGTTGTGATGTCCATTTTTTGGACGGTTTATTACAAGATTTTCGCAATTTTGGTGGACATGTTCATGTTTATACAGTTGCTCGTTTTCTTTACCAATACTACTATTGCCAAAAAGTAGACATTCGGTCAATTTTATTAGCGACTATGACTGCTGGCGCCAATGGATTTTTTTGCTATTTCCAATAGTTTTTTGCAACTAAATTGGTGTCAGCTGACTGGCACCAGTAATCCATACATGTGGAAACTTGCCTATAGTGATATCTTAAGCTAACTAGCGCTGTGTACCACTGTCACTAGAACTAACATTAGACCTAGAACTAGAAACATTCGGGTTTAGCCGCACGTCTCTAAAGACGGCTAATCCCGAATGATTCTAATTCTAGGTCTTGTGTTAGTTCTAGTGATGGTGCTAGAGCAATATTAGAACTAACACTAGACCGAGAATTAGAAACATTCAGATTTAGTCGAGATTACAATGTATATTTTCGGATAAAATACCTGTCTTTTGATAGACTGTGTGTCAATAGACTCTGTGTTAATAGAGTGTGTTTCAATTGATACAAAAAGCCACAATGACTGAAATGTCTTTATTTACCATGTACCCACTCGCGTGGATCTAAAAGTTAACGTACCAAACCCATCCTCCGCTCCATGCCCAACCCAATATTTGGGAAATTCGCACTAATTTAAATGTTAATTAACCTAACTCAAAATCGAATTTCTACACAAAATTCTGACATCAGTAAATTAGATGGATCCGAATGTAACGTTTAAAGAGGGGGGTATCAGGTATAGATTTTAAGTTATCTTTACTTAATAGATGATAATCAACGACATTTTAGTCATTGTGCGTTGAAAACCTAAGAAACAACAGTATTTCACCCGAAAATATGCGGTTTAACCAAATGTGCTGCGAAAATATACGATAACGTCACAAAAAGTGAGTGAGGTCACATCGAAACTTTAAAGTGATTTCAGTAGGTTTTAAACTTTTCCGCACTTTTTTTTTATTAGTAATGGCTTATTTGAGTGATTAAAAAAGATTGTCAATTTTTAAGCCACATGATGATTCTTGAATTATTAAACTTCTATTAAAATCAGTGGCCATAAAAATATTTTTATTATTTTTGTATAGCGTTTGGGTGGAGCTAGTGAAGATTCTAACACAGCGACCTCGTTATCAACACCGCCGACAACAGAAAATAAATTAAAAGACGACATGTTCAAAAACAACAATATCATCGAATCGACAAATGCAGTTCCTAATAAAACCACTGTAAAACAACCATCCATAATTATTGATGTGGACGAGAAACCGAACGATAATAACAATAAATCATTGGATGTTCCAGAAGAATCTTTAACTCCACCTTTACTACCATGTATGAAAGTTAAAAGTGGGAATGAGAATGTGGAGGCGGCGAATTTGGATAAAGATAAAAAGGATCAAAAACCAAAAAGTAATCAATGGGACATGTTTGCAGAACAAGATATTTTCAAAGAAGATACTTCAGTGAGCTTTCCTTCAAACATTTTCTTTTGTTAAAATTAATTGATTTTGTTTTAGTCGCCAAATACTGTGGTTCAAAAAGGTGCAATCCCGGAAAATCCAGCCCTCACCGACAATTGGGACGATGCAGAGGGCTACTATCGTGTTAGAATTAGCGAAATTTTAGACCAAAGATACATGGTGTATGGTTACACAGGTCAAGGAGTTTTCAGTAACGTCGTAAGAGCTAGAGATCAAGCCAGAGGTAATCAAGATGTCGCCGTAAAAATTATAAGGAACAATGAAATCATGTATGAAAACATCTAATTTGCGTTGTTTGTTGGTTTTAATATAGATGGGTTGTAGGCACAAAACTGGATTGAAAGAATTGGAAATATTAAAAAAATTGAATGATGCAGATCCTGAAGATCGCATGCATTGTTTAAGATTGATACGACATTTCTTCCACAAGCAGCACTTGTGCATGGTTTTTGAGCCTTTAGCGATGAATTTGAGGGAGGTTTTAAAGAAGTATGGTAAAGATGTTGGACTTCATGTAAAAGCAGTCAGAAGTTATACACAACAATTACTTTTGGCATTAAAATTGCTCAAAAAAACAGGAATTCTACATGCTGGTAAGTGATTATGATCTTTTCTTACTGTATTTGAGCATCTTTTGGGAAGATTTATGAAGACAATAGTTCTTACATACTGTTAACCCGGCGGGATTCGCGTCTGCATATAATTATTTAAGAACAATTAGGGTAAAATGTACATGAATAAATTGTTTTAGAATTGTTTATTAATAGAAATATATAATAGACCTTATAGAGTTTGATCTTGCTTACTTCGTCTATTCAGCATTCTGTAGAGAACCGCCAGCATCAATCGCGTCTCATGAACTGGGCGTCTATAGTGAATCCCAAATACTTAACTTTGTTCTCCCCCTAGACTGTTGGAGTCTATTCTCGATAAAATCCAGCCTTCGCAATTGGCTGAAGATGCAGACATCGTCCTAAATATACAAAAATCGAATAAAATAAGGTTTCCAGGAAGGTACAAAGAATCCCATCTTTAAAAATTAGCCTGGCATAGTTTCCTCACGCGCGCGTCCTTCCGGGTTAATTGCTGTTTTTTTTATTATAATAGTAAAATATGTATATCCATTATTTCTAGATATCAAACCCGATAATATTCTGGTAAATGAAAGCAAATTAGTGTTAAAATTGTGTGATTTTGGTTCAGCATCACACATAAATGACAACGAAATTACACCTTACTTAGTTTCCCGTTTCTACAGAGCACCAGAAATAATTCTGGGAATACCATATGATTATGCGATCGATATGTGGTCCGCTGCATGTACCATTTACGAGTTATATACTGGGCGAATTTTATTTTCTGGAAAATCAAACAATCAAATGTTGAAATTTTTCATGGATATGAAAGGAAAAATACCAAATAAAGTTATTCGAAAAGGTGCATTCAAGGAGAAACACTTTGACGCAAATTGTAATTTCTTATATCATGAAATAGATAAAGTTACTGAGAGGGTATGTTAGGATATTTTACTTTATGTATGTTTTTTTTTAAATATTTTTTTTTTATTTAGGAAAAAGTGGTTGTAATGACAATGGTAAAACCGACAAGAGATTTACAAAGCGAATTGGTGGCTGGTCAAGCATTGCCTCAAGATCAATTGAGAAAGGTGACTCAGTTAAAAGATTTATTGGATAAGGCTTTGGCAGTAGATCCAGCTAAAAGAATCAGCTTGAACAATGCATTGACACATCCATTCATTCAGGACAAGATTTAGAAGTGTTCTGGTTTAGAGGTAAACTCCAGAACAAAAACTTTTTATCAAAAAAAAAGTATTTTTACAATTTTATTGTTAATATAAGATCTTATTATGAATAATAATTAATGATATTGTACAGTTCAAACCAGTAATTAGCATTGGAGGATTTAGTGTTTAAAAAGGCACCTTTATGAGAAATAATTTGAATAGAATAAATGTAGTCGATTTATTAGTTTCAATTTTTTAATTTAATTTGTATAACTTTTATTCTATTTTTTTTAATGTTATCGAATTATTTTTATTATAATTTTAATTTTGTTACAGAAAAGCTGTTGGCATTCTTTCTTCCTTCTCATGAAAAACTGGGTTGATTCAGTCACTGAACTTAAGGTACTTCTATCTAAAATGAAGGGTTCAAAAAATATCTTTAAAAAAAACCTCTTTATTTTTCTGTTTTCGATCGCGATCCCTTATAATTAAAAAAAAAGTTAAAAAATATCAGGTTTTTTTGTTATTGAAACACCAAAAGTAATGTTTCTTTATTTTTTTCAATTACAGTCTAACATCAATTACTTTATGGAGATAATGAGAGAAAGAAACAGAGTGGTTTTGAACAACTGCACACACTTATTCGTTGTGTCCAAGAGACCGATGATACAAAGATAAGTGGAAACTCCCTCCCCAAGGCGTATAAATTTATATAGTTTTATATCTACGTATTATTTGGGAGAGTCTTAAGTATTAAATATTCATATCTTTTTAGGTTTGGTAGAGAAATTAGCTGCTCGAAAATTCAATTCAACATTTCTTGCGTCGGTTTTATTGATTAGTATTGATTATTGATAGAATTATGATTGAATAGAAGGTAAGTATAATGACATTTTTTAACATAATTTTGTATTTTTCTATGTAGTAACTTTTTATTTTCTGAAATAAAAGATTTTTATATCTTTATTTTATTAGAGAGCTAAGCGGAATATTTTAATGGAGTTTTATATAAAAAAATACTATCTCTGCATACACACATACACCAGTAACTTCGCTATAAATTTTATTGGATATTTGAACAAAAACTTTCAAAAAATAACTATGCCAGAATATACTATAATCAATTATGATGTCACAAGTTCAGAGGATTGAAACCCCATAGTAAGATAACAGAAATGGTTTTTGAGAAATTAGATACAAAATTTTTAAAGTTCTCAGAATTTAATTTCTTACTTGTTAATCCAAGTACGCAGCTATTTCGGGTTGGTATTTCAAGTTATAACAATAAGCCAAATAATAAGTATTAAACAGGAATGTTCCTAGATGAAAATGTAAGGTTCATATTTTAAAATTTTCGTCACATTTAAGTACCCTTTGATGGATAAAACTTTTTATCCTGAATTAGTTCGCTAATTCTTCAAAGAGACCAAACATTTTAAGACATTACATCTAGAGGTATAAAGAATAATGACGCGTATGTGTTGTTATTTTTTGTATCTTCATATCATATTTCTTACTAAAAATGTAGGGGTAAGAATTTTTAGTCACCTCATTCTGGTTGTGTTATGTTTGGTGTCTCCTCAATATAATATGAAATTAACTTCATTATGACAATATACTTTGTTTTAACAAATTACCTTTTTGGTCTCTCCTTTTTAATCTCCCTCTTAATTGGAGATTAACATAATAACTATTATGTAATATACCTATCATAATAGATTCAATCAATTTAACTGAACTTGGAGCTGTTCATTCGCTTTGAAATATATAAACCTTATAAAAAGTACACGGTTTTATACCAACCACGTTAGACACAATAATCAAAATCGACCCAACAATAAATGTTAAAACAATTAAGAAAAAGTGTTTATGGTCCAGGGTGATTCTATTTTAACATATATGCTGTACCGATGATTCTTCCCTAATGACTTACTGTCTGATAATAGATTTTGTTTACACTATACGCATTGTTAAGTTTTGTCTGGCAAATTAATTTTAGACCAAATTGTTCTGGGCTACAAATGTTTTTGTAAACCTTTCCATTAAGGTATCATCAAAAGAAATAATTTGGAGGCGTTAAAAAATTGTTTGTCTAATATAAGAAATGCATTTTTTCAGAAGATCTGTGACATATGATTCCTACAATGAATTATAACACCATGTATATTTTTGTACGTGACACTATTTACTGTAGCTTCGAAAAAAAAAGGGTCCACTAATCGACCATACAAATATTCTGACAGTGCAAAGGATTTCACATATCCACTAAGGTGAAAATATGCCGCATTAGAATAGTAAACACGATCAAGCTGGAAGCAAAGGAACTGAAATCGATGTTTTGATGGATGAATATTTGAAATCATTACAGTATTTTTATAACCAAATATAATATGCATAGAGTATAACAAACCTGCCCTCCTCTGTTTTTGCTTGATTTAACCAAAAAATTTCACAGAGTATGGATGACAGCCGTGATAAAAGAATTACAGCGCAACAACCTCGATCCGAACATCGTTGACATAACAGTACAACTTAAGATTATTAACACAATAATAATTAGAACTAATACATAAACATTAGAACAAGTGGATGTGCAGACAGGGCGACCTCTTCAATGACTCAGCCCCTTGTTATTTAATCGACTCATGGTAGTATGTAATAGACAAAATATGTAAAGTGAACTATGGTTGCACTGTGATTGGACAACAATCAAGTTGGCGTGCAACGCAGATGATGTAGTCCTACTGGCTGATACTGAGGATGTCCTGCACAATTATTAACACAAGCATTTAACATTGTAGCTGAAGAATTGAATATGCAAAGATAAACAAGACCATGACGATAGCAAGTGAACCCTATAGATGCAAAATACAATTATATAAGAACTACTACTTTTGGCCTATAGGAACAAAAGCAATATTGTATAACAAGGCAACCAGAATTGTTTGTGTGCTAAAGCACATTCTGGAGAACAACTATTTATCGACTGGCACAAAACCAAGAATATATAAGACATGCGTGAGGATTGTGATGATTTATGTGATCAATAACGTGTAATTCGTTGATATTTAAGATAAGTGTGGTACCATGGATATAGTGCAATGGATGTGAGCGAGAAGAGAATGTTGTAACGAGCATGTATCCAGGATGGATTATAACAGATTGGTTAAGATCACTAGAAATAGAAAGACACTCTCCAGGCGACTACCAGGATGCGCGCTGGAGAGCGGAGCGTTAGTCATTCTTATCCCAACATATAACGACGAGATTCGCTGTTATACTGAATCTGACTTCATACTCTCTTCAAACTGTATGAAGCCGCTTTTCTAATCTCCATCAGTTTGATGTCAGTCAGATTGACCAACTCAAAAAGTTCTCTTATTGTCAGCAGTTGATCCGCATTCACGGAAACGGCCGACCTAGGTATCAATGAATTTCTTATAACACGTGCATATTCGACTGAAAAATATTAAAAATGATATTAAGAAAACAAGATGTTGATAAAACTGAGAACTTCTTAATACTACAGACGTCAAATGATAAGTTGCATTTCCAGCTATCCTATGTTGGTGTATAAAAGTTATTCAACGAAACCACAACTTATAAAAAAACATATTTCGATGGGCCTTTTGCAAATAAATTTCTATCTGATCTTGTTTATGTAGTGAAATTGAAACTGTTAATTTTGGCCCCCTTATTCTTGTGTCATATAATGCTGTATTAGGTTCTTTAATATTTTCTTTTTGCATCATCTCAAGCACCTATTAGTATATTATTTGTAAAACGCCAACTAACCCTTCACGTCCAAATCGTAATCTATTAAAGTTTTGTTATTTATCATGCCATGAGAAGGTATTATTATTATTGGAGTAGTTTTGAATATAAATGATTTCATATTTTAAAGAATGAGTGTGATATATGTAGGATATAAGTATATTTTCGTTTTCATTATTGTTCTGATAAGATTTATCAATCAAAGAGGAAAATCCGTTTATTGTTTACACATTTTATATTATTTTAGTTGCATGCCTCACTCATACTTATTTTGTTATCTCAACATCTGTACAAGTATAATGGATAATAACCTACCTCGCAAGCTGTTAATTAGTGCTCCTTTATTAATTTGAAAAAGTTTTAATTTCAGTTATTCAAATTGTAATAATTTTATAGTTATTTTAAGAGGTTCTTTATTTTCAAACAAATCATAAAAAGAAATAAATAATATAAATGCAATATGTATCACAATAAATCAACAACAAAAATTTAGTCCCTGGGTGGATAATACTGCTCTAAATAGCACATTAATTCCTCCGCAATTTTTTCATTATTAGCGCATAACATTCTTCTTGATAGTCGATCTAATTGGCCGCCTTTTGGATCCATTATAACCCCTCCAGCTTCCTTTATAATGATTTCTCCAGCTCCTATATCCCAAATGTGAGGTCCGTACTCAAAATAAGCTTCTGCTCCTCCCATTGCAACCATGCACATGTTTAAAGCACATGATCCCAAAGTTCTTACTCTAAAAAGAATTTGTTGAAAAAATTTGTTTTGAGGTTATTTTTTTTTATTTACCCATGTATTTTAGGTACGAGATTCGTAAAATTATTATAAACTGATCGCAGTTTTTCATCATCCCTACTTGTACCAACTTCCATCATTAATAAAGATTTTGATAATTTTGTTTCATTTGAAACTTGAATAGGACTTCCATTCAAAAACGCTCCATTCCCTTTTACAGCGGTAAATAATTGGTTTAAAGAGGGATTAAAAATAATACCAATAACAGGATTAAAATTCATAAATAAGGAAACGGAAATACAGGAATGCGGAAAGCTATGAACGAAGTTCATCGTACCATCAACAGGATCGATAATCCATGTCGGACAAGACGTTAATTCCACCTTTTGTCCACCTGAAACGGTTTCTTCCCCAATAAATTTATGATCAGGAAAAGCTTTTCCCAAACCTTCAACCAACATTTCTTCCACTGCTTTATCGGTTTCTGTGACTAGGTCAACATCGTCGGTTTTGATTTCGACTTGTTTTTCTTGAGAGATTTTTTCAAACACATACTTTTATAATGGATATACAAAAAAAATTTGAAAGTAACAATTTAGGTTATTATTTGAAAATCACTCACTTTTCCTGCCATTTTTGTTAAATCTAACGCTTTTTTATAAAACGTTTCAAGTTGTGGATCCATCTTGTTAGGATAAATTTTATTTAATTTGTTTGTAGGCACCGAAAGGTATCTTATTAACTGAAAAGCTGTAGCACGCATGTGTGAAGTGTGTGGGTTTTAATCTTGTTTGATGGTTTTGTTTTTTGAAAAAGAGATGGCGCTATGATTTTTTTTATGTAAAATTTCTTAATGTGGAAAATTATGTAAATAAAGTTTTTGTTTAGGATAATTACAAGGATTTAGGAAATTTATTATTTGTTGCTTAAAGGGAGTGTTAAGTGATGAGTTTTGTATAAAATGAGAATATCTTTCCAAATAATTATTTATTTGCACAATACACAAAATAAGATTCTTTTCGAATTCATGATATGTTCAAAAACCTATAAATAACATTAAAAAAAATAAGACCTTAAAATATCCTCACTTAATTCTTTATGGGATACAATTACCTAATTCAAAATTAAATAAAATAAATTAATCAAAAAAAGTAATCAGATAAAATATAGATTAATTAAAAAATCTAAAAAAAAGAGATTCTAAAAAATCGAAACTTTTTACATTTAACAACAAGCGTTTAAGTTTAAATCGTCAAGATACAACATCAACTCTTGTTTTTCTTCGTTATGCATTTACTTAGCAGATTAATATACTCTTTTATATTATGTATAATAATAATTTTGTTCTAAATTTTTTGTCTTTATTGTAAAATTTGCTTAAGCATTTTCAGGTCGGCCACCAAACAGTTGTTCAACAACCGAAGAATCCGCCAACGTGCTAACATCCCCAACATTTCTATCATTTACAGCTACTTTCCTCAATATCCTCCTCATTATTTTTCCGGATCTAGTTTTCGGTAAAGCGGGCGCATTTTGAACAACATCTGGTTGTGCAAACGGCCCGATCCTTTCGCGGACGTGGTGTTTTAATTCTTGCAATAATTTCGCATCGAACTTGACCTGATCTGTTGTTGTGATAAAACAATAAAGACATTCGCCTTTCACCGGGTGGGGCTTCGCAACAACGGCCGCTTCCGCAACACCCCGATGTTCAGTTAGAATGGATTCAACTTCGGCCGTGGACATTAAATGACCGGAAACGTTTAACATGTCGTCCACTCTTCCGGTTACCCAAAGATATCCATCAGCGTCACGTCTGGCACCTAAAAAAATTAATTTATAGTATTAGATTATTTGATTTGATCGAGGTTAAGCGAGTTGGAGACTGATGATTGACCTAAAAATGAGATTGGATTGGTTTAAGTAAGCTAAGATCTACTCATTGAAGAATATAATGAGAAACTTTGAATACTTAAGTAATCTATATACATATTTATTATGCATTTTTTCTTTCTTTTTATGCAAGAAACTATTTTTTCTACGATTTTTTTAGCATCATATTTTAATACCGTTTTTAAAATAAGGTCACAATTTCCATATTGTATTTTAATTAAAAATCCTGTTATAGACTCACCATCGCCAGTGCAATAATATCCCGGAAATTTAGAGAAGTATGTTGATTCGTAACGATCGTGGTTGTTATACAAAGTCCTCATTATTCCAGGCCAAGGTCTGGAGAAGACTAAATAACCTTCGCCTTCACCTTGGATCTCTTTCCCGGACTCATCTAATAAAACGGGTTGTACTCCAAAGAATGGGGTTGCCTGAAAATTAATATTGAAAAAATTTAAAACAAAATTCCCAAGCAAAAATTTTATTTAAATATGATTCTTTAACTTACAGCAGCTCCTGGTTTCATAGGAACAGCTCCTGGTAGTGGTGTCAAAACGTGTCCCCCAGTTTCAGTTTGCCAAAAAGTGTCCACAATCGAACATTTTTCACCACCCACCAACTTATAATACCACATCCAAGCTTCAGGATTAATCGGTTCCCCCACAGAACCCAAAACTCTCAACGAAGATAGATTATGTCTCTTTACTAAATCATCCTCGAATTTCATTAAAGCTCTAATTGCCGTTGGGGCGGTATAAAATTGGGTTACTTTGTATTTTTCAACAATTTCCCAGAAACGGTCGTTGTTTGGATAAAATGGAGTGCCTTCGTACTATAAAAAAATAAACGTTCTAAACACGTGCATTTTAAATTGTAAGTACACATAATGACGTTAAAAAAAAATGATTCATTATTAAGTGGTTGTTATAATGAGGGGGCAATTTTTATTTTCTATGCAAAGTAGTTACGTGAAAAAATGTTTTACAAAACTAGTAAATGATTTAAAATTGGATGTAATTTCGAGATTTTTAAAAAACTACTTTAAAGTTAATAAAAAAAATTGGATTGCGACGTCAAATATTTTTGTAAACTTTGAACCGGCGATGAAATTGGCGCTTTTCACCGTTGAATGCTTAAATATTGCGTTATTGACGTCAATTTGAAATGAATTCAAAAATATTCCAATATTTAAAAAAACTATCTTACCAAAATAGAAGTGGCAGCATTAGCTAATGGTCCATAAACAACATATGTATGTCCGGTGATCCACCCAATATCAGCGGTGCACCAATAAATATCGTTAGGTTTATAATCAAAAACATATTTAAAAGTGGTAGCTGCGTAAATCATATAACCGCCGGTTGTATGAAGAACGCCTTTAGGTTTTCCGGTAGATCCGCTTGTGTATAACATAAAAAGTGGATCTTCGGCTTGAACCCACTCAGGATAACAACTTGTCGAAGCGTCAGCAACGGCTTCTTGCCACCAAATATCTCTCCCGTCTTTCATATAAACTTTTTTGTGTTCCTGCATTCTATTCGGGGACGTTACTCTGCATAAATGCTGAACAACAACGCAACAATCGACATTGTGTCCATGTTTCGAGCATTTTTCCATCGCCTGATCGCAAATCGATTTTAGTTGCAAAAATTTCTCTCCACGCCAAACTCCATCAGCTGTTATTAAAACTTTCGCTCCGCAATCTATTATTCGTTCGCTAAACGAATCGGCTGAAAATCCTGCAAACTAATCGATAAACAAAGAACAATTAGATGAAACGTAACCAGCACATTCCTTAAATTTACATTGGAATGGTAACAACAGGCCAAAATTTAAAAGTTAAAAGAGGTTATTGTATTTAAATTAGAAATAAAAAAAAATCGCTTTTAAAAAATTTACTTTTACTAACCACTAATGAATGGACAGCGCCGATTCTTGTACAAGCTAAAAGTGCTATAACAGCTTCCAAAATCATTGGCATGTAAACGGCTACTCTATCACCTTTTTTGACACCTTTACTTTTTAGAACGTTGGCAAATTTACAGACTTCTTCGAGAAGACGTTTGTATGTTAATCTACTGTAATCATCTGGATGATTTCCAACCCTGCAAAAAAAATTCTCAAAGTTATTTGGAATTTTTTATTTCAAGTCAATTCAATTTTAATAATGTTGATACCCATTATGCCCACGAGCTTGCTTTAAAGTACATTGTTTTCAAAAACTACTGTATCATTATGTAAGGAGAGAAACGTTGCGGAAATTGAACTATAAATATTGATATTAAAATATTTGAAATATTTATCAAAGGCAAATTGCTTAGTTTTGTACAATATTGTATATTTTGAATTGACGTACTAATATTAAACAAAAACTAATTGGCTACATTTTTTTCTGGGTTTTACAACATTCTAACTTCAACTTAAATCTAACGTTAACTACTTTATTTGTTTTAGTCTATAATTGGAGACACTTATCTCATCGATTGAGCAACTCAGCAGGAAATATTTACTGGAAAAGTTGTTGTGAGGAGCAAAAATTTATCGCTACCAGACGGAAAATAGTTTAAAGATAATAGTAATAAACAAGATAGTAGTTTGAATCGGGAAACGTCATCGAACAATAACAATGAATTACATCATCAATTAAATGAGAAGTAAACTACCTGTATTGACCAAAACATGTAACAAACAAAGTAATTGATATATTTAAAACTCAAAAGGAAAGGATAAAGGTTCGTGATTGAATCATAGTACTAATTATAGCAAGGCACCTAGAACTAGAATTAAAACATTTTCTTCATTGGATTTCGACATCTTGATGGCGAACGGGACCACTAGTTTTTTGGACAAATCGATAAATCGCTAGAAAATTCTTCGCGGTTTCTTTTAGTGAAAAACATTGAGTGCGAATTACCAGTTATTGACAGGAACGTACAATAATTACAACTATTTTTATTTTGTGGTTGATTTCTAATAAAGGTCCATCCATCTTGTAAAGATGCAGATCTGATAATTTCAAAGAAATACTTATTTTGCTCCTCCAGAAAGTATTTGGTTGATTATAATAGTAGTAGAAAATTGAAACTATTACTATATGAAATGATATTAAGGCCGGTTGTGACATATAGAAGCGACGTCTGGTCATTTACAACACAAAATAAGAATAGCCTAAAGATAGTTGAATGAAAAACCATGTTGAATGAGAAAACATTGTTAGATTTGCAAAAGCTCAGAGAATAAAAGGGATGGGAGACATCTTAAGAATGAGTGAAACCAAGAAGAAAGTATTTGCGAGCAAACCAGATATACCAAGAAATAGGAGAAGACCTAGAAAAAGATGGATAGACGGTGTTACTAACGGCATAAAGAAGTAGCGCGTTAAAAATTGGAGAGTGACAGCACTTAATAGAGTGCGTAATTGTGCAGAAGGCCAAATCTCACCAAGAGATGTAAATATAGACAGAAATATAATGGAGGCCAAAGCAATCTTTCAAGTAGTTCGTTTGTGGAGATGAATCTAACTTTTGGGGCGCTGAGTACAAGATATATTTATAAGTAAGTAACTTTTGATGGGAATTATGTGCCAAATATATAGTTTGAAATTTTTTTCTAGTTATAGTTTTTGAATACATCCATTTTCAATATTTTCGATATCTTAAGTTCAACTCTTGTTACAATTGAGGTTATATCAAATGACAATGAGTTTGACTTGGAATACTAAGGAGTCGTTAAGGACAGAGGACTCTTCAAGGTATGACTATGAATATGACCCTTAATAAATTTAATTAAGGATAAGTAGTGTTGGTGGGAATATATGTGAAGTTCGTCGAAGTGCCATAAAGTATGGAGCTTTTGACACTTTAATCGAAAATACTTATTGCGGTTATTTATTACTGTGATAAATCCTGTTATAAAGGATTAAGCATTTATTTATTCCACAATGTTGAAAATTTATCTTTCATTTTGACTTTTCAAAAGATCAATCTGACAAAATTGAAATAATGTCTGATGGAAAACTTATTTGCAAAACCACGGTGTTGTTGTTGGTACTCACTAGATACTCTTCAACTTACAACATTTTTGTTTGATTTTGAACCTATTTGGTTTGTAAGTAGAGTGTTATTAAGTTTCTTTAAATACTTTCGCCTAATATGATATTATTCCTGATGATGGTATAAAATTAAAATCGGTTAAACAAATATAAAGTTAATTTTTACCAAGTTTCAATTAACTTAGATTAATTATTTCTATCATTTATCACCTCGTATAAAACAGCAAAATTAACTCTGCCAAATTTGATCTCAATAAGCCAAATAAATAATGATCCAATAGTATTAATAACATTACATAATCTCTAAAAATATTAATATGTAAGTCATAAAACTTATTTTTTTATTTAAATAATAATTTATAATGATTTGCAATTAATTATTTAATCTTATCGATCGCGCCACAAATTTACCCAACGAATCAGATCCGATTTCTCTGACATCAGACCATGTGGCCTCACCGTTTCGACCAATCGGAGACTCCGATTTCTGGTCTGACGATTTCCCCGCGAACATCCTCTCTCAAATTTAAACCTAAATTCACTTTCGCTGCGCCAAAAAATAAAAAGTAACAATTTCGTTTCTTTATTTTATTTACTAACCAATAATAAGCAATTTGATCTCCGTGTCCATTACGAACATTCCTATCCAATACATTATAACAAATGTTTGTCGTAGCCCCGTCGAACCATTTCGTATAAATCGGTCCTTTTCTTATATCGAAATTGTACCGAAAGAAATTGTCGTATTTAATTGGAGTTTCCCAATGAAATTGTTTGGTGATTTCACCCCAAAATTCTTCGGGGTTGTCGATCGATTTGTTGTACTGCTCTTTGTAGTCAGCGAAACTCGAAACGTAAGCGTTCTTGAATAACGTTTTGTCCGGTGCATATATCGATTTTTCAGATGGCATTTTTTTTAATTAACTAATAAGATAGCGAATGATGAATCACTGTGATTTATATTATTTTTTATTGTCGTAATCTGCTTCGCGCCGCTGATGTACTTTAATCACACTCAAACGTAATCGCGGGATTCCGAGCTGGTTTAGAGCTATAAATGTTCAAGTGGTCGGTTGGTTGGATACTGAATAGGTGCGCATAATCGGACGGATATTTATACCTGCGCAGTGACGATGGTGAAAATCGTCACCGAATCGATTCAACTTTTTGTTTGAAATATGATTTTTATACACATTTTTCTTAATATAATGACCATTAATAGATATTTTCACAATTATTGTTTTCAAGCAAAAATTAACTTTTATTCGGGTTTATACAGAAATGAATTGTTATATTAAAATAAAATTCTGCTTTAAGGGTTTTTCAATAAGATGCTTGAACATTCTAAAAATGTTGATGCTTTTGTAATAATTTAGCTAGAGTTCAAAGATTTCCAGGAAAGTAAAAAACGATGAAACTGATTCTATTCATGCAAAAGTGCAACAGTTCGGCAGATCATGGCCAGAACAAACCAGCAATACTGATGCAAAACAGATATAACATCTATACGACTAATCGTAGTGTACCCGCATGGGAAGGATCTTTGGTTTAGTACTGACGAAAACACTGATGTTGATATTGGTCCTTCTAAAAAGAGAAAAAAATAGGTAGATACCGGTTGCGGAAGACTATTTACTGCTTCCAGAAAACCAAATACTGCTCCTAGAAGATTAGACACTGCTGACAGAGGATCAGATATTGCTGAAAAAAGATTAAATATTGCTTGCAGAACACTAGATACTGTTAATGGAAGTCTAGAAACTGTGATACACAAATTTTATTAATTAATTTCCATTTAAAATCCTAGTTTAAAAACACCTGCCAAACCTTGAACGCAAACTGACAAATTAAGTACCTGGAAGCTATCTTTTCTGGCAATAACATGTACATTTTACAACTTTTAGAGAAAGTTGAAGTAACATGGATCTACTCTGTTATCTAAAATTGTGCAGCAGTTGCTGGGGTTGAACGTATCATGAATTGAACGTACTCACCTTACTTGAAATTTATTGTTTTACATTTATGCACTAATAATAAAGACTCTACGTAATACCAACAACAACAATAAAAGTTTGAACTTGACAGGAATTATAGAAAAAAGAATATGGCTTAAAAATACTGTCCGAAAATAAAATTTAATAATTCTGGGTAAAATTCGAGTTCGTTCTGCAATTGCAAACGTCTACAATCATTGAGAAACACCTTCAATTATATTGCCTAGACCCCGAGAAGCTTAACATAATAAGCTTAAATGGACATAAGCCGAAAATAATTGCGGAATAGGCTTAAGAATTTGACGATTCTCAGGGGGTTCATTATTTTGCGAAAACCCCAAACGTTTGTTATGCCATTTTCGTGATGAGGCGACACGAAATCCTGAAGACCAACCTCAGGTATTTTTAATTGGGTTGTCGAAATTGATTAATTATATTAAAGCGATTGATTAAAAAACAGAAAAAAAGCAAGGCCAACACCTTATTTCCGTCTGAATCGACTTTCATGAATGAGGACACAACGGTATTTCAAACGATGTATGTTGTAGAACCTCGTAATTCACGTTGATCTCTACTGGATTCCAAAATGGTGCTTGTAGTTGTGGTTGACTGAAAATGTTAGGCTATGTTTTTGAACCCTAAGAAGACGTAAGATTCCAAAAATGTTTATAATATAGGGAGGAGACCTTTAGTTTCCCGAGTGTTACCATTAATAACTGGTAAAAGAACGAAATTCCTCAAATTTTCATATTTATCACGATATCTATGCATCTGACAGCAAAAGTGCAAGAGAGCAATATTGTTATGATTAAAATTTGCCACAACTTTCTTTCTAAAAGTTTTTTTGTAACATGCTCCGTTTCCCAAGTGTTACTATTAATAACTAGTAACACAACGAAATTGCTCAAATTTTCATATTATCGTATTTATCACGATATCTATACATCTTAGAGTAAACATGAAAGAGAACAATATTGTTAAAAATTAAATTTGCTACAACTTTTGTTATAAAAGTTTTTTTGTAGCATGCTCAGTTTTCCGAGTGTTACCATGTGGTTACCATTAATGACTGGTAAAAGAACGAAATTCCTCAAATTTTCATATCGTATTTATCACGATATCTATACATGTTAGAGCAAACATGCAAGAGAGCAATATTGTTAAAAATTAAATTTGCTACAACTTTTTTTCTAAAAGTTTTTCTGCAGCATGCTCGGTTTCCCGAATGTTACCATATGGTTACCATTAATGACTGGTAAAATAACGAAATTCCTCAAATTTTCATATTTTCGTATTTATTACGATATCTATGCATCGGAGAGCAAAAGTGCAAGAGAGTCACCTATAGCCTTGAATGTGGTTCTGTTTATAGAAGAGTAGTCGTATTAGAATACGTGTTATTTACTGTATATTAATCTGCCAGTCATAAATTTAAAACCTCATGAGTGATTACACTAAATAGGATTCAATTTGTATATGAGTTCTTCACGCACTGGATTAGTTCTGTCAAAGATATTGGGAAGACTACACTGGAAAAGTAGTACTATGATACCAGATTTTGCAAAGTGGAATTGACGATTGACGATCCTTTGTGTTTCTGTCAGAGAACCTTTCGTTAGCCAAAAATATACACCGTTAAAAATGTCCTGTAAACGGGAAAGTGGAAAGAGCATCAGTAGTAAAAACATAGAAACATGATATTAAAACTGCAGTGGAGTATAATGAATTCTGCATAATGGAGGGTTAATTTCTAAATATTTCAAACTTCAAAACATTGTCTCAATAAAGATAGTCTTACTTTTTTTATAAATATAACACATTAAGGTAACAGCTTAATACACACAGAAAATTAACCCTGAAACTGCACTTTTATTTGGAGTAATATGTCTTCCTAACACTCCTCAAGATATTCGATTCCATTACATTACTTTAAATCATCAAAAAGTGCTAATAATGCAGAAGCAACATTCGGAAACTTGTAAAAGTTTATTTTTTTACTTCTTTTTATGTTTATAAGTAGCTAGTAAATTTCAACATATTTCCCAAGATTTGATTAATTTAAAAATTGTTTTTAAATAATTTACTATATAACTTGTACACAAAAAATATTATTTTTTTAAAGTATCGATGTTAAATGATTAACTTTTTTTTCGATAACACTTAAGTGATTTTGTTACGTTAAATATAATTAAGGCTAATTACAGAAGCTTAAGCGTACACATAATAACAATCGGAACGCAATTAAATCAAATTTATAACCGTGTATACTATAAAAAGCGATTTAATTTTGAATTATTTCTTAATCTTAACTGTATTTACTACTATAAAAGTAAAATTTTATCGGAATTTTTATGTAATATTTAAATTTTTTACAATCAAATTTTGTTCTCAGACGAAATTACGTAACGGTCAAAGTCAAGTAAACATTTTTAAATACGTCAATTGCATCATTATTGTTGTAGTTGCTCAAAAGTTTTTTAAAGGTTTTAAAATTTTTAACAAACAACAAAAAGAACGTTTTATCTTGCGTTAAAGTTTGGCGAGAAACTATTTTTAACAAAGGTCATAAGTATAAAACAATCTAATTTTTTAAATAATTCATGACCATTTTCTTTTCTTTGCTTTCTGTGTACTTACAATGTATTGGTGTTAGGTTGGCATATCAATGCGTTTGTTTCGGGAAAAAAATTTGTGTTTCAAATGAAGCAAAAAATGATATAGTAGAAGTAAAGGAACTGTATTGTTAAAATTCTAATTAATATATTATTAAAATGGTGAAATATGAACAAACGTGCAATGAACCATGTACGTTTAATTCAAAACGTTTTATCAATTAAGTATTATTTTTATATCCACGTAATTATTTACGTTTCACGCTGGTTTTAATGCTATAGATTGTTATTTTATTTCCGTGAAAATAATATCAATTATTATTATAGTAATATACTTTTATCAATTGGGTGATTTGGATGACTTTCAATTACTCATGGTGTAATTATCATCGAATAATTTTAACCATTATTTGATCTAGTCGAATTTTACGACATCAACAGAAATAAATCTGCTGCTGATGCAATTAAATAAATATTACGTAAAAAAATTCAACGTAGAAATAATAAACATTATTACTATTATTTACTTAGAGATGTTTTCAAGTACTTAAATATAAAAAAAGAGGTGTTGTTAATGAAACATAAAAGATCTATAAGATTTTCATGCTTTTGCATGACGAATTTTGTAACTAACACAATTTACATTTTCATTTTTATCTTTTATTTGAATAATCTTTCGAAATTTAACCTTAAACTTATTTTGTAAATTTAATTTTTTTTTATATTGATCAAGGTCGGAATGCCCTCTGATAAAACTCGTAACCTAGACATGACATGTAAACGTAAAGGTCAAATTGAAAAGTGAAAAGAATAAAACAGCAATGTTTTTTAACATTTATTTTTTAATATTTGTGCATGTTGTAATTTTTCTTATTATACAATCGGTTCGCTTAGTTACTGGTATAAAGATACATATCGTATCTTTAGGTTGTAGATTATGAAAGATGTGAAGATGTTTCCAATATAAATTCGGTCGCGTGATGTTAAAACATCGGATGATGTTAGTTTTTGAGATTATTTTATATTTATAATATGCTTTTATCTCTATACATCAAACATCGAGAATCACCTGACATTTGAATTATTTTGTTGAAAATTTAACTAAAAATAAAATAATTGAGAAGTTGTCCTCCAACGTAATCGCTTACGGTATTTTCTAATTAAAATATTAAATTTTATTGATCCTTAACTATTTCAGATTTAAAGTTACATTGGACCTTGATTTAATGGTTGCAAAATTAAAAAATATTTAATTCATAACAGTAAAATCTTATGTAATATTCATACAGTATTATTCATTTTAAGAAATAAATTTAAAATTTACTTTTGAAACCACGCTTCAATGAGTAGTTAGAATTAAAATTTTGTGGCTCATCTAGTATTTGTTCTAATGTTGGCTAAACTTTTTTGTCAATGATTTATTCGAATATCTACAATCGCACTCCATTTAAGAGTACCCTTACTGTTTCAAAGCTCTTTAAATTAATTACTTCTAGATATGAATTGTTTAAGTATTTGTACCGAGAATTTTATTTATTTAAGACTATACTTGTTGAGGTTGAACTCGTATTGAAGGGTAATCCAAAGTAACTCATAATAAAAAAAAGGTAAATCTGACAACATTGCGAATGTCAAGTTTGGAATCTCCGTAATACGCATACAACAAATTTTGTACGACTCTGACTACCCAATAACTTATAACTATGGGTCAATTAATATCACGAATATCTGTCAATCTGTCATATAAGAACGACACGATTGATAATAATAATAATTATTTATTGTGCCAACCCATGATACAACAAAACAAAAAAAAACAAATACAATTCATAATACTCAATAAAACAAATACAAATCAACAAAATAAATAAATTAATCAATAATAACTCAATTAGATATGTTAGCACAAATGGTGAAGGAATAGATAAAAATCTGGTTTCACTTCCACCGTGAAACAAAAAAAGACCAGTTACTCAATTCACCAGTTACTCGACTGCACACATCCGGCAACTCATGCGCAAAAAAGCTACAGTACAGCTGTATCCGCGTACAAATGATACAACAGGGCACTTAAAACAGAAAATAGATTGCAAGTAAAAATTGTGAAAAGTGTGGGACCCAAGATGTGGCAACCAGATGCAATTGCCATAGAAGACGAGATTATACCATTCACCCTAACTGACTGCCGCCTATCCTGAAGATAATTCCGAAACAACGAAATATCCGCACCACTAATTCCAGTATAATGTAAGATTGACAACTAATAGATCATAATTTAAAATGTCAAAAGCCTTAGTGAAGTCTAAAAGAATTAACATTGTTGACCTTCCCTCATCAAAAGACCTAAAGACGTCATCAGTAAGGTCCAGCAGCGCATCAACACAGCTATAGTGTTTTCTGAAACCCGATTGTCTGTCAGGTAGAATATTATTCTCATTCAAGTGGCCACAAAGCTGTTCAACAATCACTCTCTCAAGTACCTTGGAAACGCGGGAAATATTGTCACAGGCCGTAAATCTTTCTTAACCTTTATAGATTTTGACTTCGGTACTGGAGTTACAAGACCATACTTCCAGGCAGATGGAAATACAGACTCCCGGAGACAGACATTAAATATGTGACACAAAACGTCAAGTATCCGAGGACAGCACAACCTTATCATATCTAAAGAAATCCCATCAGAACCAATACCACCTGATTTTAAGGATGATAATAAATTCTTAATTTTATTAACTGAGACAAGCTCAAATGTCAAGTCACCACTCACACTACGCATCCTGTTGTCACGATAATAACTCAACAAATCCTGATTAGGAGGAAACAGAACATTTTGAGCAGAATCAACAAAAAATTTATTGACCGATTCGAGATCAGTTAAGCTACCAGGCAAAACAGTAGAAGATGAATTAACAACATTGTACCTTTTTAAGCGCTTAAATTAATATTAATCAATATTAATTTATTGTTTTCATGTGTAAAACGAACCAAATAAATAGCATTAGTAACGTCTTCTAATCTAATGACTAATAATTCACTAGTGTAACAGAAGAAAATGATCAAACCAATTAGCAATTCAAGTATTACAGAAAATGTTAATATTTGTATCGGAACTAGTAAGGCTTCTTGCTAAGGTTTTAAATTAAAAGGGACATAATAATTAACAAGAAGGCTACATGTGATATAATTATCATTAAAAAGATGTTTAGTATTAGAACAAATAGCGGCAAAGAAAATATTATTACCAATTAAGGCTAGCAAAATAAATTTTAATTTACGAGAGATTTTTAATATCCTTTGTAATGTTTTATCGACTTTGACAAGTCTGTTAGATTTGCCGTTTTTATCGACATCACTTAAAAGTTTAACTAGATTCAACACGGGAGAGTTTTTGTAACATAGTTGAAAATTTGTTGAAATAATTATTACTCCCATAAGTAAAAATTGCATATGATACAAATATTCTTGAATATTTTTCTTGGAATCTATAATAAACAATAATAAATAAAATAATTTACTACTATCATTATTATAATTACCTAATATTTGCTTCAATAAAGGAAACGTTCCCAACAGGAAATGATAAATGGTTATAAGCGTTACACCAAAACCACGTAGACCGCGTGGTATTGGCCAAGAATAGTATTTCGCAAATAATATTTCAAGCTGATAGAAACCCCACATTTTATATGGCTGCATGCCTTGTCAAAAATGATCTAATCCTTTGTTTAATGGGACATCACAATTACGTTCCATCAGAACATTATAAATAATAAAACGACTAGCTGGTACTAAGTATGCTCGATTCATTACATTTCCATTAAGGTTCGGCAATTATCTATTCTTATATGAGATACGACCCTCGTTAGTTATTTGACCACCTTTACCTTAACCGATTATAATTAATTGTAAAAAATGTTTTAATAAATATCACATCATACGCTTTGGTAATCTCAAAAGGGACAAAACTAAATAATCCGTTCTAAATCCAGGCTTGGTAGGAGACCATAGATTCCTTTTAGACAACTAGTTACAGTCCTCTCTACAATTTTAGACCTTGCTGATAAAATATTAATTTGTTTGAAACCATTAAGATTGTCGTTGTTTGAGATCTTGAGGAGCAAAATTGGCACAACACCTGAACAATAGAACGGCAACATCTTTTTTCTCAGCATTTAGTCATCCACTCCTGGATTCTTCCCAGCTTTTCCTTAATGTCATCAACAGAGCCCGGACAGTTTAGGTTCCCTCCGCACGATTTGTTTTACGTTGTAGGACATTGAGGCTGGAGTAAGGGGCGTTTGAGAGTCACCTTCCTAAACTGTTCGGACCCATCTTTGGGTTGATAACCAGGGCCCTTGCGTAGGAAGACTCCTAACAATGCTCCTTTTGTACATTCTGGGCCTCCATGTTCCAATCCGTATTGCACGTTTCATGCATGAATCTGGTGAAATTAGTGATAATGCAACAGCTAAAGCATCATAAATACAATGAACTCATTCTGCAAAATGAAAAGAAAGATTAAGAAGAGGAGGCTGATTTCTGAATGATGATTTGAAGTCTAATCTCTATTTTCTTATAACACCACTGAATATTTTTAGTCAAGAAGACATATTTCTTATTTACAAATTTATAATAAAGAAAGATAATAGAATACAGAAAATATAAAAAGTATTGAAACGATTAAAAATTGACATCGATTTTAAAATGAAAGTGTAATAAATTCAAATCAAAAACTATAATTATAACAGTTATAGTTTACGTCAATACTCTTTGTTGTAATACCTAGAAGATTGAACGGTTATGTTTATAATTGAAATAGGAAATGATGACTCATATGATTGATAAGATTTTCCCATTCATACGTGACGAGTTTTAAATATAAAGTTGAGCTATAGGAAATAGGTGACTACCTTTTAGTGACTATAATTAATAATTTTATCTTCTAATCAGTTAAAGTGTTCCACGTTTAACTATAAATAATATATACTATATTTTCGGTAATTGAACTTTAAACTTTTTTACTCATCATTGACGGAATTCCCAATACAAAGTGTTTTATACTGAGACACAAAAAATCAGGTTGAAAACTCATTTCAAATGAATAAAAAGATAATTTTAAACATTTATTTCGAATACTATATCTATTTGAATAGTTTAAATATACAAGCTTTTAATGTTCTTGAGTTTTCAAAAACTCTTTATACTGTTGCTCAGTCATCAATTTTTTTGTTTCTATATCGTTGGTAAGTTCAACTTTAAAAAGCCAGCCTTTATCATAACACGACGTGTTGATAAGAGATGGCGACTCTTCCACGGCAGTATTCTTTTCCTTTACAACTCCAGAAACGGGACAATAAAGCTCACTGGCTGCTTTTACGCTTTCTAAAGCACCACATTCATCTAAAATTAATTCAAGAACAAATAAATTAAGATGATTTTAAATTAAAATCTATACCATGCTGTTTAAGGTTAGATTCTATTTCCGGGAGTTGGGCGTATACAACGTCACCTAGTGCCTCCTACAACAATTAATTTTTTTTTTTGAACAATTTTTAAAAAATTAACCAATATTAACCTGAGCATATTCTGAAATTCCAACCGTTCCAATTTTACCATTTATTTCTATCCATTCATGTTTATCACTATATAAACGTTCTAAAAATTGAAATAAAATATTATTTTAGATTAATATATAGAAATCTAACTTACCGGCCATCAATTTTCTGGCGACACTTATAAATCTTTTATTGGAACATCCAAGAGGAATCCGTTTTAATAATGACGATTTTGTTAACAAACGTCCAGTTTCCAATGCTAAACGGGGAATAACCATTTCAGAAAACTTACTATAAATTGTGAGGTAAATCAATTGACACAAAACCCGATTCTAAAACCGTCTTCGTCTTCCGTCACGCAATCTCTTAAAACAGACGCTCGTCGCGTTGTGGAGCGGATATTTTTAAAGAATAATTATCTAAAGATTGCGAATAGTACGTTTCAGTTTTCCGACCCCACATGAGTTTACACATAGATCACACGCGAAGAGGTCGAAACCTTTTGAGGTCGAAGGTTTTTGAGGTTATGACGATTATGATTAAACGCGTGTGCAGATTGAGGGTCAGCCATTCTGATAACATATTTTTACGTTTTAAATATATGGAAAGACGAATAATAAATTGATGTGTTATTATTGGTTTTAAATATATTTTAATGTTATAAAATAATATTTCAATTGCGACTACATGTCATTTGATGTCATCAATGTCATCATCAAAAACATCAAAATATGAAATATGCAAGAAAATTATTAAAATTTAATAAAACATTTTTAATAAACTTTCAGTATTTCTGATGAAACTGACCTTTTCTGTTAAAGTATTCTTGGATTTGTAATGCCTTTTCTTCTCCTTTTCGCATTATCGTCTTTTTTTATTACATGTCTATAGTTATAGTTATTTCATCAATGGTAAACAACAGTGGTGGTTTTAAGTTTGTTGGGGAACTTGTGCTTCGTAAGTGATGTAATCTTATAGCAAAACGGTTGCACAGACTACTTATGAAGGATGTACCATTTGAAGTGGACGCAAAAGAACTTAAGCTATTTCAAAAGCTAAAATTGGTAATGAATCCAACGGTGTTAACGATTTTCCAACAAGGTGCTGAAACTGAAGTTCGCACTGAGCCAGCCAATAAGGATAGAATGGAATAGCTGCCATACTTATACAAAGAAGTTCAAATGATCAAATATTCCATCTGTATGCTACTACAGTCGTAGAACATTTGAGTCGGAATAAAACTACACTCGCTCTGGCAAAGTTTAGAATTTAGTTGCAAGGGAATCCATTCAGAGTGCAAGAATTGCTCGATGAGCGCTGAATCTAGAAGATTTAGACTACTCTATAATACACCGACCTGGTTCTAATATGAAGCACGTGGATGCCATGTCAAGATACCCAGTAATGATTAAAGAAGATAGATTAATAATACAGATACGTTTGGCACAAGAGAAGGATGAGAATTTAAAACAAATCTTCAATCTGTTAAGCAAAGGCGATTATGACAATTATGTTATTGACTGTGGACTTTTATGTAAAAATATAGACAGATCTAATTTCATACTGGCACCGAACATTTTACAAGGGGAGATCATCAGGAGATTACATGGAAATGGTCATTTTGGAGTTAGCAAAACAAAGAAAATGATTAAGAAAGTAGGATTCGGAGAAGGACCGGGAAAAACATCAACTGCCACGGATTCTATAAAACCGTGGAAGCAGCTTTATGGATTTGATGTTTTGAACATATGCTTACATAACCTGCAGTATCCGGCCAGGAAGTGGTTAATGTGTTGTTGCTGCAAACAAATTTTAATGCAAAGTTGGTGCAAGTTTTTGTGCATCCAGGATACCTAGTTGCTATATTGACATATTATTTAAGTAAATATACAAATTCGAATTGAAATGTTTAAATTGATTATATGTAATTAAATCAACGAAAATCGTAATGTAACACTACAGCGGACAATAGGATGTGTACACCACTATAATTCCAATAAGCAGCATATAAAAGCTTTATGGTTTAAAAGAATCAGTTATTAATTTTAAAAACCGTCAATAACTGTTTCATTATTTTGATTAAAAACACATAATTTACTTTTAAATATTTTATTCAAATAAAAACGCCAAACAATATATAATATCTACGTCGTACGTAGTTATCATTATCTTTTTTCTTTAATTAATTAATAATCTTTTTTTTTTTCATCTCAATAAATAATCGAAATGCTTCAAATATAATACATACAACTCTCTTATTTCATTTTTTTTTTGTTGTTTTTTTAGAATATTCAATAGTGAGCAATCGGTCGCTGTGCGGACGTTGAGTGCACAAAGAATAAACCTAATTCCACCTTTCTATTTATTTAATATTGTAATTAATATATTTAATCTCGTTTTATTTTACGTAATTGTTCATTTCTTTGTTCACTCTCGTCCAAAAATGACGACGAGACAGCCGCCACTGACATAGCAAGCCTTATTTGTTTAGTGCGTGATAGAAATACGCCGAACGTGTATATACTCGTTTTTTACATGTGATTTTCCCTTTTTTTATTAATAATTTATATTTTGCATGTGAAAAGTTTTGAAGTAGTAGCGTATCGTTTTGGGTTTTCATTCAGATGCCGAATTTGCGCTACTTTCAGATGTCTTATTAGGTTCATTAAGTTCACGTTCACATTCTCTCTAACTTCAACAATCAACAATGAAGCGATGATTTAAGATGATATAAAGATTAACGAGAATAAGGATATTTTTTTAACAAACAACAATAAAAAACTATTGGGGTAAATAATTAGTAACGACTAAGAATTATTTTATAATAATTATTTAAAATTTTGTAGATGGAGTTTGGATTTTTCAAAAACCTCAACTACGAAAAAATGATTTAACATCTGTTAATAACGGGGATATATTGAGATATGGTTTTTTTATCGAATAACAATTACAATAACAAATTCGACCTATTTTTCGATTTTATTCATTCTTTATCTGAAACAACGCATCTACGTCATCCGATGAGGATTACGCTCGGCTTTAAAAATTAAGTCTGATAGATTTTGATGAAAAAAGGTTGGAACTATTGTGTGCTCCAAGTCAGATGTAGCCGCCTCTCGCGTTTTTTAATCATGTGCTTTTTCTTTATATATTAATTATTATTTTCTTTTTAAATGCTGTGTGTATTCGAATTCATAAGAAGGAAGGTTGTTTTTGTCGTTTTTATTACAGGTTACGGTTTCTTTTTATTTATTTATTTTTTTTAAAGAATATATTGCTCCGTAACGTTTTCTTTTATATTAATAGATTTTATTTTCATATTTTGTTTCAGACTCTCTTGCTCTGTGTGCATTATGTGTTTTTCATTTTTAATTTTATGTGTGCTACAAATCGGTAAACATTTTGAGTGATGGTTAATGTTCTAAGGTGTACCTATGTACAAAGGAGCGCCCAATTTCACGGTTTTGCATGTTGACGGTTTTGATTCATTCTCTTTTGGGATTTTTATATTAATTTCTTCTTTTTTTTGGGCGCATACCACCGGTTATTATAAATTATTATCATTTATATTTTTCTTTTAGAATCACCCATTTTTAAATTAATTGTCGAGTATGCGTTTTTCTTTTCTCATTTAGTTTCTGGTTTTTTTACGTGGCTAAATATATGTACAGTCAGATAACTAATCATTTTGGTTTTCTTTAATCAATATATTTGGCTACGAGCGCGTCGTCCTATCTAAAATTTATATATCTTTACAATAATAATTTATATTACACTTTAGAATTTCGTTTCTCCGTACCGTGACGGCATTTTTGCAACTTTTTTTTTATTTCTTTTTTAATATTATTATTATCGTCTACGAAATAATAATATCGTCAGGTTTAACTTATGTATTTTTTTTGTATTCCGCTGCGTGTTTCCCTGAAGAGGTGTGCCCTTTTATTTTCTACAGGCTCATCTCGATTAGGGGTTTTTAGGAGAGTGCGTATAAACTACCCTAGGTTTATTCTCTTCATTTATGTATATAAATATTTGGTTTTTAGTCTGTGCGAGAATAGTATAAAATACAGGAACGTTATTTACACAACAACTAAACGAACTTCCGTATAGTCGATTTCAATTGTCCTAAGATCATTCACGTTTTCTTTTTTATCACCAGGGTCTTATCAAATCTTCATCAAGATTTAATTGTTTTATCATTAACTTTATTGCATCTATAACTAGATCTATCCATACGATTTATTAATTTGAAGAGGAAACACTTTTTTAAACGTTCCTATTTAACAATACGATTCTTTAAACTTTCTTTCTTTCATTTTGGCAGTGTCACACCTTAAGGGTAATCTTGTGTCAAGAGACAACGTTTATATTAATACTCTAACTGTGCAATCATCCACCCAATTATTATTGTTTAATTATAACAATAATTTTGTTTAAGATTGAAGGGATTTGTTTTGGAAAAAATGAAACAAAAACGAAAGATAATGACAAAACAATTAATAATATTCCTGGTGAACGTAATTTTTATTCTTAGAATGATCTTTCTAGTGCGCGATAATATCTGAGAGGGAAAACGTAAAAACCGAGTGAAATAAAAACGATTTGAGAGAGCATTCGAGATGACAAGAGAATAATCTACGATTCCTCGGGGGGTGGTTCGATTAAGGGACTTCGATTTGGGGTCTATGTACAGAACACGTCTCATGTCTCACCGGCGGCACTTATTCTTCCACAGCTCTTAATTCCTACGAGCGATGATTTTCTTCAGATTCTATTGATCCACCTTTCTGTTACCGCACGGTGAGCTCTTTGAGTTTGGATTTGCGTAGCTGCGGTTCGTTCGGGGCTCGCTTTCCTACGTTTTTTTGTCCGAGAATCGTGTTTATTGTCCCAGACTACTTGTCCTCCCCAAGAAGCACCAGATCATCCGCCACCACGTCCGAGATGTGAAGGTAGATAATCCAATACATCAGATTGAAGCACACGAAGCACACGGGAAACACGATTCTCGAATATTTATCAATGTCCGAGGGCGTTATGCCGTACAGCTTGTTGATGTCTTTGCCCGGGTGGATGATGTGTTGTGGAATGGGGGCGGCGGCTTCTTCGTCAGGGCCCCCGCCGCCTCTTCCCCCATTTACTGTACTTTCCAATGTGCCCCCTTTACTATGAGCCTTGGGGTCGTGCACTTTGAACCGCACCTCCTGGAACAAAGGTCCCCACTAACAAGTATACGCACGTTTACTAAATTTACTCATGGTTTTCGATAACTGGTGTTAAAATCCAATTGATATTAAAAATTAAAGAAATTTTTAGGATGTTTACGCCAGTTATCTATAAATGGAGAGATTCCGTTTGGACGAGTACTCACTGTTTGTTTAGGGGCATGATCACCATCTGGGCCATCGACGTTAAGCTTTTTCTGTTCCGCTATCTTCTGTATAGCCAAGAAGCGGTTTTTACGCATTTGAATGCGTTTAGCCATGTAACCCACTGTTGCGTACTCTGAAAACATTCACGTAACACTCTTACGTAGTTACCTCGAATAGCTGGTGGATTTTGACCCGAGCGCTTCTCGTGGGGAAAGTAAAACTCTTCAAACATCATGAAAGAATGAGCAAATAGTGGTTAAATTTGATCTATTCGTTATAGTGGAGAGGTAAAGAGTTTTCTTAACAGGAACAAAAAAAATAAATCTACGTTACGGTATTAGCGTTAAGGGTGTGGTGGATGTGTTTTATACAAGTGTATGTTGTAAATGTGTAGGTGTGGTAAAAAGGGGTATTACTGAAAAAAGTTGATTACAGACTGTTATCTATCCCGTTTTTCATTTGAGGTTGTTCTTACGTATGTCCACAGCCTTATCGAGCGCCGTCACTCAAAACGTACTTGTCAGCATCATCGCATCTATACCTTTCTGCGCACATCAAGGCTGCGATATGATAAAAGAACAAAGAAGGTGATGCGTGAATGCTGGCACGAAGTACCCATCGAGTGACAGAGACGCGTTCAGGCGCGAAATCACGTAAAAGCAACACCGAAAAAGGGGACACAAGGGTCGGCTCAATTGATTGATCTGATCAGTCGAATCAAAGTCGGTTAAATCAACTTGACGGCCCGATGTCCGTGCGATGTCCCCGCGCCTCCGAAAATAAACGGAATCGATCGCGGCGCCAAAAATAGTCGCCTCAAGGTCACAGAGTGGCGCACTCTGTCGGTTAAATAGTGCGTCCTGTACCGTTTGGCACTTTCTTACCTAGAAGGCTGGCAAATACCATGACGAAGCAGGTTCCCAAGTACACGTCGATCGATTTGACGTACGAAATTTTGGGTAACGCTGCGTTAGTAGAAGACATTAGTGTGGTCATTGTGAGCACAGTGGTTACACCCAAAGCGACACGGGCGGGTGTCGCGTTTCGATTTAACCAAAAGCTCACCCACGAGATGATGACGATAAGGCCGGACGGGATGTAGATCTGTATGAGGTAGTAACCCATGGAACGTACAAACTGGATCTCGCACGCCAATCTCGAATAATTTCCTAACAACATCAAACCGGAAATTAACTGAACGCATTACCATCTAGTTAGGTGACAGCTATACAACACTACGGCATGCTCGCTTCGAAAAACGAAAACGGCCAACGAAACGAAAATGAAAAAACGATAACTGAACGGGTAAAATGTGGTGCATGCGTAATAATAAAATAGAAACCAAAACATAACGTCTTCTCTTTTATTTTTGATACGATGGTGAGGAGCTGTTTTACCGTCTTCTCGACGACCGGATTACATTTGGTTTCGGGTACCTGTGGTAAGGCTGATCTCCATCGCCCTTTGTCGGTGACCGAGCACTTTAAATTGGGGGAGTGACACCTCGTTCGACACTCCCACAGAATTCGGACCCTCGTTCCACTTGTAGCGGATATCTCGCATGGTGTAACCGACTGCAATAACAAGCCAGTGCCAACTGCAAATCGGGACGCGCCGCAGCCGCTCGCGTGCTTTGCTTCTTTACAATAGATCATTTCGAACGATCATTTCAAAAACGAAAAAGAAATTCTTAAGCGGCCGACCCAAAGTCGGGAAACGTGAAAATTAAATAAATCGAAGAGAGAAACATAATCAATACAATATCTTGACGGACAGACCAAAAGTATACGATTTTAATAACAAACAATTTCAACTGAAACCAGTACTTTTGATCCATCACGTACAAGATATTGGTGTCTGCAGGCTGAGTTACCTGTGGACAGGTAAGCGATGGTCTCCCTCTGCCGGTGACCCAGCACCCGAAATTGGGGCAGCTCCACTCCATCGCTTATGCCGATACTCTCGGACCCCGAGTTCCATTTATACCGGATATCTCGCATTGTATACCCGACTAACCCGGCCACCAGAACAGACAAAGCAAGTCATTCGACAGCACCCAACAAGACGTGGAGACCTCGGGTATCTTTCCAAAATTGGGACCGATACCCGAAGCACCACGGCGATGCTTAAGTTAACAACCCAAAGGATCGTTAGCCACTGCAAGGGTTGCACCAAACCTACGTGAACGGCTACTGTACGAAAAACAACGTACGAAAAATAACGGGAATGTATAATACATAACTTAGGTGGTTGGAAGGTTACATATTCATTGAGGTTGGTGGTTTATATTGATGCGATAATGGATATAAGAAAAGTGAGTGGTGTCAAAAATCAACTGCTTTATATAAGCTTAAGCGCGTGCAAAGCAAATTTTTTAAGACAATAATTTGTGGATAGGAGTTATGTATCTATCTACCACATTAGGCAGGGGATTCGAGGGTAATTGTACTGATACCAAAATTGGACGATATTTAAATAAATTTTTTTCTAAAGTACTTACTAAATGTAATATGTACCAAATTTGGTATCATCCTAAATGAAATACCGTATGGAAAATAACTAATTTATATACGGTGGTCAAATAAGAGCGTGCGGAGTTGTCCCTGAACAACCCGATTATAAGTTATGTCAACCACTGTGGGGTTGGTGTCCGCCTCAGGCCAGTGTTGGCGGTGTCATGCGGGTGCAGCAGCGGTGTCTGCCGACCGGGTGTCGGGCCGAAGGTACCACACAATGCGGCCGACGAGCTTCGTCCGTGCGTTTCCGGTCTCGCGTCAGCTGATGGCGGTGCGCGGTCCGGAAGAAGGAGACCAACCGCGACCGACCGCAACAGGCCAATGGCAACTCAATGGGCGAGACGAAGATAGAGACAGCGCCGCGATAGAAAAAAAAACCGATCGAGCGCTAGAAACAGTTGCGGCTGCGGGGCCCCACGGCCCGTGGACCGCTTGGGCCGCTGCGGGTCGGGCTCGGACCAAGAGCTATCTGTGCTTGAGGTGCTCGTTGTGCTTCATTTCACGCCACTCGTGTGAGGAGATATGAGATCCACAAAAACGCGTATAAAATTTTGGACGAATCATACAATCAATTTGATTTCAATAAAATTAAAGTTAACACGTATGTGATAATGGTACACTAAATCTACCTAGTTGTTATTCATTATTCATTACTTATTAATGACGTTTACTATTAACATATTCAATACATTAGTTGTGATCACTATCAGTAATTACTGATTACTACTCATTCATTCATGGTGGCTATAGTTAGTATAGTACTAAATTTGAGATAGATTCTGGAAATGATGATATTTCTATCTCAAATTAGCCACACCTCAACTTATCTGATATTATTTTAGACAATAATCATACATTTAAATATTTTGATTTATTATATAAAAGTAAAGATGTAATGTATAACTCTATCTAGGTAATTGAAATTTGAAATACGTCAAATTGATTGATAATAAGTGGATCTTTGATCTCCAAGAAAAACATTGAAAAAAGACGAAAGACCAATCGTGGTGCATCGAACTGTAAAAAATTATCGTACATCGATGTAGCACAAAAGCACGGTACACAGGTATCTTTTGATGCGAAAATATTATATATCACAATTATTCTTGGCAAAATAGACAAGATTGTACAATAAAATTAGATCGAAAGGAACACTTACAACTTTCGATCTCTATATGACATAGCTGACGGTCCATCGGGAAATACTGAAGATTCATTGGGCATGACGCTGTTATTGTTAACCTGGAATGAATAAAAATGTGTAGATAATGATTTTAGGCTTAACGCCGTTCAAAAAGTTGTGAATATGAAGTCACCGCCAACAACAAATTTAGGGGTTTTAGTTGGAAGTCTTACCGCATACTTCTAGTTATTGTGCCTGAATGACGAATACGGATGAACTCGTTCGAGGTGGTGGCCGTGTGAAAATACGACTGCTTTTCATTGACGAAGAAGGTGTCGGGAACCCAGATGTTCTTGATGAACTCCGAGCCGACGGAGAGTTGTTCGACACCGGGTCTTTTCCGGAAAGCCAGTCTCGGGTCCGTCCAGAATTGCCGGAAGTAGAAGTCGAGCGTGAAATCCTGATAAATAGAATAGCTATAGACGTCTCTGGGCGTAAGCGTCGCGATGCTAATTGTACCGTCGACGACGGATCGATAAGTAACGAACGCATACGAAGCTCTTTCGGAGCTTATTGATCCGACGCCGACCCTACACTGATTATGATTGGGGAATGTATGCGGTGTATTCATGCAAATGTCATGTTGTTGCATTATTATCCAGAGAAAGCCGCATACTCTCGCATGCAACACCTAATCTCCCGTTCTAGTACCTAATCTACCGCTACAACTATTGAAAAAGACGGTTAGGCGTGGTGATGTTGGCTAACTGCCAGAGACGCAGTGCGATTTAATGAGCTTTCGCGGTCTGGTTGTACTCTTCAGCGCGAAGATGAGGGTATGGTGGGCGATGATGACTCGTTCTGATGGTAGAAGGGTTCATGCATAACATGCCGACACTCAGGCGGTTACTTATCTGCTCCGAGTGTGTTAAGGGGCGTGTGTGCGTGTGTGTTTTGGACGTGGGTTTCGTGTTTACATGTTTTCGTGTTTGGATGTTGTATACTTTTTTTATTGAATTTTGTGTGCAGGCCGGGATGGGACTGGAAAGGGGGACTCGCGCGCTCGTCAGTTAGCGGAAGGGGGCAGGCCAGGGTCACGTCCTGCAGTGACCTTTAACCTTGATTTGGTTTCCATCGGGGTCCCGAACCCGGCTCCACGGGTTCACACCTAACCGGGACCTCCTCATATTTCCCGTCGCCCTTTTTGGTATCAATTTCGCAGAAATAAGGACATGTACGACAGCGAGATCGATAACACGCGGGCCACGGTCACGTCCAAAAAGCTTGCAACAGACTGAAGAGGCCATGCACACAGTCCAAGTATTCAAGACTGCGACAGACACACAATTAACATTCACAACTTCGATAATGTTGCCCAGATATTACTTTCCAAAAGAAAATACATTAACACGTATCAAATATAAAATATGTGTATGCAGTGGTGGTCAGAGGAATAAGACGCGATTACAATTTCCTTTCTTTTTCCGTAAATACACGTGATGGCTTAATTTTTATAAACATTTTCTTCTTCATTTGCTAATTTGGTGTATTTTACACTTTGCTATATTACATTTTTCCACAACGTAGCGTGCCTAAGCAAAATAGTAAAGTGCATATTATGCAATATAGACATTTTACAAAAAAATATTTTCTTTTTGAATTTAATTTTAAATGTCATCTGTTGTAATTTGGTACTTATTTCTTGTTGATAACGTTAACCTAAAAGATACTCTAAAATATATTAAATACAGCTAGACAAGAACAAATTAATCCCAACATTTTGATTCTTCGAATACATGCGCAAATATGACCATTGATGTGGGTATTACTAAAAATTTATAAATTTAACAGAAATGTTTTAAAAAGGTATGTGTTATACTAATACATTGTAAGGTTGATTAGAATAATATAGTGATTTGATGCAAATCTTCCCAAATTATGTTTGTTTATTTCGGAATTTTGATGCACGTGAATATGTTTTTGCATCTTCAAACACTTTCTTTTAAAATAGAGTATCTTTTAGTTTCAAAAATACTTAAATTGTTAGAAAATGCCTTATTTCTGTGGGCACCACTGCTCCTTTGCTCGTAAATGCGTTAAATTATTATGTACAGAATGGAGTTAAGTACCATCAGCACTTCGGAGACGGAGCTGATACTGAGCACATACATGGTCACTCCCACCTCCACGGGCGGGCCTGTAATCAGCGCAAACGTTTAGATATAGTCAATCGTTTGAATGAAAACCAAATCAAAAGTGGTGCCCTTTGGCCTGCCCGCCTGCTACCCCGCTCGTCTACACCGAAAAAATGAGATCATTCCGGTAGGTCAAATTGATTTCTATTTCCCGGCAGACGATCAATAGGATTAAACGAAAAAGAGAAATTGGATTGTATCGAGAGAAATAAATGGAAGTAAACAGAAAAAAATGTAATAAAATATGAGTAGCGCGCGAGCGGGGCGGGTGACGGATCGGGCACACAACATCAACTATAGTCCGATATACCATCTGGACCTCGGACAGCGAGCTGATGCTCAGCACGTACATAGTGACTCCGACCTCGACGGGAGGGCCTGCAAGCGAACAACAACCACTCTTAAGACCAACCCGCCTCCCCAGGCCGCCAACAAGCGCCAACAAGCGCGCGAGACAGGGAGCGGGCGTGCGGTTATAAGGCTCTTAGGGTTCTGACTTTGCTCTAGTTCTGTTTACGGTTAGTACCATTTTGACCTCGGACAGGGAGCTGATGCTCAACACGTACATGGTGACCCCCACCTCCACTGGCGGACCTGAAAAGGCACCACGTCACAAGTGGATCGAGCGGGCTGACGGGCGAACGTCACGACGCAGACGCAATCATTGCGACCGCTTCGAACACGTTCTTCGTTTCTTTTACACCGATTTAGGCACCTGTTTCAGTGTCGTACTTTGTCTATTCTTCCTAACCTATCTTCAAGAACATCCATCAACCATTAACATTACCACCTTTCACTTTTTTTTCCATAATATGTTTAAAATTACTAGCATAAATAATTAATTCGAAAAATTTAATACAACTGACAATGTATCCCAGTGACAGTTTTAGAATTACTTAATATTAACATTTTTGTATGGGTTTGCTTAAAATTGGTTTCTATGTTTATAAAATAGTGATGCTATAGCTACTAGCAACCTGCTTTTTCAAATAAAGGTTGAATTAACTTCAAGAGGCCAATGTGAGGAAATAAGGCCCAAAGGAAAATATTGTGATTGAGATTGTGTTAAAAGATAACCTGATAATCTTGTAGATAATCTGAAATAAAATCTAAGTTAAAGTGATAACGTCTCAATCATATAAACTTTAAATCATCATATCTAGTATTTTATATAGATTAATATAATTAAAGATTTATACAGTGTGTTAATTAATTATCGTACCCAACGTCATCATTGCAAGTATGCAACCAATATCACAGTTTTGGTATTGCAATACGCGATTTGCGATATTGGTTGCATACTTGCAATAATGACGTCGGGTACGATAATTAATTAACACAGTGTATAGTATTAGCTTTACGTTAATATTTGGTGGAGGAGCCGGAATTTAAATTGTAACTTAAAATTGGTGATAACTTTTATGGTATATTCTTTAGATGTTGTGAATTAATATCAAGATTACCATGAAATGAAGATAAACAAACTTTAAATTTGTAAGTTAAGTTATGATTTTGAATGGAATTTGTGTTTTTTAGTTATTGGTAATCAAGCGGCTAACCACGAGGAAGGCTTTGTTAAATAACAACAACAACATTACGATGGATGTTAATTGCAAACACCTGATCCAATCAAGTCCTATCAAAAAGTGAAGGGACTTGAACGCGGGCCGCGGCGAATCCAGGTTGGAGATGGACGGATGGCGCAGTCAAAAGCGGAGTAGTTTTTAAAGTTTAAATATAGATAGATAGAGCGAGAGAGAGAGAGAATCAATGTTGGGACGGACAATGAGGGAACGAGCGTCCGCCGCCCGGCGGCCCGCCGTCGGCGGCTGCGAGCGAAATGGCGGTCTGGAGAGATGCTGCCGCGTCGCTTGGCAACCCACCACCCCGACGGCATCGATTTCGCGGCCCCACCCTGCGTGCGTGCATCCCGAGCGCGGCCGCCGGACTTTCAAAGCCAAAGGAAGCCCGGACCGCCGAGAGGCCGGAGCCCGGGACCTGAATCTTCGGCTCCGGAAGCCGCTTGGGCTCCGCTCGGGTATACGCCGCGGCGCCTCAAACGTCGGTCTCAGCCGGTCGCGTCATAGCAGCTTTAACGGCTTCAGTCACAAATAGAATAATAGACAAACACCACCGAGAATAGAAAAATGGGCATCCTGGCCCTAAACACTCACCTCCGTAGTTGGGTCTTACTCTTTTATCGTAACTAACACTGAAAGAGTCCAATATGGCAGATATGTTCACATCGCCCATGTACTTATCCGGGGTCCTGTAATTGAAAAAATAAACACGAGTATCTTAATATATTACACATTAGCTACTGTATTAATTTCAAATGGGGATTTTGAGATAGTATCACATCTAAAAGAACACACCCAAAAGGGGATGATAACGAATGAATACGCAGTATTGGAAGGATATGTAAGAAAGTATATCTTACCCGGCAGCTGCCCATTTGAGGGCGAGGGCCAGCAGCACGGCTGGCCACACCACCCGGCTGTGCCCCATGTCCCGGGGCACCTACACGTGTCTACTGATCCACGGCATTGCGGGGCACCGTTCACTCGCAGGACTGGCGGTGTGCCACTTAGGACACCAGCACTAGGAGTGGTCTCTGGGCCCGGCCCGCGGCCCCTCAACTGCGCATGGTGGCGAAACCGTGCGAAATAATCGCGTGTGTCGTCGTCACAGATCGGACGCGCCGCCGCCCTTCGGACCTCTCTGTCTTGCGTGGCGCGCGGCCCCAGCGCCCGGTGCTCCGGAGCCCGGCCGGATTGCCCGCTTGCCCTCACGATCGATACCGTACCGCCAGGCCGGTCAGTTGAAAACATTCTTTCTCACTTCTATTCTCTTACCCTCTTTCTCATTTCAACCACCTATCATCGTTCCCCTCTACATCTAGTGACGTAATTCGAGTCAACATCGCCCGCCGATACTTTCGGCCGATACCTGCTGCCTACGGCTGGGCTAATCGCGTGTCCTCCTTCGTCGCCTGCCTTAATTATGCTTAACCAGCTCTCTGATATTACCCTTTACTCTTTTCTGATGGAAAATCACGATGAATATACAAATCAAAACTAACCCACATATTACTATTATTATGGCTTATATTGACAATATTATGATATTATATACTTAACTTGTATTAAATTAACTGCCAAAAATATTCTCTCACTCATAAATAGAAAAATGCACTTATTGATAACCTTAATTTACAGAAAAATAAACTGACACTTTTTATTAATACAAAATTAGAAAATACAATAAAAACTCGGTAAATACAAAATATTTTTGTGTCATACAATAGCTCTCATAGAATCCAGCTTGGGTTATTCCTCAAGTTTTTCTATTTCTCGAGTTGTCTATACGATGTATAAATCAAGGACGGCAGTTGTAGTTTTAATTGTTATTCAGCGCTAGATTGTTGTATATTTTAATAGCCAAACAAGAATATTTCTAGTTCTAGGTCTAGTCTAGAAGCTACAAATTTTCGGGTTTAGCCGTGCGTCTTCAGACCTATTAGTCCGTGGTATTGAGGTTTTACTGTATAGTAATACTCGACTTACGTAAACCTGGAGATACGTAGTTAGGCAGTTCTTCCCCCACTTCGCTCAGTAGAAGATTATATCATAATATTTTTAGCTCATTCACATCAGTTTCGTATCAGAATACATCGAGAGTTGATTAGTCAGTTTATAAAAATATCTATAATAGCGTTTTAGAACAACGTAAGTATTTTATGTAATATACAGAGTGGTCCATTTAACGTGAGACAAGCGATTATCTCGAAAACGGTTCATTTTACATAAAAATGAACCAAATGAAAGTTATTCTGTGCGAAGGAGGAAACCATATGACGATAATTTTTTTTTATAAACAAATATATACATTCGATCCCATTGTCGATTTTTAGTCGAGCAATAGATAAACTTACAGTATAAGCAGTATCAGCAAATGGATCATTTTATCGCACGAGCGATCTCTGCCAAATGGCCCAACAGAACAAACAAAAATAATATTTACTGAATATAGCAAGTAGTGGTAATTAGATATTATTAACATTTATCACCAAATAAGATTAAGCAAGAAAAAGAGAAAAACAAAGAAAAGACACAAAAAGAGAAAGAGAGCGGTTAAAAGAAAGAGCGGCTAAAAGAGACCAAAAGAATCTGCCGGATATCAGTTGCCAACAAATGAGAGCAGTTGAAGAGAGGAAAAAAACAGTCAGCTGAAGGGCAAGCAAGTGGCTCTTTAAAACATGTCTAAAATTAGCAATGTTAGAAATATTACGAAGGCAGTCCATTCCACAGCGCAATCGACTGTACTGTAAATGATCTATGATACATTGCAGTGCTATGAACAGGAAATGTAAGAATAGTATCAGAACGTGAACGAGTAGCAAGCTCATGAGTTGATAATTGCTGGAACCTATCTGATACGTACTTTGGGGTGCAGTTATGAAGGATTTTAAATAAAATGGTTAATAAACGAAAGGATCTATGTCCCTCACAGGTTAACATCTGAATGTAATTGCGATACGGCGTTACATACTCAAATCTATTTGGGTCAAATATAAACCGGATGCAATTATTTTGCAGCCGCTGCAATTTACTCGGAAGAATCACTGAGAGATCGGGGTAAACCGCGTCCGCATAGTCGAAATGAGGAAATATAAGTGAGTAGCTAAGATTACGACGGACCACCGGAGGAAGAGTGCAGCGAAGTCTTTTTAAAGAGTGGAAGCAAGCGTAAATTTTTCTGCAAACATGTTGAATTTGCGGTTTCCAAGACAGTGCAGAAGCCATAAGGACTCCAAGATTTTTAACTGATCAGATCACTGCAGGTAAATGGATTAATCTTACCAAGTAATTGACGAGTTCCAAACACAATAGCTTGCGTTTTAACCGAGTTCAACTTAAGTCCGTAACGTTAAACGCTGCTGGCGATTGTAAACTAACACCTTTGTTGGTGTATCGCTCTGAAAACCCCAGAGCCCTAAAGAATAAAACAAAATCAGAATTGTCAGTAATTTGGAAGTCCAATCAGAAAGCTTGGGTTACTGCTTCTTTATTTGAAGACTGGTTTGGAAATCATTTTATCCCGGAAGTTGAACCCGGTACTGTTCCTCTAAGGACATTGCATTTAAAGTGATGTTAATTATTGACAACGCGCCTGGACACTCGGCAGCTAACCTTATCAATTAAGATCTTCGCGTTAAAGTAATATTTTTACTCCCAAACACGACTAGTTTACTTCAACCTATGGATCAAGGTGTTATCAAAACGTCAGTTAACCGTTTAAATCAATTTATGAATCCGAATAATTGTCAACAACTTGTCCGTTAAAGATTTTTGGAATAAATTTAATATTCTTGATGCTGTTAGAATTGTAGGGGAATCGTGGAACGAAGTTTCTTCCAAAACAATGAAGCGAGTTTGGAAAAAGTTTTGTCCGAACTTCTTTACTGATTCAACTGAAACAGTGATCCTATACTCGAAATAGTAGCAAATATTGTTACTTTAGGAAAGCAAGTCGATTTGGAGTTTGATAGCTTACTCTTGACGAGCTGATTGAAATCCAGCAATAAAATAAAAATGAAGAAAATAATGTTGAACTGGCACAACCGGGAAAAGTCCTAACCATTACAAAATTGACAGAAGCAGCTAATTCCATACAGAATATACAACAATCGATTGAATGCTATCAAGAAATTCTGAGGCAGAAGAAAAAGAATTTATGTCGCCAAAGTACCTATTCCGATTTTCTAAAACCATCAAATTTAAATGGTTAAATCAAGGTACATACATTGTGAACACCTATTACGTATCTTCGGGGTATTACTGTATACACATATTTAATCATTAATCCCATAATATACAACGTTTACTTGCAGAAATGTACTGCTCTATGAACTTTTATGTATTGCCAAAGAATCGAGAAATTAATCACCACTCAAATTAATTTAACTATGATATTAATGACTTTAAGCCTTAATCAAGAAGCAAATTTGAAAACAAAATAAAAAAGTGTTTTGATTAATTATAATGCTATTTTCATAACATGTAATATTGAATATACCGCACTTCTCTTGCGGTGGTAGCAAGCTTGCATGACGAAAAATAATAATGCCGTGTTAGTCACTGCGCCAGCAATTTTTCTAGGGGCACTCCGTGCTTCGGCTAATTATTTTCCCTCAAGTAGAGAGAAAACTTCCAATGTTAGCGACCGACGTGTTACGGATCGATACGAAAAACTTGCGATGATAATGACTGGTGCAAGGACAACCCGAAGACAGGTATGCCAAGGTACTGTTAACGATCGACGCGTCCGTGACACTACTACCTGTTCCGAGTGAAAAATTGAAGAAAAACCCAATAATAACGGAGAAAACGGGACGACAAGAAATGTACAGACATAATTGGTTTAAACTCGATCGGAGTCGATGGTATTTTAGAAGCCGCTGCAATCGAACTCGAGAGCACAATTTACATGATTGGCTTTCTCATTTCCTTTGATTTTCCCGAGGCGACGCTTCTGCCGTCTCGTCGTCTCGATGACGAATTCATGAATGCCGATAGAATCGATGAACGGTTTGACGAGTACATCCTTGTTTAGGCTCTTGTAATATTTAAAAATAAAGCAAGCTGTTTTTAACTTACTTGCTGTAATTTGATGTTGTTTTTTAATGGAGTGTTAAGGGTAAAGAAAACAAATTTTTATACAACAAACATCACTTTATTAATTAATGAATCGCTCACTTACAATACTTACACTAACGAAACGGACTACATTACGTGGCACGGGAACGCAACGTCTTTGAATTAAATCTACTACATGACATGGCAATGAGTAAAAACGGTTAACACTTAAAGGATATGCGGAAAGGTGGAGAGGCTGTTTTGTATCTCTTTCTTCTCGACCGGATTTAGACTTGCGTGTGAGTATTGCTGTGTGCTTGCTCTTGCTCATTCGCGCCTCCGATCTGGTTTGCAGGGGTGTAGTACTAAAATCAAAAATTCATCAGAATTAATAATTCACCGACATTTTAATTTCATATGCGAGATGTGAGCTAGAAAATTTACGGCCTCTCGACGGCCAGTTACTCGTGTTTTATTTAAGCTACCCAGTGAGTAATGTAAAGCTTTCTGTCCGGAAGGTGCACCTTTGAACTTTATCTCGCATTCAGACGTAAATTGAGTATTCCGTAAGATGGATTTGAGCGAACAACAAAACAAATTGCCGACTATTCCCTGGCTGTTATTAAATTGATATACGCCCTTCTTTCATACTTACGCCATCCCGGGTTTTTCATGCCGTCATTAATTTCATTGTGAAACGACCCGTGCATCATAATCACTCGACGACGAAGCTCGAAAGGCGTGGATGGCAGCAGTATCTTCAAGCTTCAGCTCGTCAAGTCGGTTTTTACTTAATAACCCCCTGTACAAAGAGGGCGACATGAATAAAAATGTCATCGTGCGAGTAAAGAAAGTTGGGTCTCGCCCTAAAAATCGCAACGGGCGGCTCTATTCTATATCTCCTCTCGCGATCTCTCTCTCACTCTCTTTTTCTAGCGCAGGGTACCTCATTTTCCGGTAATATACTTTGACGGGGGCTGCTCGTAGAAGTCTCATAATGGCAGGCGTTTTTCGTTATTTTTGTAGAGTCGCGAAATCATACGTAGAAAGAAACGTATACAGCCAGGGGCGGATTTGACTTTTATACCCGTATTGTACAAAGAATTCTTTGAGACTTTAACGTTCGAATGATGACCTCATTCGTTATATGCACACGCAAAGCTAGTTATTTAATAATTACTTTTCTAAATGTAATCAAATTTTTATATTGTTGTAATTTTTTCATTTCATAACTTAGAAAATCTTGATTAAAAGTTTAGAAAAAACATAGTTTCGAGTAGTTTACATGTCGCAGAATTCACGTAAGATCTGAACAAGAAGCTGAACCTTAAGTTATTCGAAAAGTTTGAGGGAGGGATAAACTTGATCCGCTCCTGGCCACCTACTCGCAAAATCTCTTTTTTCACGGGGGATTTGTACAAAAGTAAGCCTTTTGAAGGCGCACGTCAGTGTGTACACGTTAGACTCGGTGCATTAGTGTCGCTTTTATAAACGACCGAGTGTACATAATGTCCGGACGGCTCTTTGTGTTCGCCTCGAACGCTATTTAAAACTCGGAAATACGGGGCGCGGCGGATACAAAGGGCTTAAAGTGATGATACAAATACACCCCAATAGTTGACCCATCTGATATAAAACGTCCCCGGTAGACGCAGAAGACGCTGTTTTCTGCGAATGTAAATTGGGACCAAGGATCGATGGAAGTTCTAGTCAAAATGAGTTGCGTGTTTTTGGGGAACGTTTTCATTAAATGAAATTAAGTCCCGATTTCCGATGAACGTATTATATTAGGTTTTCTAAATGGAAACGTTCCAACTTAAACAAAACACGAGGAAACTGGGCGCCGACCGCCGATATTTTGCAGCGTTGCCGTTAAAATACCATTAAGGCTCTGGCTCTAATGAAAGCCACCAGGGAACCGAACCGGCCGATAAAGTTTTTGAGCTGGTCTGCAGAAAATCGTAACTGACTTAACTTTTAGTACGCCAGCAACTTCAAAATTAGCGGCTCCCGAAGGCAACTATCAACCGGCCCGGAAATTTCCGAGAATTAATTAATAGGTAGTACTTCTAAGCGTTGGACCGACAGTTTTAAGGTTGCCAACTTTTCCGGGATTCGAATTTTCAGTATGGATCCGCTCGACCAAGTTGGACCTACGCCAATAGCTCATTTGCTCTCCCTACGAATTGAATTGTCGTCGTTACCGCAATTCATCTACATTTAATTCGCAATTAGTTCTTGCTCATAATCAACAACAATGGGTTATTACGTTCCATCTACTCCAATGTCATTCCCAATGTCGCAGTTTACATTAATCTCATCTATTTACATTGGAAAATCTTTCGTACATTGGTAAGTCTCTAGTTTATTTTTAATTTCAAACAATTAAATTCTGTTGGATGCGAAAACGCTACAAATTTTCTTTTGGCCAGAAATAAGCTTGGCAGAGAATAAGTTTTTAACTAAAAGAAGTTGATAGTTTATCATAGAGGGTTGACGAAATTTTCAACTTGTATAGGAATATTAATCAAGAAAGCTGAGATGATCACTCTAAAAGAAATAAATTCGGCTGCTATAAGCATTTATGTTGGTTTAAATGTTATTGTATATGCAAAATGAAATTATTTACCATTGAGTTTGAATTATGTTATTTAAAAATAAGAGTAACCTTTTTGGTTTAAGAACCAGACACCTTATTTCTTTATAGTATAATATCGGAAAATATATGGTTCTCTCACCAATAAGGCACCGCCCTTCCGGAATGGGGGCGTAAATTTGAATAAAGGTATTACCCTGCCGTTGTCGATATCCCGGCCGACGCCTATCGTCAAACGGGCCTTGGCTTTCATGGCATCGCCCAGTGGAATCTTGGCACGAACGGCTTCCATGTGAGACTTGTAGCAAAATTCGATCAGGGCTACTGCGAGCGCTGTGAGAAGACCCCCGATGAGGATGTAAAAAATGCCCGCGACGTTGCTAAGGGACAGTTCGTTCCTGGAGGCGTCCTGCAACAAATATAGGTTGTGATGAGGGTAGATTGAAGAGGGGAACGTCGAATCTTTTGTAAAATGCGATATTTTCTAGACGAGATTCGACGTGGCTCGGTTAGGTTATGAATAAGTTGAACCTCGAAGAGGAGAACGTCACCGTGAGACTGTGAAATGGAGAATTATTCAACTGGTGTGTAAACTTCGCAATTAGTCGCGGTCGGATGGTGCAAATTAAAATGAAATTATAATTCGGGGCTAAAGTGCTCGTAGTAGATCGCGACGGAGATTAGATCCACGTAGTGCGATGACGTTAAAGATCTTGGCACCTAACCACAACGTAATGATTTCTAGAAAGTTCTTTGTTGTGAAACGAAATAAACATAAATAAATTTTAAAAATATATTTAGTCTTACTTGTTTATCGTGTTTACATTCAGTCCTATCGTACCACCACTTATTCGTTAACTTAGTTAATTCTCCATTCTCCTTCAAACTAAGAACAGCTAAATTCACTGCATCTCTGCAACAAACACAACAAAACATGCCTTAATTCCCTACGCTTTCTTCATTAATTTATGCATTTTCACCTAAGAGGGGATCCAAGAGGAGTTGCAACTCCAAATCCCTTCGCATCTAGATTTCTACCAACTTTCATTGTATCGCACGGTTCCCGTTCGTTAATGTAGTCATTCTTGGGAGATTCAATGAGGAGGGCGTATTTACCTTTCGATGTTCGCACTCGTCGGATACCTTCGTCGTAGCTGTTGACAAAAACTTTCTTGCGCGAGGTCATGTATTCCCACATTTTCGAATATAGTGTGATTTTGGACCGCTGTAACAGAAATACCACGGGGACGGTTGCAGAGTTGCAAATTTGATGAACGGTGCCGTCCTTTGGCGTGTGAATACGTGAGAGGTGCCGCTTTATGGCGCGCCAAGAAAATGGAATGTGCGGACCGGGACAAATTGATTTGGAATAGTTGATGTGGGTTACCCTTAATATTTAAGGGATTGAAATTCGTCGGCGTACGGTTTGGTGGATAACAAATGTGGGGTAAAGTAGGTCATATTCGACCGAAATATAACTTAAGAACGAGACAATTTTCTAAATGAAACAGTCAAAACAAATTTTTATTAGTTAATGTTTGCGGTAATACTTCAACATAACTCAAGAGACTCATTTCAACCGAATTACCTTCGAACCGTCCGCTTTACCCACCTAATATGAAAACTCTCTCCATTACTGAAGTAATTCGGGTTAATATTCCTACGAATGACGCTCCCAATCTGTTTTTATATGAACTCTATTTGAGAATGTTACAAATGAAAATTAATGTTGTCTCTCCAAACTAAAATCTTTGTAGGAAAAATTATATATCTAACGGAACTACTTATTGAAGTAGTTCCTTTACAGGCGTTACGGACCAATCTAAATTTAACAATCAGGTTCGATAGATATTTAGGATACTATCAGGTCCCATTCTTTTCAATTTTCCGGCGCCGTTTCAACTTACCCTAAAGAAATCCCACGTGGCTCCGTGTAACAATGTACCGTATTGTACTTCCGTTTGCGAGGCCAAATCCTCCGGTGAATTGATGGGTGCTACCATTCTTTCAACCGTGAGAAATGCCGCTAGATTTGCCGTGTACGACGAAATTAAGATGAGTGTGAAAAACCACCAAACAGATCCAACAATTCTTCCTGAAAAATATTCATCGTGCACAAAAAGCAATTATAATAAATTTCTTTTATAAAGCTCGCCACGGTATTTATCAAAGTATAACATCAAGGGTAACTTACTAGGGAACCCATTCCAAGTGTCAACTGACCACCGAATTTATGAACCTTACATATGAAGCTTTTTCGAGGTCACAATTCGTTGTTCTTTTTCGTGGAAATTCAATTCCACCAATAAAAACAAAAAGGGTAATGACCTACCTGAAATGGATCTAGGTGAGATATCGCATCCTTGCTGCATGAACGAACCTAAGGAAAACCAAAGCGAATTCAAAATACTAAAATCGTTTGCCATAGAGCCGTGATGGCCGTGTTGGACGCCGGCGTCGCGATGCTCGCCCGTCAAGTGTAAGAGACGCCATTCGTACGGCGAAAATCTTGACACCGTGAACAGTACTATACTGACGCCGATGTAACTGAAGATGACACAAACCCAGATCTCTTTCGACAGTGGATTTAGAAAGCTGAACACTCCCGGTTTCTGTTTTATTGGCTTCTTTATCATGATTGAGATGCCTAGCGACATGAACGGTTTGCTGAAGTCTATCACACGTTCTCGTTCTGATGTTATCGTTATTGGAGCTATTGCTAGATCCGCTTCCTGGGAACAAATAAATCCTTACTCAATTTAGGTTAGTATTAGATATGATTGTTATATATTTTTGCTTTGTACACAGGAGTATATAATAGTTACAATTCCACAATATATTTTCTATAACTATATTTGTATCATTAAATATACATAGTATAGGAAGAGATATGAGGGCTGTGTACAGTATTAAATTACACTTGAAAATCAAGTGATGGTTAAAACACTTGATGGTTCATCGTCATCATCAAAGCTGAACATCTTTCGACGTTCGGCGATGGTAAAACATTGACACTCAATGGTCGACCTTTGAAAGCTTTGACTTGTCGAGATCCCCTTTCGTCTGTAGAATCGTAGTCGAGGACGTTTGAGACGAAGTGGCCCTTGATTACAGTGGACGCGTTCGATAATTGGTAGGAAGAGATGCTCCGAAGAGCAAACGACGACGGGCGTCGCGGCGCATATTAATAGTGCCGTACTCCGAGGACGGTATCGATCCGCGCGCTCTAATTATAATTAGAAGGCAACTCTGTGCCCCCAGAGCCGCGTTGTCTGTTAACTAGGGTTTAAATCGCGAACCGCCCCCGGCACTACGACCCCCATAACAACCTGCCTACAGTTAATCCTTCACTAGAAGGTTTCAAATTGAGAATTGTAACTTTACAGAAACATGAGAAAAAATGTTTTATAATTTCTTTTTTGATATGACTCGTTTCATTAAAATGGAACAATCATATTAAAGCACATCAATTATTAATGTTGCCGTAATTTACTTCCTTCCTGATTGAGTTGAATTCTAAATCGAGTCGTAATGGAACAAGCTAATCAGATCAAGTATCATTATAATGCAAACGACGACGAGTAGTTGGTGGGTCAGAAGGGGGCGTTGGGAAACTTACTTGTCTGACGAGCTCTCCAACCATTCCATCCCATCCTCCTTTCACGTTCTCAGTCCCGTAGTTGCCGTCTTTCACGATACGAATCTCGTCTGTAATTGAAATAACAAGTGTCGAACACGTAGAAGACCCCTTTGGGGGGACATCGACTCTCGGGTGCACTTACAATTGATGCCGAGTTCCTTCGTGACCAAATCCGCCAAATCTTTGCAGAAGCCCTCGTAGCGGTCGTTTCCGGTGGCATTTTTCTTCAGCATAATGTACGGCTCCTCCTGCAATTAACGGATATTGGAACCGAGTTGGTCTAATTAAGGGGATTCAACAGTTTAGGGGAGGTTTATTCGGATAGAAATAGAACTAATTTCTATTTCCAGGGTTAACTGTATCCTCTGGTGTACCTCAGAGAAGAGAGAATTGGCGCATATTTCCATTAGATTTCCATTTCATTTGGAGCGTGCCGGAACTAGAGGGGTGGAATAGTGCAAAAATATTATTACACCCGCTGCCAACGCGATGTTTTTATTCAGTAGACGCTGGCTAGAGTTCCGGAGGTCGGAAGGGAAAAGGGCGATTATTTCCCCAGACGATTACTATAATTTATGAGCGAGAATAATGGACTCACATCCTTACAAAGGCGAGATAAACAAGTCACGCGGTGGCGTGTGCCTTCTAATTGTTATTCTTCGTAGAAACCTGAACGCGGTTCACGTAAAAATAACCCCCAGAGTATTATGTTATGTACATATTATATTAGCACACTTATACACTGGTTCAAAATGATAATAAACTCGAAATTACAGAAAAAAATATTTTTATACAGTCTATTTTACTTAACTGGGACACTTTTTCCAAATGAAGCCAATTACTCAAAACGTGGAGCCTCTTTAGTTTATAAACCCTGAATAACATTTTTAAATTTGGTCTAATTAAGGGAAATCACCCCGTTTTTTTGTAAATCTTCAAGGGTAGAGAATGAATTCATTCAACCTTTTCTACAAATTTATATTTTTATTGCGTACTTAGTCGAAATGTTTACTTTATAGTAAAGTAGCAGAAAATATGCGTTAAAATGTGTAATAAACAAAATGATTTTGAGTGAAAGATTTAATCAGTTATCTGCCTAGTTCAATCATATAGCATACAAGCATAGAAAACATTGCGAGGAAAATTAAAGACAGAGAAGACGACCTAAATAACATACATTTATTTAACGCACATTTAATGAAATATATAGATTCGGAACAAAGAAAATTTCGGGCCGATAATGAAGTACACTAACGCATAGCTTTAACATCTGCTAAAGAAGAAAGGGATATCATTTCTGGGTTTACACTACATGCACCATACTTTCGGAGCTTTATTGGCTCTATACTTTACGTTATGTCAGATAAGCCTCAGGCTTTGATACTGCAAAGTTGTGCTCATATAAAAGGCTGCACAAACATTATCCGGGTTCATATAAACAACAATTGACTTTTGCAAGAAAGGTGCTAATTCAGGTTCGAGATGGATTTGTAATTTGTACCTCTTGCTCGTGCAAAATTACAATTAAACGAGGTTTTGAGGGGAGAATAGTACGATTTATGGAGATTTGAACAGCAACTTGTTAATCAGAAATGTAAGGAAGCAGTGCGAGGACTGGACTGGGATTGATATAATTTTCAGTGTGTTGTTCTTCCTGTACCAATCCGTGTGATTATAAGACAATCAAGAAAAGTATCGAATTGGAAGACTTATCAAAGAATTAATAATAAATTTAACTTCGAGATAAAGGGCATCTGCATGACTATTAAAGACTTCAAGGACTTTTCATAGGGGCGCCAAACAACTATTGATAATAGGAACAGAAAAGGAACCAAATGGTTTCCAGGAACAAAGGTTTTTCTATGGGCGCAAGGATGGACGCACAATCCCACAGCCTTTCGATTATAAAACGGTTCATTAGATCCAATCAGTAGGAATATTGGTAAAAAATACGGTATGTACAGGTAAATGAAAATATGATCTATTGGCAGTAGTATTCAGTTAGAAAATGGGCGTAAAGGAATGTCATTCAAAAATGTGGGCAGAATATATAATTTCACAAATTAAGTGATATCTTAATTCCTGACATGTCTGGAATTTATAAGTAACCAGATTTATACAATCTGCCATCTTGAATACTTGATCACTTAACTTTTAGTTTCGGTGGATGAGGATTTGGAATGATAATTCCACTCTAATCGCGCTTCTGAGTATTGACCTTTATCAGCTATCAGTAATATGAACAAAATATGGATTCTTTACAAATCTCTTGGTTTCAATTTCTGCGTTTAGTAACAAGGTTATCATTGAACAAGGGTACAGAGTATTAAATTACTCATTGAGGTTGAGGATTTAAAATGCTAATTTCACTCTAAGACAGTATCTGTCTATGGACCTTTATCAGCTAGAGTATCAGTTACATAAACAAAACATGCATTCTTTAGGAATCTCTTTAGTCTATTATAGAATGTAATCTTTGACGTAGAATTAAATTAAGTCCGAACACTCAACGTGTACAAGAAAAGTTGCTGCCATCTATAACTTACATCTCTAACTCTGCAGTGCCATGTAAGGTATGGTATAATGGACTTATACTAAGGCGTCATCTGAGTGAGTTAGTTGAAAATAACTAACTTCCATTTCGAGGAGAAGACCACCAAGATTATCATGTGATTGCTGGCATAATGTCGAAAGAATGACTATTGGCTGAAGAAAGCAACATACTTTGCGGAGATATTGTGTTGATTTTATTTCATTCCAGATACTCATCAGGGAAAGTATCTACGTATCTAAATATTTAAAACTGCTTGCAATTTACAGCAAAAAAGAGATATGTCACATTTAGTTGCACTTCACGAAGCCTATTCCACTTCCTAATGATTAAGCAGTTCAAACTCCAACTTCTAGACCAGGAACGCCTTTAACTTGAATAAAGCTCTTTCGACTAGCTTTACCTACGCTTTACCGTCTAAATCGACAAATTAGGTGTAGAAGCAGAAGAAGCTTGGAAGATACTTGGAAAAAACTTTCTATCGGAATCACTTTTCATTTCTTTTTGGCTAACCATCCGGACATAACTTTATTTTTTCTTTTGTAATAGTGGAAACATAGAAGGCATAACATTTGTTGACGCTAATATAGTAACATTCAAAAATAACATTCATCTCGAGGATGAGAGACACATCTTGTTACTTAGCAATTATCCTATCTCCTGAGTGCAACACTCTATTTTTCATTAGTTGAACAAATTTAAACTATTTATTTCTCACCTTTTACCTTACAATCAAGTTGGTATCATGTTTTCAATATCTTTATTATCACGTTTGACACTTTGTTGACTTTTGGAATGATGCGGTTTTTGTAAAAAAATTTTAATTGGAAATCTCTACTGTTAGCTAATTGTAATATGAAGGGTGCATTGAGCAGCATAAAAATTTCGATAAGATATGAAGGGGTTCAGGATCACCAATTTTGTCAAGCGGTGTCTCGACTTTATTAGAATCTCATGAAACCATAGGCTTAACAGTAATACCTTTTATAGAATCTGTTTTTTTCTAACACGGTTCACATCAACTAATACAAAATTCAAGAACCAAGTTTTAAACAACATTTCAATTTTTGTACTTTGTAGCCACTTCTTTCAACATTCTAGTAACAGGATTATTTCTTTATCTTCTTTTTGGCTTTTCTGTACCCATCACAAATTTATCGTAGATAACTTCTGACAAATAAACTGTGTTTTTATACCACCGCTTCGAATTGTGGCAAGTCCAGCATTGAATGACACACTTATAACCGATTAAAGATTACACGAACTGGACTCAATGATCATTTGAGATATTTTTAACGTTGTCATAAATGAACAATAATGCTGCAATGAACAGATATGTATTAGATAGTGTAATGTTGAGTATGAGGGAGTGTGGCTTGTTAGTTGTAACAAAGCTTAGTTAACTTGTTGAATATGCTTCATCCTATGTTTTTCCATCTGAATTTAAGTATTGCGTAGAATGTTTAAGCATTTTATGTATACAATACCTGATTTTTTATGCTCTGACGATAATATTTTAGGCGGTGGAACATTAGGAAGAGTATAATAAGGGACAAGAAGGAGAAAGGGATGATCAAAGAAAAGATGTTGCATGAAGAATTTCTACCTAACGCAATAATTGTTATCATCATATTATTATGATGAATATACCGGTACACAACAAGGCAAGAGAACTACATGAGATCAAAGACCGTTCAAGATGAGTAAATAATAACACGGGACGTGACACTAAAAATAATTTAGTATTACTTTTGTTGTACGATTCCTTGAAGATGTATGAAACAAAACTTCAATCGCCATAAACTAAAGTTAGTTGAATACAATGAAGACTCTAAACTACCGACTTTCAAGAACTATTATTTTCTTCAAAGACAAGAAAGGTAAAGGTTGCAAGGACCCCACATCTTGACATTAAAGTCAAGTAATTAAATGGCATAAGAAAACCCTCGCTATGTCATTCAAGTATTAGGGCAACTACTATCCGTTAGATGGCGATAGTCGATTATGGACTTTTCTTTGGTTTGGATTTTCACAGTAAGTAACACATCAATTTTTTGTACAATTTGATTCGTTTTTTAAAAAATTCTCAAAACACTCAATAATTGATACGACAATACGATACATTAAAAATAGATATTGCCTATAATCTAGGATTACAAATCTATGATTTCATGTTAAAGAATAAAATCTCAATAAATATATTAGTATTTCGAATATGTGATTAAATTAAATATGATAATGTGATTACTACTTAGAAATAATTTAGTCATTGCTAATAAAATATGAAAACCTGTTATTTAAAAAAATCTTTTCTACTACATGAATATTCAAAAAGTTGCCATTGCTCTTTTTAACTCAAGGAGCATTGTTAAATTTCAACAAAGGATTACAAATTTTACAGTACAACCGGAGGGATTTTAACTCTCCACATTTGTTCGTTGGCGATTTTTGCAAAAGTTACGAAAGCGTGTAGGGCGATAAAGCCGCGTCGCAACGCCGAAGCTGACGCTCGGTACTTCGCGTGTTTTATTATTATATCTCCCGTTTAATATTTATTATTTGCATAATGTGACGTTAGCATAGTGACGAGGCCCTAAATTAACTGGGAGATATTGACTTATCGTCGTTTTAAATAACTTGTTTATGGGTTAAAGCTCCTATTAATTGTTTATTTACACGCACAGGTTTATTTTAAACGCAGATTTAAATACAAAAATTTTTAAGCAAGTTGATTTTAATTACTTTGAACATTTTTATCTTTTATCTTGATCAACAAAGGGAACTTTGTAAGTTGTATTTTTATAATCACGCAAAGATATTTATCGTTATTTTAAACGGCTTAATTTAGATAAAGAATTCTTAAAATAAATATCATTTCTATAAAATTGTAAACAAGAGGTCCAATAGAATGATGAAGTTTGTGTAGAAATGAAATTCCTTTCTGATTAAAATGAAAAGCTATTCAAGGGCTCAATTTAAATTATTCAAAGTGATGATACTCCCGCTGTAGGTAAATTGACGTCGATTGTAGGTTTGATTAATTCGCCATGAAGTAGTCGCAGAGAGAGAGGATTATACCAAAATTACTGGTAATCTAGATTCGGGGAATCGGTGAACTATAAATCATTTTGTACCCGATAGTTTCGAGTCGTTTTAACACTTAAAATAATTATTTCGTTATTACTTCGTTTTATGGGTAAAACACTTTAATGTGTTTTTGCTTCTTTTAAGTGAATATTTGTCGTTGCATTTGCATAAGGAAAAACGATTTCGTTTTACCTTCACCGCGTTCGCTATAAAGCTCTGACGTTTATGTCAAACTTTTACGCTCGTTTGCATGCTACTAGCTAGGAATCGGCCGCGACATTAATTTGTAGGACAAGGTTACCGTCGTAGTTGGTTTACAGGGTTACGTACCACCGCGAACCCGAGCCCCATTTATCGAATTCCTTACAACACGTACCAATTTATTTACAGTACGTGTATGTACTAAAACCAACACGTGTACACAATCACCCATTAGACTCGTATACAAATGCTGCGGCAAATTGCGAAGATAAAATTCAAATTTCCAGACCCAAACGAATGATTACGGGGTGATTTACAGTGGTTGTATTTATTCCTCGCATTTTAATGACGACGTAAAGAGGCTTTTGTTATCGGGGAATCTATTTTAATACGTCATTTCTAAGTATAAAGGTCAAAATAAGTTATACGCATTATTTTTTTCTGCATAATTCTAGTGTAAAGGTTGAAATAAAAAAATTATTCCTCATAGCACACAAAATAGAGATTTTTCCCCTTCTTTTCATACCTTTTTTTAGGTACAAGTTGACGAAAGTTCGTTACGAACAAAGTTTTTAACAGAAAAAGTCAGTCCTCCAGCTCAACTTAAATTACTCCTTCGGGGCAAGAGAAAATTAAGCACTTTAATTGTATTAACCGGAGTTTCAAGTTTTCTTATTATTTTCAAAATGAGATTCGATTATTTTTAGAAAATAGAAAATAAATTGGTTTGCGTTTCTAGTTTTCTTTGATTCACTCTAAAAATTTCAGTATTTTCTTATTGCTGCAGATTTTCTAGTGCCATAATCGAATAGTAACATTAGCTGCAATCATACATTCGATTTATACATTCATCTAGCAATGAATGAAGATTAACTATATTTTTAACAACAAGCAGTGAACTTCTTTTAAAGCATATTCATTACAAATTAATTCTTCGTATGTGTTGACCTAACAATTCCTTGTACAAAGAGTCCTCTACAAACACGAATTAACACTGATTACTGAGATTTTAAAAAAATTACCAAATCAAAATCTGTGATAAATTTATGAAAAACTTTGTATATCCAAATAAAGTCGTAAAAATCTAATTAAATCTAAACTCTCGTATAATAGAATAATCTTCATTTATTATTCGGCTCCTTTATCTCCATTTATTGTTTCTGTTTGCCACCATAAAGTATAATTTCTGTTAGGATTTGGTCTTTACTGTTATTTCACCTACTTTCAACTGAGTGGACGCGAAGAACTGAGGAGTTCAAATCCCCATCGAATAAATCTAAGCCCAAAGAGACGCGCTCGGAAATTCATCCGACCGTCGGAGCTTGTATTCAAGATAATCCGGATAAAATGGATAAAGCGTAACTTTCGGGCGACTGACCACTATAGTTGTGACGATGTAGGTGCGATTTTTCTCGATGTAAGACGTCGGCTTTAGCCTGACGTATTTTGCTGCGACCGAATTGAATCCGGTATCATCGCTCCATTCGGCTACCTTCACCATGGCGCTATTGACGGTCATCTCAACGACGTGCAATGTATAGTTCTGTCTTCTGCCGTCCTCGCTGAAACGGATTTCGCCGGTTAAACCTTCGAGTTCGACCTGAAAATAAAATATAAATCGTTTGGTAAAAGAAAATAAATGGTTGTAATATCAGGGACATAAGTAATCCAAGAAAAATTATCTGACCGATAACTTTACCCCTCGGGGTCGACTTTAAGGTCGAAGACGCCCCTCGATGGAGTTCGATAAACGTGAAGGAGGTGGAGGAGGAAGTTATAAACGGTTATGGATCGACTTTCCGGTTTCTTTCTTATGTGTAGACTTAACCCGAAAAAATCAAAGACATTTTTCTTACCTTTCTTAAAAATCGAGAAATTTTATCACCATGTTCCCACGGAGTAACCCAACCACCGGAAGCGTTACAGTCAAGTCCTTTACTGCCGTTATTAAACAATTGCCCACGACGCATATTATTTCGAAAAACATCCGGTTTCTTTCTGAGCAATTTATTGAAAGCTTCCACAAGGACGAAAACGGCATCGTACATTAAAGCGGCTTGAGCCGAAATGCTTTCCCTTCCGGCACCTTGTGACGTCGCCGGATCGAGCTTCTTCCAACCTTCGAGGAAGTCTTTCACGTGCTTCTTCGTAACGTCGACTATACGAAAGCCGGTGATATTTATGGCGCCGTATTCGATGACTTCGCTCTCCCACCTGTCATCCATTACCTGAAATGCAGAGCAGACAGTTTTGGCGTGATTTATCGTTCGGGAAAAAGGATCCCGAGTGAAATACGGTTCGATAAAAGGCGATCCGAGGTGTATTGATGGATATTAATGTGTCTACGTCTATTGGTATTATGAGGATGTTGGTGACAAATGATCTAACTGTATGTATCGGGTAAGAAAAAGATTAATAAGGAGATATTTTTAATTTTTATTGAATTTTTAAATAAAATTTTTTTGTGATTTTAGTCGTAATTTTTTATATTTATTATTTTGTCATTATACGAATGACGAGGCTGTTAAATTCTACAAGAATTGAAATACGAAAGATCCAAAATTAACCATGAGTGGAAAGTTATGCAAGTTGTTTTATAAGAATTCTTATCATTGTGATGTCGGATTACACACTTACTGAATCACATTTGTACTAAAACCAAACTTATAAAGTCTTCAATAACATCACAATAGTTTTGTATGTACCAAAGAAAGACTAGATTTATGTACTTTTTACTCAGCTTAATAATGATGTTGTCAGGGAAGAATCCAAATCTTACAAAGTATTAGGAGTTGATCATTACCATATATTGTTGATATTTATTGATAATTTAGCGAATTGTGTAGTTGAATATTGGAAATCGTTTCATTATTCTCTGTATCTACTCTAATCTTACATAGTACATAAGAATATGACACAAGAAATATGGGTATAAGCAATTATGGTGCAATTCTGGTGATGAAGCATATCTGCATTTGTTGTTCTCTTTAGCGCGAAAAAAATGATTGATCGTTGAAAATGCAGAAAATATTTAGTTTGGTGTAGTAGATATTTTTATGTCGAAGTAACTAAACTAATTACTCTCAACTGAAAGATTTGAGCGCCTTACTGAAATCAAGAAATGTAAAGTGAAAAACAATATAAGTCTTTGAACTTTTACCATAATTATCGAATGATTTTTTTGGTTCAACCATTGTTACTAAGTTTCGACATGAAGAAAAATAACACAATAGACCCTGGAAAGTTGTTTTAAAAATTTAATTACGTTTACGATACACACAGAAATTATAAGAGTAAATCGTCGAAATTGAAATTTAAATTAATATTTGTCAAATACATATTTGACTATATTCCAAGTTAATTACGTTCTCTTATAGAAGCATGGGTATTACTTGTCATGTATTCGGAAACCAAAGTTCCGTGACGTTAATAAGGTCCCGCGCGACCATACTAGACGTCCAGCCCTGAAAGTTAAAAGTTTGGAGAAAATTAAGGGGGGCGATAAGGTTTCACCTGGTATGTGTACGTTGGGCAAATCAACATTGTGATGGAAAAATCTGCATAATAATCTCTTAATGTCGCGTTTCGAGTTTCCCCGTCATTTGTAACGTGGCATGTCAAAACGATTTCCAACGCTATTATGCGGTACGTTCATGAAATAAAAGGTACATATATATTGCAGAGACAAGTTTAATTTTGTTAATTAAAAGAGTTTTATGAAACGATTTTTTTATGTTAATTTATTTTGCAGTGTTTCCATTTTATTTTATTTTAGTGCTAATCTACTAAGTAGTGAATTTCAATGGCTGGTGCCATAATCGATTCAACAATAGGGAAAAGAAGATTATCGTACTGGCGGGAATTGTAAAGGGCTCGACCTTTGTTTCCGGGGCATTTCCGCGCGACGGTTCGTTAACCGAAAGGTAACCAGTTTTTGGAAAACTCACTTCCGGGTCAGCGAGGCTCATTCGTAAGCTTTTATTCAAATTTACAGCCCTCATCATTCACGTTTTCGGCCAAAAATTCACAGTGATGCATTGCGAACGAAACGTCTAGAGGTTTATCATCAGAAAATGAAGTACGTGATCGCAACGCGAACTCTTATTATGCATATGTATGCATTTCTAGGTGCATAAATATGTGATTCCTCGTATTATAGCCTTTTTAAATATTCAAAAAATGCTAATGAAGTAATTTGTGACCTAAATAATAAGAAATTTTTTTAATTTAATGACTTTTAGTGCAACAAAAATAATATGAATGGAAGTAAAATGGATCAATGTGAATTTTAAGTACTCACCAATCCTGATAAGAGGTAATGATAGGTTCTTTTCCCTAAAGCAATGTCTCTGACGTGACCAACAACAATTTCCTTAGCCATGTCTGCTGAGCAATCGAGAACCACGTATTTATGTTCCCATCGTGCTTGTTCTTCGAGTCCCCTTAAGAACACCAAAGCCTCGGTTACATTACTGATTCTCCTCACTGTAGATACTTGGAAGCTCTCTTTGCCAGGAATGAGACCCTGGTAGATTTGCTGTAGCCTCAATAGCCCTAAAATAAATCCCCAATGTTAAAATTCGTTGTGATTCCGGTGATACATCGACGAAAACGATTTAGTGCCCTAAAGTTTCCTCCCTATAACACGTAATATTAAAAGGAAATAAAATTTTTTACTTTAAATCTAAATAAGGAAAATAAGGAAATAAGAAATTATTTTTAGTTTAATAGGGTGTATTTATCTACGGACAAGGTTTTGATCAGATCAACATCGACCCAGTTTCGAACGACTTTCAACGTTCGCGGTCGAAGGGCGGTCGTACTAAAATTATATCGGAGCTTTATGCAGCTCACCACCGACATTGAACTTATTGTTTATTAACCTAGTGACCCACATTTCTTCGTAATGCTTCGAACAACGACGTGATATTGACCAAATAAACTGTTTTCGACCGCGTGCTGTGGTTCTAATAAGTACCCCTCAAAGGATTGTTTGGAAAATTTTACCATGTAGCGGTGTGATATACTTATACACATTACAGGACCGGAGTTAAAAAAAAATTTTATGAGAAAATATTAATTCGGATGAATTTAATTATTAAGTTAATTAATTTCTTTGTTTAGGCGTTAAAAGCAAAATTCTTTTGAAATATTGTTCTTCTATTATTAGGAATGGGAGTTAACTTTAATTGAAAACTTTATTAAGCCTTTATTTAACGTTGAAGGTCGTAAATTAATGTACAAATCCTTTTATGTAGAATCCATTTTATAATTACTAAAATAATCTTAACATAAATTTTCTTTTTGTAGGCAGAGCCTTTTTTCGTACGTTCTAAAAAAGTATTGATTAGTTGTAAAAAAGATCAAGGTTTGAACGAGACAAAGTAAACTTGCAATTTTATTTAGTAATATGTACTATATTATTAAAAAAAATGTTGTAAGGGTGAGTTATATTACTTAGAGTTTAGCTTCACGATGCTTTGAGTCTGGGTGTTAACGAAAAAACAGAAAAAGGAAAAACGTAGTATAGCTACATGGTATTACATTAGACACTAAGTTTTGAGCAGAAATGCGAGATATTTCATTCAAATCCATAAGCAAATATCAATTAAAAAGAAGGAAGAACTGATTTGTCAATTCAACACAGACTCAAGAAACGTGGCAATTATTGGAACACGAGGAAATCAAGACAGGAAATCATCGCAATTAATTGACAGCATTATCCCTAACGATGTGCTGTTACCGTTCAAATTAGAGACCTGAATTACTCAAAAAGAAAGGACACTGGAGATGTAATGAACGATGTCAATTTCTTAACCTACTTAGACGACACCAGAATAGTTGTATTATCTCTAAACGTGATGTTATAACAGTAACTTGGATTACTTTTTGCAAAGTCATTACTACCGTTAAGCAGATCGTAGATACTAGTACGCATCGTAAAGCTCGAAACAAGAGACTCTAGAGTAGCAGGTTACATTATTGATAACGAATTATGTTGATATCATTTGAGATTTGGAGTGGGAATAAGAACAAACCTCCATTTTTGCATATCTCGGGAAATGGAACAAGTCATCACTAAGAAAGGCTGGCGACAACTCTATCTTCCAACAATATCCTGACGAATCTTTCGTGATATCAGAGCACGATTACCAGAGCTGTTTTGTTTGTGTGTGTACTCCGATTATTCACACTAACAACTTTGATATAGCGATATATGATGATGTCTTCATTCTCATTCTTAGTCTCCATCGAGATTATACGTGGCGTTCCGTTGCGCTTGATTTTGCCTAACAAATACAATGAGAGTGCGCATTCATATGAAATATTATATTACAATAATTAATATTATATAATATCATATTTCAGACATTGTCCGTAATTGCTAATTTAAAACACAGTGTAAAGGATTACATCCATGCATTTCAAGAAGAATCGGTTGCTGGAAGCTTTTAACGTGTGAATCCTCAACAACACTACATCCTTGCAAAAGTAGTTAGATATCACTGTAAATGGTCCCAAAGAAACGTACACTGGAGATTGTATGGAGATTGTTGTATACTGAATACGAAATCCTATTACATCCTGGTAAATTAGTTTTTGTAAAAAAACTCCTGGGATTTGCTTCTCCAGGCTGTACCAAGGGCAGCAGATATTGCGGCAGACTCTAAATCGGCAATCCCGACACTCAACCATTTCAAAGAAACTCTGGTCCAATCAACACACCGCTAAATTAAACACTTATTGTCCCAAAATACTGTATTTTCTTGGTTTTCATTCCATTTTGGTGTATTTTTCTCATTTTACTAAAATTATATTTACCAATTCTAATTCATATTTAAATTCTGTAACGGTAATAGAGAGCGAGATATCATCGATATAGCGCACAAACACAAGCAAGATTTCTGCTCTGCTTCATATAACACAATTTAGAGTGTGGAGAACTCTTCATAATGAGGTCCTTTACCTAAATCCTCATTCTATACTAGATTTGGAACATGCTGATTATCGGTGGCATATGTAATTTTATCAATGGATTTTAGACAAAGTGGAGGAAAATGGATGGAGAAGATCCCATTTCTCCATCAGCTCATATAGATAGATGAAGCTATTATTATTAATGATAAGGTAAATAGTATATAATATAGTATTTAAAAATCCACGCCATCATCCAAGTTAGTACCAATATGACCTTCTTGTAGAGAAGTGGGAAGATAGTTCTGTTTGATACTTACGATCAGTCAAAATGAGCTATCTCTGTGCAACTTTTAGAAATGGCGATTTAATTCAAGAGGTTGAGGGAATAGTTAAGGTCGAGGACTTACGTCGTCCTCAATTAGTGACACTTTGATGTGGATGGAGCAGAAAAGAATTATCTTAAATCGTTTAGTTGCGAGATTATGTCTTAATCAGTAATACATGAGGAGAGATCATCGTCTCGAAATCTTGGTCATTGACAGAATGAATCCCAACAAAAATTTTTCTAACTGCTACTCTTACTATTCCAACAATATTACACATGGAAGTTGGTTTTCTGGATACTCAAAGTAACCAATTGTTTAGGGCAGCATTATAATAAGACTTGTAAGAGCCAAATACTAGAAAATGTGTAAATACTAGAATTATATAATAATTGAATTCAGTATGCAAAAGCAAAAGATTGAACTTGTTGGAGCATCGGAAACAATTCTGATAACTACTTCCTCATCCCTTTCCGTCGCTACTTTGTTGTAAGTTTGACTTACTAATATACTTGGCGTTCCCCCTATCTCGATTGATTTTGTTAGTGATCCATACTCTATTTCACATTCACCCATACTATGAATTAAAATGCAATTTAGACGTGAGTTGCTTTCTAAATAATAATAATTATTTATTGTACAATTCATAATATTCAATAAAAAAAAATACAAATCAATAAAATAATTAAATTAATCATAAATTAATCCAAGATCATCAGTATCACTCTGAGCCACCAAAAGACTCTCCGACACAAAAACCAGATCAATTAATGATTCAGCGTCACCCGAAACTCTAGAGGGTTGGACAACAACCTGAAATAAGTTAAACGCTTGAAAAGCCGCCATAAGAGCTGTCTTGGCATGTGAGTTAACTAAAACGTTAACATTAAACTCGCCCACAACAACAATGTCAACTCAATCAACAACTCTACTCTGCAACAACTTTCACCAATGTAATTAATGTATTGAGGTTGGATAAAATTTTGTTTTGGAGGGTAAAAATTCATGTTAGTTGACCCAAAATGATATCCATGATGGCGAACAGCACTTCATTAGCTTGGTAGAAGTCAAGTCCATCGAAAAAATCAGTCAGTTTAAATATTCTGACTGGATATATCCAGCAATTATGGCGCAGAAAAGATTTAAGAAATCAGATCAATAAAGCGACTAATAAAGCAATATGTAGTATGCTTAAAGGAGATCGTTTGGTCAAATCAATACATGCAAATAGACAACAAGATATAAAACTTGCATAAAGACTATTATGACATATCGAATAGAGACATGCGAAGATATAAGATTACTGCGTATAGCATTAGAGGAAAAGCAAACGGGCAGTCGAACACCAGGAAGATCACCCAAAAGATAGAAGACCACCTGGAATTCCACATGACTAGACTTTGGCTACGAATGCAAAATTCAGCAGTCCAATATGTCTAAACTAAGTCGCAGAATAAGAAGAAGTATAAAATTATGTATCCGTATCTCGGCTCAACTATTTAATAATATTTTTATAATTCGGATACTGGTTCTAGAGAAATACAACAGATTCTAGAAGATAATGAATTTCATTCTAAATTCGTTGCTACAACGTTATACGCGATGGGCAAAACACTGCAAAAGACATAGAATTAAAAAGATGTAGTGGAAATAATGCTTGAAAATTGCAACCAATTAGGGTATAATACGAGTTAGGGAACGAATTATGCAGTATAAAATTTCATTTCCTACATAATCATGTTGATCCCAAGTCTTGTAAGCGTCATTTTGCTGAAAGAGTTATTTATTCCTTAATTCTTCAAAAAGTACGATATAACATAAAGCCGAATTTTGATATAATATTTAAAACCCAATATAATTTGTTTCAATGAGTTTTTTCTTGAATAACGAAAAATGATTCTTAATATTCTTGACTTAAAATCGTTTTTGTAATTTATACAGCCCATGACATTGACCGGAGAGCCTGAGGCCGACCCTGTTCGAATGCAAATCGGTCGTTATGCTGGCCGACACGCGACCGAATACTTCGTATAGAACACGTTAATAATAACAAAGTCCTCGGTTTTATAACAGCGAGCACGCACAAATTCTTTTTTTCATTTAAATGCTAATTCGGAGCGGTACGCCACCTTCGGTTTCATTTATTCTTTTGTTCGAAATGTTACGCACAAATGCGGCTTCCATCGCAACAAGAAACCCAATAACAATTTATTCCTTGGTAATTAAATTTCCTTTAAAACGTTGTAATACACACTTTTAGAAATCGAGTTCTTATAAATAATCGTCATTTATTACGAGTTGAAAAGCACAGATTTAATTGAAGAGTAATTGCCTCATTAATTATCAGGACTAAAACCAGATGTTCAACGTCGACACATACCTAATCAATGTTAATGTTACCAGTTAAATCAGATGTGGTGAATTTAAGTGATTACAATTTATGATTAGTTTATATGTAGAGATTTCTATTTTCAGATAACTTATCGTCTTTTACAAACTACTTTAGTACCGGTGATTTAAGTGTCCAAGCAGATATGGACTGGTTCGGTGCGAACTTAATCCGTAACCGTAGCAATTGGAGGGTGGAAATACCCGTGGGCTATGCGAAAGTTATATTGGGAAAATGGGGAGAAGTAGAAAATTGTCTTTGGACCGGAAGTTCTGTGTAGCAACGGAGGCTGTAGATTTTATCGAAACGGCCTTCCTAAGATCACGTTAAACTGCGCCACGACGATTCTTGTCCTTTGATAATGCGAATGAAACCATTTGAATTTGATAATAGAAACAGAATGAAGCCAATTTTACCCTTTCTAATAATATCCCTGTACCAGTAACAGTATCATTTTCTCTTATTATCTTGATTATAGAAAGTATGTTACTGGCGTTATTGATATTTCGAGCACTCACACTAATTAAATTCTCGGTATTGTTAGTAGATAAATACCAACGTTAATCCCGCGTTGAAAACTATGCGTTGCATGTTCATTTTGATTTGGAGCTTGATTGTGATATAAAATCGATTACAATTAATTAATTCGGTTTCGTTTTACTGTTCAGAATTATAATTGCAATTTAATTTTCTATTTGGTCACTATAAATATTCGACGTTTTTGTTGGTATTGTTCACATTTCACATCAAATATATTATAAAATAGGCATTGAGTGTATTTATTTTTACTGTTTATTAAACCTAGCGGCAACTGAATGATTATCTGTTTGATAATAAATAATTAAATCGAGAAATTTATTGCGTGGTCGTACGAATATTTTCGTTTTAATTTATTATATTGTATTTTATAATGCTTTAATTTGTTTACTTACCATCATTCGAATCGTAGAGATAAATGATTTTGTGCCATCCGTAGTAACGGACAGTGTCAATTATGGCCTGGTGATATTCTGGTCGCATGGAAATGGCGTAGTCCAAGAATCCGGACGACGGAGCTAGAACTTTCTCGGGGAACCATGGAGTGACGAACGGCATTTGGAATGTATTGCTGTAGGAATGTAAGGTGTCGAACGAATCCGGCGAAACTGCCCCCAACATTGAGTACACACCCCTTTGGAACTGGTTACATACTGTCAAATAAAAAATAAATTACACAAAAGTATTTCTAAACCAATTCCATCTTCAATTTCTTACTTAATCTAGACAATTTGAAAGCATCGGCAGTATTGATGACGTCCACGTATGCTTGTAGTTCAAAACGCCTGATAGTGACGTTTTGATTGTGACTAAGCATGGCATTTTTGAACGCTGTTTGAACTTCATCGGTACCCTGTTCAAAAATAGCCCCTGCAACCAAAACAAATCCGTTGATATCGGTTGACAAACAAAAAAAAAAGGAAATAAAAAGGCATTTATTTTCGTGTTTGTCTTTCCAAATAAATGACGGAAGAAACGAGGATTGAAAAAGGGTGGCCGAAAACAAACGCTCGCCGCGACGTATGCAAATGGATTTAGGGGAATCGATTTGGAGAATGGCAAAATCAAGCGGCGACGTGCGAAATTGAAAAATTTATATATTTTCAATTTAGGCCCTCCGAATCAGAATATCTTTCGAAATTAATTTAAATTGTTATAAAAGGGTGTTTTCAACTAATCCAAATAAGAATTTGAAAGAATTAGGTTTAGTTCTACATTGTATACTGAATCGTATGGAATAAGAAGCGAGAGTGATCATTAGTTTGTGCATAAAGTTTGCTGTAACTGGGCATTGATTAATATAATGAATAAGACAAGTAGTCTTGGATAAGAAATCCCAGTACATGGAGACGTACTGTAATAAGAAGTAACAAAACTAAAAGGGGAAGAACATGTTAACTGCAAGTTAGCTGGAGAATTAAAAAATGATATGGACCAGATTGTAACTCCAAAGTAGAGGTTTTTTCGAAATTGTATAAAAAAGGCAGAGTGTTCTGAAGCAATTTTGTAACATTGGTGATAAGTACAAACAAGATATTTATTGAGGAGACTTAATATCTGCAGTAAAAGCACCGTAGAATTAAAATAGGAGAAGGCAGTGCAAAAAGCATCTCATATAGTGTTGGGCGAAACCATTACTTTTGTATGTATGTATGTAAGAGAAGGGGAGGGATGCACGCACGAAGCACTTAGGCCCCATCGAACCCCTTGTACATCCTCCCAACACTCACGCCGGTTATATCGACCAGCCTAAAGGAGTTATCAAAGGTTAGGATACAGCTGAGAGGTGTGTCTCTGACGCCATCCGTAGGAGACCATTCTTCCCCGAACACTCTTAATTTGATGCCTTGAAGGGCAGAGCTATCCAATTACATCAGAATACATAAACTACAATGACGGGTCAAATTTCTTTGAAGAAAGAGACATTATAGTGCAAATAAACAGACAAATGCAAGGAGACAAAAGATAATCCAGACAAACATTCACGGAGACCAACCTCTGTGAATCTGGAACCCAAGTTTACGATATTTTGGTTTTATTAGTACCATTCGATAGAGAATCATTTCGAGAATCGTGTCGAAACGATTCTCTATCGAATTATATCGACCGTTTTGCGATATCTCTATTAATAACGGAGATACATACTTTCAGCGATATTCTGATGAACCAAAAAATCGCTGTTTTGGAATCGGTTAAGGTTCAAACGAAATCGAAAGTAGTACAAACGATTCTCTATCCAATTCCATCGACCGTTTTGCGATATCTCTATTAATAACGGAGATACACACTTTCAGCGGTATTCTAAAAAATCAAAAAATCGCTGTGTTTTGGAACCGGTTGAGGTACAAACGAAATCGAAAGTGGTACAAACGATTCTCTACCGAATGGTATTAATAAAATTAGAATATCAAAAAGTGGGGTTCCGGCAATTTTTCAAAATTTTTTCATCTCGTTAGTTCCTGAGGTACAAACGAAATTAAAAGTGGTACAAACGAGTACAAACGATTCTCTATCGAATAGTCCTAATAAAACCAAAATATCGTAAACTCGGGTTCCAGGTTCACAGAGCTAGGAGACCAGGGTTCGACAGCAGACTGCTATTCCATAGGAAAGCGAGACAAGATGAATTTGCTATGGTTAAACATAAGTTTATGTTCTTTGTTTTGATTATCTACAAAATATGCCTTTACCATGCACCCCTTCCGAAAATGTATTTTATGGAAGACGATTATGAGTCTGTTCCATCATCTATTTCCTGATATCTGCTTTGCCGTAATCAAAAACTCTGTGTTGGTGAACTTTATACAGGGTGTCACATAAACAACGCCCCAAGCTGTAACTCTGTCATTTACATTCCGATTTTCATGAGCGGGTTATCAAATGAAATGGTTTCATGAATACTATGATTCATGCTACAAATAAATTTTTTCCAAGGCCGTTTTCAATTTTAAGCGATTATTAACTTTTGCTTTTCAAATTGCTCTATATATTTTTCTTTACGTCATTGGATAGAGATTGTTTTTCTGAATCCACTGATGTACAATACATCCATTTTGAATATAATTTTAGTAGAGAAAAGACACCTGTATATACAGGTTGCCACACAAGAACGCCGCTAGCTGTACCTCTGTCATTTACCTTCCAATTTTCATGACCTAGCTATCAAATGAAATGGTTTGATGAATACTATGATTCATGCTACAAATAAACTTTTTCCAACGCCATCTTCAATTTCTAGCGATTATCAACATTTGATTTTCAAATTGCTCGGTATGTTTTTCTTCACGCTATTGGATAGAGTTTTTTTTTCTGAATCCATTAATGTACAATACATCAACATTAATTGTAATTGTAGCATAGAAAAACATTAAAATAGTTTCTGAACATTCTCTTAAAGTCACTTGTATTATACTGTAGTGTGCCATGGGATAAATGAAAAAACAACTTATAAGTATCATTTACAACTGCTTCGGGCATTGACATAGCATTTAATGACTGTTATCAGTTTTGCGTGTTATTTTTTTCCATGGCACACTGCAGTATTACAGAAGTGACTAAGACAATGTTCGGAAAATGTTTTAATTGTTTTTCTCTGCTAAAATTACAATTAATGTTAATGTATTGTACATCAATGGGCTCAGAAAACAATTTCTATCCCATAACGTGAAGAAAAACATACCGAGCAATTTGAAAATCAAAAGTTGATAATCGCTTGAAATCGAAGATGGCGTTGGAAAAAGTTTATTTGTAGCATGAATCATAGCATTCATCAAACCATTTCATTTGATACCTCGTTCATAAAAATCGGAAGTTAAATGACAGAGTTACAGCTTACGGCGTTCTTGTGCGACAACCTGTATATACAGGTGTCTTTTTTCTGCTAAAATTACATTCAAAGTGGATGTATTGCACATCAGTGGATTCAGAAAAACAATCTCTATCTAATGACGTGAAGAAAAATATATGGAGCAATTTGAAAAACAAAAGTTAATAATCGCTTAAAATTGAAGATGGCCTTGAAAAAAATTTATTTGTAGCATGAACCATAGTATTCATCAAACCATTTCATTTGATACCTCGGTCATGAAAATCTGAATATAAATGACAGAGTTACAGCTTGGGGCGTTTTTTGTGTGACACCCTGTATACACATTAATAATACTGGAAGAAAAATTAGGGTAATAGTACTTTCCAGAATCGATTAGTTTTTTGAATTGAAGTAATGAGTCTTATATCTCTTATATCTATATTTTTTTATAAGCAAATATTTCATTGTATCATTTTTTACAATTCAAAAATGAATTGTTTAATTTATTAGGTTTTCCTACTTAAAAAATAGATTTTTGGTTTACGGTGTTGGAAGAACATCTCGACATTAACTTTGAAGTATTTGAGTCTTCATCGAACGACGTTTTAAAGCTGAAATCTGACTCCACTAAAAGTACTAGTTGAGTAAACAACTTTACAGGCGGTTCAAATCTCCATTAAAATAATAAATGAAAATCCTCATTTGTATTGACCAAACAATGTCGAATTCCAATGAAATACGATCTTTGTCACACGGAGTGTATCGAATATGATTTATGACAGTGCTATTAAAATGGAATTTCTGTTTTTTTAATGTCGATCCAAAATTAGGTCGCGACGTGTTAAAATTGTCAACATGTTCGGAGGTGTTTCGATTACAATGTACTATTTAGTACCGGTATATTTGAAATGTTATGAAAACTGAATATACTTGTAAAATATTTTATGGTGTCTATCCAAAATAAACGATTGTATTTATAGATATAGGTACGGATGCATGTGTATTCATTTCACATTGCAAACGATTTTATTGCAATATAAAATACTACGGTTTTATCAAAATAAATAGTGTCATTTAAAAATAAACATTAATCATCTTGTTAAAACAGAACCTTTGATTCCTAGAAAACCAATCCAAATAATTTCTTTTAGTTGTTGGAATAAAATTAGGATCTATTTGATTTGGATGGTGAACTAGATAACGCCGATTTAACGGAATTTATCGAATTAATCCGAAATTATCAAATTTAGAGCTAGATAATTGATGATAATTATTTTTTATTATCCCTTATAATAACCAGGTCCCCAAGCGTAAATTCAACCGTTTACTTTATAACGTACCGAAACTGTTGATCATCCACCCCAAATTCTAAATCCCTAATATTTGAGAAGAAACGCATAGCGCAAAATTCTAAATGATATTTGCGAAAATGTGGTTCTATCTCTGCCTAAATGTCTCGCAGCTGTAATCAAAGCAAAAGCAAGCCTTAAAACTATCGTTTTCACAATAACCGAGCATAACCCCGAATTGCTGAGTAGAACTTCTTTTCGACTTCCAAATAGTTGAGGGATTACGTCAACATTTGAATGTCATGAATTAAAGGAGATCAAAAATGTCTGACTTATAAACAAATCTTATTTGAAATATTATTTGATATAAGAAATAACTTCGAATTTTTAGAGAATGAATGAAATTATTTACCACTAACATTACATCAAAACGCGAGATCCACAAAAGAGGCGGTTTTTGCGGTCGTTGTTACGTAAACCAGTTACGGGATGTAATTTCTCTCTTGCTGCTTTCACTTCATCATTAAATCAACGCCGGTATACACATTGAGTTCTCGTAATTTGTTTCCTTTTTTTTACTGAAACTAGAAAAGTTAAAGAAATTATTTGTGTAATAAATTTAAAGGATTAATGTTTGGGTGATTTTTAAGTTAGCCCTGTTGGATATATTAATTCAATACTCAAAGGTTGCCATATAATCAAGAGAGTTAATACAAAATACAAAACATACTTAATCAATACATCTTGTACAAGATACATCTGGTGTAGCTAGAAGCGCACTCCAGTAACTAAACGATCTATATTTATTAGAAAGAGACGGAAATTTATTTGTATTTGATTCAAAGTGGACGTTATATTATGTTTAAGCTTGTTCAATAAATCTTTGAATATTGTTAATAACATATTCGAATATGTAGACTGAATATTGTAGCGGAAAATTTTTAATTATGATTTCATCTTCAATAGAATAAGTTTTATCCGAGTTATAATGATTTAGATGTTGCTTTGTTATTTGTTTGGAAGTGTTTGAAATAAGAAAAAGAGATTTTCATTAATGACGTCGTTAACTTTTTAATGATTTACTCATAAAGCGGAACGTGAATTTTTGAGTGTAAATCGTTTTTAGTTTTATATTTAATACCCATGGTCGTCAATAATTTATTTCAATAGTTATATCAAAGGAGATCACACGTTAAATTTATTCATATTTGTGAAAAATATCGAAAGCTTCACCTACTCGGAAATAAACAATTTCAAATTTAAATCCGAAAATGAAAATAACCCTTTAATAAACGATTAACTATAAATTCTATTTATACTATATAGTACATGTTTACAATTTACTATGTAAAAAAGCTTATAAAAAATATTTTTTTATTCGTTTTAATTCGTTCCTGTTTGAATATACAAAATGTATCATTTTGTAGATGTGATCATTTAGGTATTACACTTTTTTTGTTCGTATTGATTTATTTGGTTACTATTCTGTTATGGTATTAATTAGTTTAGTAAACTAGACTCAAAATACAATTTACACTCTCCTCAAATCGAAGAAAGATTTCTGGATTTCCATAAACAACTCCTTAAATAAATGGCTAAAACACTACGTTGGCTAAAAACTGAGCATGAAGGAGAGAAGTGAGGTTGAAGTACTTTTCAAAGAATGAAGAAACTTCTAGCATATTCCACCTTGTCACTGGGTGTTCCGATTTGTAAAAACGTACATCTAGTCAGTATTGTTATACAAAGTGGAAGCATGGACTCTTGGAATTAATGGTATGATAGAAGCCTTTGAAATGTGGGTTTTTCCCAGAACGCTGAAGATTTGTTGATCTCTCCAATGATGAGGTGCTAAGAAGAATGGGAACTGATAGAGAACTCTTAAATATGGTAAAAACCCGGAAAACGAGTTATCTAGGTCATATTTATAGAGGGAAAAAATACAACTTCCTACAACTCATAATGGAAGGGAAGTTTGAAGGAAAACGGGCCTACGGAGGAAAAAATTCCCATTCCAACCCATTCATTATTAAGAACAGCACAAAACAGAAAGCACTTTGCAGAAATTATCATCAACCTTCCGTAATAGTGATGGCATATTAGGAAGAGATCAACCTCTTGATCTTTTGCCATCAACCTTCCCATGTATCATAACTTTTTCGACTCCGTCCTTCCATGTTGTATGATGATGTTGGTAGTAATCTTTCTTTATCGTATATTTTTAGTTCTCCTGGAATGGATACAAGCCCGATACGCAAGGTATTCTCAACATATCATTTCAAAAGCTTTAATCTTCCTTTGGCATGCAACATGTATGGTCCATGATTCTGAGCTATCTCTACTCAGTCGCAGCCCTCACTTCAGGCTTACTTGCTCGAGTCGTTGTAGGAGTTCGAACATTTTTTGCTCATCTTGCAGTTGCGGCGCTCTCATCTGTGATTCAATAATTCTTATAATAAAATTAATGTCTGAGAATTTCTAATGCAGTTCTAAATGAATACGTTTTGTAATTAAAGACATTATTAAAATAGTTCATATGTTCCGTTAGGAATTTAATAACTGACACATAACTGGAATAATTATTATAGTAGGTTTGCGACGAATTTTGGGGTCGTTTGTGCATCACGGTACGTCGAATTTGCCATCTGCGTCCTAAAGCGTTTGCGCGACAGTCCCTATTACCAGTGAAAATTTATTAGACATCGGCGCGGAAACTTTAATGGCCCGAAAGCGAGACAATACGAGAAACATTGTTTATAAATTGCCCGCACTCCGAGAATAGTCGGGGGAGTTTGCGCGTGATTACGGTACTACTCTGAGACCTCCTCCCGTGACCCCGAGGCCCTCTTTCTTCCTACCACCTCTACGAGAGAAAACTTTGAGACCGGAGAAAATGTATTCCGGCGAACAAAAATAATAAAAACTTTTCGTTTTTCTTTTAAGCGGCTCAGTTTTTGATGTCATTGTTTACCGAATACTTTAGAATGTTTCTTTTCAAAATGGCAAAAGCATCTCCTTAAGAAAAAAGATTATGAAAAAGACGTTGAAAGGCAAAGATAATCGAACAGGGTGAAACCAGAAGACGTCCTCTAAAAAGCGAATAAGAACGGGTCGTCGTAATCCCGAAAGGTAGCTTATGAATTTTCATCAGAATTTATGGGACGCGCATCCACGTAGGGCGAAGTTATAAAGTCGGTTGCCCGCAAAAAGGATCCGAAGTTCGCGAGGGTAAGTGAGAAAAATGGCGCATCGCGATATTACATTCCTTCAGTTGGGTTCTGGGCCCCACTCTTGGCTGTTGCTGGGTCATCTATAGTCTCCAGAGCCCGACTCTTTGATATTACTTCGTACGTTGAGCACTTTTTATGCTGTCCCACTTTATAAGTGTAATCCCTTCAATCTTTAACAATCACCAAAACTTACACTAAATAAATAAATTTTCAAACGTCTTTATTTATTATTTACGTGTTTATCAATTATCATAAAATTGGTGGATACGCCGGATTTACAATACATTAAAACCACAATATAGATTAATACAGGGAAGGAAGTGTCCATTTTAGCCAAAAGTTCGCAAAGTTCAATAAAAATGTACAACAATCTAGCACTGAATAACAATTAAAATTAGAACTAACACTAGACCTAGAAGTTTCTAGAATGTTTCTTGTTCTAGGTATAGTGTTAGTTCTAGTTTTACACTAGCACTGTTATATACTGTATATATTATGTAGATCTAACACTATACCTAGAACTAGAATCATTTAGATTTAGCCGCACGTCTCTAAAGACGGCTAAACCCGAATGATTCTAGTTTTAGGTATAGTGTCAGTTTTAGTTTTACATTTGCACGGTTACTATGTAGAACTAACACTATACCTAGAACTAGAATCATTCGGGTGTAGCCGTCTTTAGAGACGTGCGGCTACACCCAAATGATTCTAGTTCTAGGTATAGTGTTAGTTCTAGTTTTACACTTGCAGAACTAGAAACATTCGAGTTTAGCCGTGCGTCTCATAAGACGGCTAAAGCCGAATGATTCCAGTTGTTGGTCTAGCCTTAGTTCTACTGTTATTTCAATAAAAATATACAACAATCTAGCTTTGAATAACAATTAAAACTAGAACTAACACTAGACCTAAAACTACAAAGTTGTGGTTTTAGCCGTTATATCGAAGTTTTACTTATTTGTTTTTTACATTTAACCTTTATAGTAAATGTTCCAGTAAAACTTTTACTAATAAAATTGAAAACTCAACAAACAGCCATAATTTTGTTGGGTTGACGGTATATGGTTAGTTTCACGTTAGGTTCCATCTGATGGTTGCCGACGGAAAAGACTTATTTTATTTTCGGTAATTGAGTTGCGAGAGCAAAAGCTTTATACGAGCTTTTACCGTGTACCTTTCGAATTTCCTTAAAAGCACTCGATGTAATAAGTTTCGAGATATTACGTTTTGGCTTCGTTACGATACGAAACAAACGAAGAAAAACCAAGTCATAGGTTAAAGGTTTAAAGAAAATGCTTTTAAGCGAAAAGAAAATATCGACGAAATATAAATATTTTTGATAAGCTTAAAGCTTTGATCCTCGCCACAACGAATTTCGAAGTGAAAAGCCTCCTTGACGATGTCTATGGACGGGCTGATAAATTAGCTAGTCCCTTTAAGTTTTCAGGTCAGCAAAAGCGCAATAGGCAATCGGAGGGGTTGCTTTTTCGAGAGAGTTTCGAGTGGTTTCCGTCCTGAAGCGCGCCTTTCTGCGCGCCAATTTAGCATCCTGCATAACGAATTCTCGTAGTCGAGTGTTTTAGTTATCGGCGAGAAATTGTACGAGCAGAGGAAAATCCGATCAGGTCAAATTTTGATGTTCAATTATAAGTGTAATTAGGAACGGGGAAGCTTTGATACTCATCAGCTTTGTTCGCTATCGCGCATCGGCTTCCGGTCTGAAATGAGTTCCAGAATTTACCACGAATAATACCAAGGCATTAGGTGTGGAACCTTTTTAGAAGAATAAGTACGCTCCCTTTGTCAAATCAAAATCAAAAGCTTTTCATTCCAGAACGAATACGCTTTTCGCTTTCTAATCAAAAAATTTCAGTTCATTAAACATTTGCTGACACGAAAAACTAATTTTTATGGGCATACCCAACAATTTTCCGTTAAAGCATTGAAATAAGTGGCCGGAAGTGGTAGATAATAATGGCAATTTCGGGAATATACCGCACGTCATTGTCGACTGCATGAGCTTTCTCGGTCAGATGTTTTCCGAGTGGAACTCGCGGATGCAAAAGCTCCGCTGCACAGCTGGTTTGGAAATAACGCGATCCTCTAGGAATGGCACACAAAACGCGGACTCTTGTCAGTAAATCAATGATATTTCCATAATATTTTAGAAGCGATATTTGAATTTACAGATGGAAATGTTTGTTAACTAAATTGAATCAAAACTTCAAATTGATTACAATTAAAATCATCCACTTAACAAATCTTAGAGTACATAAGAAATCATTAAAACAAATTAAGTTTTACTAAGAAAACATTCCAAAATCATATTTCATACGTTACTCGAAAGTCAAACAGACCGCAGTGGGATTAGGGTGGTGAGATACGCAACGATATATAAGCTGATAACATAACCTCTAAAGTTCGACCCGGAAAGCTTTAAATGCCGGTTATTTATGACGGTATTTAAAAATTTTATTGTATTTTGAACAAAACTTACCTAATGGAATCTTATCGCTGGTGATGGTCGCATCTGCGAAGAAAAAACAAGCCGCGATGACGAACGTACTCGTGCAGGAGATGACGCTCATGGCGTCGCGACGGCCCAGCCTCACTTCGTCTGGACCGGAGCAATCTGCGGAGCAACAAAGCGACCCTCGGCGCAGCCGCACCAAACCCTTATTTCGATCATTTCACTCTAATTACTTTACCCCCCATTGTTTTGTAGCTATTATGTCGCGATTCCGGTAAAAAGTTTCCTACACATACACTCTTTAAGAGAGACGCTTCAGTATTGTTCCCGTAAGTCTTATCTTTACGGTTAAGATCCCTTTTGATGTGGAACTTTTTTAAAGAGAAGGATGGGAACGTAGCGGAAATTCGACTGATTTAATGATCTCAAAGCTTTAAGGCTTTCTACCGCGGTGACTTAATGATAAATGTTGTAACGGACTTATTTTAAGATCTTTCTTTGTCATTGATACAATAGAAACCAATACAAGTTTTTGAAAAATGTCTTTATGTTATCTTTGATATATTAAAATAGAATTCCGAAAACAAATCTAGTTTGATAGATAAATCAATTTATGGCAATATCGTGACATTAATACAATTATTCTTGAAATACCATTTTTGTGGCTTCATTAATTTTATCGATCTTATTAACATAATTAGCTAATAAAAGGCTACATCCGACAAAAACAATTTTTTCAGCATTAAAATTTTGATGTTTTTAATTCTCCTCAAAATTATTATGGATCATCAAACAAAATTATGTAGGAAATTCCAGTAGAACGAATTGGCTAGATATTCATTATATTTCCAAAGCTGATGAATACCAAAATCGTTGTTAAGAAGTCGGCTTCCCTGTATCTGACGGTTTGGATGAATGGTTTGATCCCTTTTCCTTAAATATTTGACTTAATTGGATTCTAAATCTGGAAAAGTAAACCATGATATTATTATAGTGGTTACCTCGGGGTAACAACATCGTCGCTAATTTGGTGTATATGAAGTGTTAAGTTACTTATTTGAAAGATGTTGAAATCAATAATTTAAATAATTTTTGGTTTTGTCAAATCAGTTTAGACGATAATATTAATGTTATCGCATAAAGTCTTATAGAGTTTAAAGCCAACACTCCATTAACACGAGTTACGAAGTTATTAGAATTTAAATTGCCTTCTTAGGAACTATCACAGATTCACATAATTAATTAATGTTTTCTTGTCCTATAATACTTCCTTATCTCTGTCATTATAAATTTTTAAAGAGGATTATAACACCGAATACAATTGCTAAATGCTATATTGTTAAATAAAGAAAAATTGAATAAAGAAAATTCTGTGTAGAAAGTTTAATTTCTATAGTGAGGAGGCTTAAAGGAATGAGAGAGGGTGATGAAACTTTGTATTACACTTAATAGTCTTGTATCTGGTATTCGAAAATTATAAGGAGAAAGTTAGCAGCTACACCAATTAACGGTGAAACCATTAATAAGTTTCAGTAACAATTCACACAATCCATCATGAAACACTCTCCAACAGTAACATATAACCATTTCGTTTACAAACTTTCCAAAGATATATTGAATCTAATCCATGCTAAGAGGACGACATACAGACAACATCAGATGACGAAGGACAAAAATTTAAAGACAGAATTCAACCTCTCAATAAGCAAATACATAAAGAAGTAGAAGTATACCAAACTAACCAATGATTACAAGTTTGTTCAGAAATCAAAGAAGACAATGGTAGCTCATACTGGAACAAGATTAAGAAAGTCACCAAATACAAGAGACCCTTGTCGATCCCAACACTAATGTACAACCAAACCGAGTGGGTATCTGACGTACAGAAATGCAACGCTATGCCAGAACATTTTTTAGACGTATTCCCACCGATAGAAAACTCACAGTTCGGCAAAGACCACCAGAATTTTATCGATAACTGGTACGCAGGGTATCTAACAGCACCAATATACAATAAGTCTATCCCAGATATTAGCGAAGACGAATACAATATACATATTCATAACGGAAAAACACCGTGACCTGATAACAAAACTTACTCCAAGAAAACTAGATCCACAGATTCACAACTATATACGCAGACTCTTTAATTACTACCTACAGGCACAAATATTCCCTTCCGCGTGGAAATCTGGAACCATCATCCAGCAAAACTCTACCTCCCTTCCTCTTTCAATCTTATTCAACAACATCGAGACAGCACACTTGCAAAATAAACACACTGCAACGGTCTTTTTGGATATCAACAAACCTTTTGACAGCGTGTGGCATAAGGGAATAATTTACAAAATGAATCTTCTAAATGTAAACCCATATCTTACCAGAATCACAACTGACTTTTTAAATGAACGACAATTATGTATAAAAATCAACAATACATATTCTAATCCATTTTCTCCTCTATCACCGACTCTATACAATTTTTACTGTTTCAACATTTTTTCCCCAAGCCATTCCCTATTCGACCCGAATCGGTATATCCTACAATACGCGGATGACACGACATTGGTCACCCACGCAAAAATTCTAATTGAAACAATAAAAGAAATGCAAACATTCTACAACGAGACACTTACCTGACTATTCAAATGGAGACTACGACCCAACCCTCCCAATTCCGGCTCTTACTACCTTACCACAACATTAAAGAGGACTCTCCCTACATCCAAATAGAACATGGTAAATTAAGACCTTTGGAAAACATCAAATATCTAGGTATGATTAGACAAGAAACTACGTCTTAAAAACACTACAAAGAAAAACAACTCGAAGCAATAAGAAGAGCTAAACACTTTTAAAGGAATTTCCACTAAACGGCCGTACACATCTACAAAGCAATAGTGAGACCTTTGTTGGATTATTGACATGTCTTAACTACCAGTGCACCGAAAGAAACACTTGACATTATTAATAAAGCAGAAAGAAGATGCTCAAGGATAATGCACAACATTCAAAATAAAAAGGTATACGAACGGACAAACATCACACCAATATCAGAAAGACACGAACTGCTACGACAAAAATTTATCAACAGAACATTGAACAGACATTTNAGGCTTAAAGGAATGAGAGAGGGTGATGAAACTTTGTATTACACTTAATAGTCTTGTATCTGGTATTCGAAAATTATAAGGAGAAAGTTAGCAGCGACACCAATTAACGGTGAAACCATTAATAAGTGTTCACACAATCCATCATGAAACACTCTCCAACAGTAACATATAACCATTTCGTTTACAAACTTTCCACTGATATATTGAATCTAATACATGCTAAGAGGACGACATACAGACAATATCAGAAGACGAAGGACATAAATTTAAAGACAGAATTCAACCGACTCAATAAGCAAATACATAAAGAAGTAAAAATATACCAAACTAATCAATGATTACAAGTTTGTTCAGAAATCAAAGAAGGCAATGGGCGCTCATACTGGAACAAGATTAAGAAAATCACCAAATATAAGAGACCCTCGTCGATCCCAACACTAATGTACAGCAAAACCGAGTGGGTATCTGACGTACAGAAATGCAACGTTATGGCAGAATATTTTCTAGACGCATTCACACCGATAGAAAACTCACAGTTCGACAAAGACCACCAGAATTTTATCGATAACTGGTACGCAGGGTATCTAACAGCACCAATATACAATAAGTCTATCCCACATATTAGCGAAGACGAATACAATATACATATTCATAAAGGAAAAAATACCGCACCAGGGCATGACCTGATAACAAAACGTCCTCTAAGAAAACTAGATTCACAGATTCACAATTATATACGTAGACTCTTTAATTACTACCAACAGGCACAAATATTCCCTTCCGCGTGGAAATCTGGAACCATCATTCAGCAAAACTCTACCTCCCTTCCTCTTTCAATCTTATTCAACAACATCGAGACAGCACACTTACAAAATAAACGCACAGCAACGGTCTTTTTGGATATCAACAAACCTTTTGACAGCGTGTGGCATAAGGGAATAATTTACAAAATGAATCTTCTAAATGTAAACTCATATCTGACCAGAATCGCAACTGACTTTTTAAATGAACGACAATTATGTATAAAAATCAACAATGCATATTCTAATCCGTTTTCTCCTCTATCACCAACTCTATACAATATTTACTGTTTCAACATTTTTTCCCCAAACCATTCTCTATTCGCCCCAAATCGGTATATCCTAGAACACACGGACTACACGACATTGGTCACCCACGCAAAAACTCTAATTGAAACAACAAAAGAAATGCAAACATTCTACAACAAGACACTTACCTGACTATTCAAATGGAGACTACAACCCAACCCTTCCAATTCCGGCTCTTACTACCTTACCACAACATTAAAGAGGACTCTGCCTACATCCAAACAGAACATGGTAAATTAAGACCTTTGGAAAACATCAAATATCTAGGTATGATCTTAGACAAGAAACTACGTCTTAAAAAACACTACAAAGAAAAACAACTCGAAGCAATAAGAAGAGCTAAACACTTTTAAAGGAATTTCCACTAAAACGGCCGTACACATCTACAAAGCAATAGTGAGACCTTTGTTGGATTATTGACATGTCCTAACTGCCAGTGCACCGAAACAAACACTTGACATTATTAATAAAGCAGAAAGAAGATGCTCAAGGATAATGCACAACATTCAAAATAAAAAGGTATACGAACGGACAAACATCACACTAATAACAGAAAGACACGAACTGCTATGACAAAAATTTATCAACAGAACATTGCACAGACATTTATTGAATTATATGTGCTTATCTAGAAACAACGACAAAAATCCCGAACAGAAGACTACACTGTTAGAAAAACTTTGCGACATATAATGAAAAATAATGCCTTATGTATATAAAAATTATAAACATGTATGTAGTTTGTAATAATGTTCTACGGCGGAAAGACCTATATACAAATATAGGTCCATAGCCGAATAAAGATATATTCTCTCTCTCTATTCAATACTTGGGGTTCCAACAGAATGATGTCGTCACATACCACACAGTTGATCAAGCAATTGATCTGTTGAAGAGGAAGTTTGAAAAAAACCGATGTTTGTATATAACCTTCCACATCATATAAGTATTAATGTTCTGCATATAACCCCCAAAAAAACATTTAGAACCAGCTTACCATCTTGTCGCGTCAAATTTATTAGTACATACGTAGAGTTACCCATTTTTATACAGGGTGTTAAATAATAGCGGTGCAGATACCTTTATTATTTCTTTTCTAATTTTGTTGTACCACTCCTTAAAACATCTACATAATACTAAAAGGCAAACATTTTTTGTCAAAGCAACACATCTTTTATTTCAAACGAAACGGGTCATAAAATAGCCCATCTTCCGACGAAGGTTTTTTTTTGTTTTAAGAGCTACGCTGAGTTTGGTAGCACGCAAAGCAATAAACCCCGACTTCCACATGACATTGAGGTTGTGAAAGTAAATACCGTAAATACTCTGGCGCTAGTTCAACTGGAGAATTTATACGTCCCATTTTTTCCGACAATCGCAAATGTCAATATCATAACTAAACGGGGGGCATTTCCCAACCTCAACCAATGTTGACCGCTTCGGGCTTTTTTACACCGACTTTTTATTTATCGTTAATATAACCGTGTAATTAAACAGTTAAAAATTTACATAAAAACGAAATTAATAAAACTACTTGCAACATAAATTATTGCAATCTTAAAAATGGAATGGGAGAATAATTAAGAATTGAAAAATACATTTTTAAATAAATTTTGTATATTACCAGTAATGGTAGATTTACAAAAGATTTATTTTCTAATACACGGCTTAAGGGAATGTGATTATTCCTACGTAACACCGCATCATTACCGCCTCCACACGTAATCACCAAAATAAACTAAACTTGTCGTCGCTGCGTTTCAATCTTTCGGTAACGCACTGTCGCTTTTTCCTCTCGCGTACAATTTTATGTTAGTAGTTTTCGCGCCTAACATCCTCTCGAGAAGCGAATGCTTAGATTTTCTTCTCGCCGCTAAAACCGCCTTACAAAGATCTTGAAAAACCGTAGCTACAGGACCGACTTGTTCAGCAGCCGTTACTTCTGAAAATCCGCACTCTAAATCTCTTGCCAAAATAGTACCCTCTTCGGCACTAACTTGTCTTAAATGAACCATATCGTTTTTATTCGCAGCGAGATAAAGTGGGATATCACAGTCGTTTAGTAAAGTCCCTACTTTCTTAACGTGTACAAACGATCTTCTATCCGTTATAGAATAAACCAAGAGAATTCCGTCCGCCCAGTTTAGCGTATCTGGTGATGGAAAATCATCTTCATTCTGAGAAAATAAAAAATTATGAGTGAAATCGCGTCTCGTTATAAACGTAAATATACAATTCGTTCTATGAATATTAATGAGACCACCTCCCGACACTTATTTGAGCTTGCAAATATGCATGAGTACTGAAAGCAGTATCGTTTACAAAAGATATTAACCAAGATCGATGGTCGACACTGATAACTTTATCGATTTTATGTTAATTTTAGCGATTATCAAGAGACTTTTATTAATATCCCTAAGAAATATAATACCGAATTTATTGATTTATTTAAGTAATCAAACGTGGTTTATTTGTTTTCCTAATTTGTATAACGACCGATAAACCACCCAAATTTATATACTAGAATATGATCAACAAAATTAACAATATTTCCCTTTATTTTCTAGAATCTGTATTCAAAGTTCAAATCGGCAAAACAATAGTTATTTACGTAACCAGTTATAAAAAGACTAATTTTGTTTGACGAACTTAATATTTGCAAATTACGTGAGTTTCATAACGTGTTAAGTACAAAATTTTATCTAATTCCATTGAAAAAGCAATTTTTGTTCAATCAATATCACTAGTGATGTAATAAAATTATTACATCACTAGTTATAAAAATGTGACTTTACATAACGTCAGAAAGACATGTAATAGTTATTTATATTACAAGTGGGCTAGAAACGTAATTACTGTACGAGTATTGTAATTATGCTCTAGCGCACGTAAAAAAAAAATGTTGTGTATCACAATACACAACATTTTATCTACGACTGTTAAAAATTACTTAAAAATCAATTTCTTTAAAATGGTCTATTTTCTATAAAAATATTTTGAAATGATTGTTGACAATTTTGAATTAATGTCAGTTTCAATAACACCTTTACTCATCTAAAATAAGTGTTTCGAAATGTAAAAACATAACAATTAATGTTTATAACAAATAGTATTGTTTTTAAATAGGTCTCTCTTTTGCATTATTGCTGGTTCCAATAAATTAAGTCTGTTTTGATTGGGCTAAAAATGCGTTACGTAATGAAACCAGTGCGGTAATGACTTCATTACGTAACTCAAATCACCTCAAATAGATAATATTTATTTTTCATAATGGAATTAGGTAAAAGTAATATAATAAATAAAAAAGTTGAAAACGGTTTTGGAATAAATCCGTGAGTAACTGGTCCGCGTTCGCAATGCTCGAATACAAAGAATATAGCGGGGCTAAATATAGACAGCGAAACCGGCGGTACTGAGGTAAAATCGAATTTTTATGAGATGCGAGCCCACTGGCAGCGCATGCATTACATATGTCAACAATTTTATGTCATACTCTTTCTGGAACCGTAGCAACGCCGACACGTTTCGGCGCATCGAGTCCGCGACCACCGACATCGTCGTCGTCGCCGTGCGTGGCACAACATTTATCTCTCTTAAGGGTCGAGGGTGGATTCATATTTTATCACGTTCCCAAGTGAACTTAATCACGATTTTTCAACGTTGCGTTTGTTTTAGAAACAACAATTTTCTCTGGTGCGGAGTGTTGAAAATTTTATTATAACTTTAGTAAATAGAAAGTTGAAATAAAAAATTGATTAAACAAGATTTAATAATAATACTCTATTTTAATTAGCCCATTAGGATTTATTACTTTATATCAATTATTTGATCTACATTTATCAAAATTTAAACTCTAAACCTAACATATTTGTTAATTTTGTGCCTACGGAAGATTACTCTAATGAAATAATGACAGTAAATATACAGGTATTCATTTGAAAAATTCCCACCTCAATTTCTCCGAAAGGGACTTTTTATGCAAAAATTGAAAATTTTTTTAAAAATATCCTAATATGATAAACTTACACAATAGTTTTTAATTTTTGCAATAGAAATGTTACATTTTTCATAAAGAAGCACATATAGTGGTGATTTGCAACAGAATTAAAAAGTTTAGCTGACTAGTTAATCCTAGTGGTGCAAAAAGGAAGAAAGAGAACAAGAAGAATGTGACATTTTATCCCAAAGTGCATTTTTATGAGGGTGTTCCAATTTTAAATGGGTCATTCATCATGCATAGACGTTCATAGAGAAATAAACTTTACACATGGGTTTTGCAACTTTTCCGCATTCCGGTATATATCTTAATCTAAGGGCTGCGTTGTAAAAGTAGGTCAGGATGCCTCTATATTTTCTTAGCAGATGCTTTAGGATTCCTGTCTTTTTTCTCTATGCCTAGGATGATTTAGAGATCGTATTATTTGGATTGAAGTTAGTTCTTATCTGATCACTCTGATCAGCTACATCTTTAGAAGTAATTGGTGTGATATTTTCTGTTCTTTCATCATTTTTTGATTCTTTCAGTCTTAGGTTGGGAATAAAGATCTCAGCACGATGTTCAGCAAACAGCGTTACTTCTTGCTTAGTGTCTTTGGCCTATGATCCATTGTTGTTTCTAATAAGAGAAACAAAGTTCTCTGTCAGTTCTCTTAGATAGAAGCTCATGAATTCTTCTTTAAGGTTTTGAATTTCTCCTTAGTTCTTCTTTTTGGATTTTCTGAATTTCTGAATCTTGTTGATAAGTATAGTTTTGTCTGAGAAATACGTCGATTGCTGCCATCTTCTTCTATCTCTTTATTTCTCTTTGACAAATCTCTGGTCTCAAAATAATTCACACCTTTGGTTACATGATAATCACTTTATAGTTGGTGTAGGCCTCTGATCGGGTAATACAGGTAAAATCTGCAGCTTCTTTTTCTAGTTGTTCACCTATTCTAAGACTAATATTGGGGTTGATATTGTTCTGGAGGCCAAACTAATAGTTCTAGAGTCAGTTAGTAAGAGTAACTCTGGCAGCACTTTTTATTATCCTTTCACAACGTTTGCATAACGGCTAAGTGATCGAATTAATGTCAAATTAGTCTTCAACTTCTGGGAAGTTGGAAGATACAGTAGATCGGCTTTCGTGGTTAGCCCCAATTTAAGTCGTAGTCATCGCGATAATACAAATTTCTGAAAGATTCTTTTTTTATATTATGTCTTTTATTTTGATTGACTTAATTCTGATTGCTATTAATTGGATGTCCTCTCTTTGCAGATGACATTCTTCAAAATAATTGATCTTTCTTAGAAAAATATACTGAACGACTTTCAGATTTTAAACAGCACATCCTGCTATGAAACTGGTATTTGAACCACTACTGCTATGAATAACTGGCGTTATTCCAGTTGAAAAAAAGTAGTATCCTGAAATCTCGTTTTGCTTTGGAAGTAGTTACTGTTGTAAATTAACGTTTTCATCTAATAACAAAAATTGAAACAAATTTAAATTGCACATACTCATTTAGAAAATCAATTAAGGCTGCGTGTTACAAATCTTGACCCGAAACGTCAACTACTTTGAAGCATGATACAAATGCAAATATCGCAGTAACTTTTTTATCGTATTTCTTTATAATGCAATGCTAAAACGTACTGTTTCTAAACACCTTTAAAATGAGATATTACTTGATATCCCACCCTTGGGAGCGGAGGGTGAGTCAAATTTTGCATACAAAGTTTCTAGATATTTAAATTGAGACGAGAAGTTTTCTAACATACACCCTGTACAGTAATAATTTTGCAAGACCTATTAGTTTGTCTTTAGTAATATGCAAAATACTTATTACATCTTTAATATACTAATAAGTTGTAATAATGTATAAATATGATATGTATTGCATACATACCTTTGGACAAGTGTCTAAAATTTCATATAAAACAGGTTCATTATCGACTAGAACTTCATGTTTGTACCTAGTTTCTGAAAAAAAAAAAATAAGGATGTAAATAAAATAAATGAATAAAAAAACAATGAATGTCACTTTACACAATGAGCGTAAATCACGTAGCCATTTCATTAGATAATCGGGGATTAATAGCTATTTTACGAGGCACACAGCAATTGCAAGAAGCGAAAAGAGTTGTCTTTTACGATCAATAACACAACATAAGGGAATGCGTCGACTTTGTTAGAGTACCAACGTTTCGGCGATACAAGTCTATTAAAACATCAACATCCAGTAGCGGGTTTCATCAATCTCACCTGATTGATGATCATATTCCCCAATATAACGTCTGGTCAGAAATCGTACCGAAAGAGCTGAAAAGAAGAAGAAAAAAACAAAACAACATTAAAGGGCAGCTCAATTTTACAGCCGCTTTACGACCCAACACGGCGTTCGGCCGTAAAACATAATTGCGCGTTGATGTACGCGAAAAGAATCGTCCGGTGGCTGCTTCGTTTGACTCGGTTTTATTACGTAACATGCCTTTTTAGTTTTGTACCGAATGTCTACAGTTTGATGTTACACCGAGCTACATTCTGATTGTTGAACGAGATGAAAGGCTTTTGTAGAAAGCTTGCATTTTGGTATTAAACGTTTTTTCTTTTTTGGAATTTGAGATATTTTGGGTTTTGTCGCCAAACAAATTTAACTAAAAGGAAATTAAATTTATATACGTATTTTTTTGATAATAAAGTGAATAACAACTAAAACTAAAGCTAACACTAGCATTAGAACTAATAAATAATAAATAGACCTAGAACTAGCAACATTCTGGTCTAGCCGTACGTCTCTTAAGACGGATAACCCCGAATGTTTCTAGTTCTTGGTCTAGTGTTACTTCTCCTTTTAGTTCAATAAAAATATACAATAATGTAGTGCTAGACGGCTAAAGATTCGGAAACACTCGGATTTATTTGAATCCGTGAAATGAACCAAAAATAATAAGATAAAACATTAAGTAAAATTAGTTAATAAGGTATTATTAAAATCCGTAAATGTTACGTAAATTTAAACAAGGTGTTTAGGTATAGTCATTGTCTGGTGAGTTATGGTGTATATAATTGGGGCGGTTACACGAATTGAACATGTGCAGGTGTAAACGAATCCTGCACCACTGATAATAAATAAACACGGTACGTGTTGTTTGTTGGCGAAAATGCGCCTGCAGAACCATCGATGGTCAGCATTTATTTGTGTTTAGCAAAATATCCGGAATTATTATAACCAATACAAAACACAAGTGATGGATGTTTCTAACTATACCGGCGATAATAGCAAAAAAACATACAAAAATGGATTGTTGTCAAACCAATTTTAATTAAATACGATAGAAAAGCTATCGTGCAAAATTAAATCTTCCAAGACGCAATTTTCTAAAGATCCTTTTATACATGGTTAGGATACAATTTTGCGTTTTAATTACATTGTAAATTGGTTCCGCCGGCAAAATGAATAACGTGTTAATTGCTGTACCGGTGTTACCCATATTTTTTTCTTTTTATTTTCTGACCATCAACTCGAAAGTAACACGAATAAAGACGACTGACGCGAACGCAAAACCTCGGTCCAGAATTCAGTCGTTTGAAAATGGATGGCCCATTTTCCTACAACGACCGAATACAAGTGTTGTTTTAAGCACAGTTTCACTGAGTAATGATGGTGTTGATTGATGAAACAAAATTAAAATGTTTAAAAATGAAAATGTTAACTTAAAACAACATATTTACACTTTTGTTCTTTAAATACCATGAATTAGTTTTTCGTAATAATCCTAACCGAAAAGGATTCGCGATTTTAATAAGATTAAATAAAAGTGTATTTGTTTATTATTTAAAAAATTTGATCTTACCACTTTTTCCTACACCACGAGCTCCAATAACAGCTACCTTAACTTCAGATAGTGACGACTTTTTTCTTCTGATACCCTTACTATTCATATTAAACATATATGTAGTGTGATCGTGAAAGCAAAAGAAATCTTTTTACTAATTTTTTGCACAAAAGTTAAGTAAGAAATACGTAAGTTTTAAGCCGCGATGTTAAGACTACTTTAAGTGAGTATTGGACGACACGCGGAGTCAGACTGAACGCCCTCACACGTTTCGAAAAGCCACTTTCTTATTAATTATTTTTGAAACATTCGTTCAATCGAAATTCAAAAATCGACCTTCAAAAAAGCTTTAACAAATGCATAACCATTGCAAAAGCACCGCTGGGCTGCAATCTGGTAATAAAAAATAACATCATCGAACAAACAATATCATTCGAATACCTTGGTTGCAAAATCAAAAGTATGGGACTTCTGAAAAATGAAGTAACAAGTCAACAAAGCTATCGCAATATCGGGACACCTCAGACACTCAATCAGGAAAAACAAACATATGGTGTGGAAACAAGAGCTGAAACATCAATAACAAAGAGGATCTTAAGAACAGCTGAGATGAAGACCCTAAGAGTGATAACAGGATACACATTAATCGGCAGACAAAAAAAATACAGCGATAGCGAGACAGTTGATTATCAACATCAGAAGAAGTGCTAAGGCAGAGAAATCGAAATTAAACAGGCGATACGCCTCCTCAAAGAAGAAGAAATAAAGTACTCAAGTAGATTGAAGGAAAAATAACTCTATAAACTATTATGTACTTAGTAGTTTCGGATTCGGCCATCATCAAACACTATGTCAAAAGTTATTAAAAGACAACATTTGACATAGTCTGAGAAACTTTGCCTTTATAGGTTTTTGCAGTCTTACCCCTACATGTCCAGTCCTCTTCTTGTCTTTCCAGTCTGTTTAATCCCTTTCTTCTATTACTAGTCTCTTTCCAGACTATTGGCTTCAGATCGCCCTTCTTTACTCAGTACCTTTCTTCTGTTACAAATATCTTTCCAGCCTTCTACTTCTCTGGTGATTTTATTGCTTGCCTTTACACTTCCTTTTTTATCTACTACCTCCTTTACTTTTCTACCTTCTTGCTACCTTTCTATCTTTCCAATCTATTCTTTCTCAGTCCAGTCTCATTTTTCTCTTTCCAGTTTCATTTTTAGTATTTTTCCACTTATCTATTAAATGTGCTTTCTGTTACTTTTTCAATTTTTTCTAGTCTCCCCCTTCATTGCCCACTCTCATTTATCTTTCCAATCTATGCTCAGTCGAGAAAATAAAAACATGTGTAGACCAGTGAGGACATATGGTGCGGAAATAAGAGCTAAAATATCAGTAACAAAGAGGATCTTGAGAATAGTCTAGATGAAGACCATATGAGCAATAACAGGATAGACATTAACCGACAAGTAAAAAAATTCAGCCATAAGAGAAAAGTGTAACACAGATGACGCGGTAAAATGGATAAGGTGAATAAGAAGAGAATAGAACCAGCATATCAACTGGACGAGTCCCAACAGAATAGCCAAAATTGTGCGAAATAAAACTCCGCACGGAAGAAGACCTATAGGACTACCACCTAAACAATGGCGAGACCATTTAATATAACCAATACTAAAACATTATGTTGTGCAGTGATAACTATGCTGTTTATGTCGAAGCAGTTTGTATCTATTTATTTATTCTGCCACTAACGATACTATTTTAAAGAAATTTCAAAACAAATCTTAAAAAAAATTTGATAATTAATACACACCATTTTTGTTATACTTGTATGTAATACAAGCAATTATATTCATACAATTACATAACATAATACAAAATGATATAAAAATTGAAAATATACCGAGAAAACCAAATGTATTTTAACAAGACAAAACATTATTCTAATAACAACATTTATTTATTTATTTACTGTAGTGAAGTACTGTTGGGCTCCCTTAGGATCTGGTCTAATTGTAGGACCACCTTTAGTCCAATTAGCGGGACACACTGCATCAAAAAATAAAAAATTAAAGTATCCACTTCAATAAATTGTTTTATAACATACCTTCACCATGTTCCTCAGAAAATTGCAAAGCTTCAACGATTCTGACAAACTCTTCAATGTTCCTACCAACATTTAGATCGTTAACAGTCATAACACGAAGAATGCCTTTTGGATCAATTAAGAAAGATCCACGTAAAGCGACTCCATCTTTTTCTAATAAAACATTGTAATCTCTTGCAATATTTTTGTTGATATCTGACAACAATGGGTAGCGTAATTTTCCTAATCCTCCTTTCTAGATACATTAATTACAATTAAAAAATAAGTCCAATAATAGAAAACAAAAGTATACTTCTCTAGAAGTGTTCATCCATGCTAAATGAGTATAATGAGAATCTATGGAGATTCCGACTACACTTGTGTTCAAACTTTGGAACCTATCATACAAAGCTTCAATAGCAATAAGTTCAGTGGGACACACAAAAGTACTAAAAAAAATGTTTTGTTATTTAAAAACAAAATGCAGAGACGGACAAAAGTCTACATACAGCATTGAATTATAAGGTTTTTATAAAACTTAGTAAGATAATAGATTAATAAGCGTTTTATTGTTTTCTTTTTATATTTACAATTTTCCCTTTCCTAATATAATACAATATAATCCAGATCCTCTACCCTTCTCCCCCCTCTCCGCACCTTCGCCCCCATCACCTCATCCATCTTTTGCCCTCGCCCCCCTCTCCCAAAATCTGCTTCCTGTCCATTGCCTCCTCCTTTAGCTCTGGCCACCAATCTCTTCCCTTCATCATCCCCCTCCTTCAACAAATACTTTGACCTTTCATTATATCTCAATTCTCTCCACATTTCACCTCTTTCCGCTCTTCTGTTTTCGATACCAGTTAGTGAATATCCCACTCTTCTATAATATTCTTCCCTGTCTCTTTGCCCCTCTCCTTAATATCCCTCCAGCACTCTCCCAGGATCATGCAATGAAGTAGGTTCTGCATTCAGTCATTTGTATATCTCTGCTTATTTCCTCTCTTCCCTTTCTCATCCTCTTTAAGTATCTCCATACCTCATTTTCCTTTTTCAACTGCTTAATATTCTCAGCCTCCCTTTCCTTCAGCTCCCTCTTCTTTTTTTTGCATTCTTCTTTGTATTTTTTCCTGGCCTCTATATATCTGTCTATCTCTACCTCCCCTCCCTGCCACTGTCTCAATTTCCTTCTAGCTTCTCTCTTGGGCTCTCTGCATTCCCTAGCCCATCATTCGTTCCTTCCCAGTCTAACCCCCCGTCACCCACTCTCTTTCTTCAACGCTCCCTAACCAACTTAATTAGTTCATTCAACCCGTCGGCCCCCTCCACCCTCTGATCCCAGCTTGCCAACTTTCCCCTATAATGTTCTATCCCCTCTTTCGACCAATCTGCCCTAATGTATTTTCCATTATGTTCCATTATCTTTCTGGTCTTTCTTCCGCTCGATCCCTTTATGCGCATTTCTAGAAGCTGGTGATCCAACGCTACCAACGCAACAACCCTAAATGTTTCTATCCTCTCCCACATTCCTTAGCATTCCCAGCTGACCACATCGCAACTGTGAGTCATCAGACTAATAAGTCTATACATCCAAGTGCCGTACAAGGAGTTCTACGCGATAATGGATTTAATTATTTTTTTTTTAATTAGGATAGAGAAATCAAGATTTTCTACAATTTCATTTTCGATAGATAACATAACGAGATTAGTTACATCTTGTTTGCGATATTGTTGATCACAAGTAGGTCTTTATTAATTTTGGAAAAACTGCGTTCTCCAGTTGCAACTGTTACTAGTATTGTTAGCAGAATAGGCGGAGTTATCCAGGTGTTAGGAAACAACTGTTAAAATGAGTGCTTTTTGATCAAATTCAAAACGTCGGTATGGGTAGCCTTTCAGATAATATTGTAGACTCAAAATTGCGTCACACAATAAGACTCGGATTTACAGTTGAAAGTTAGTTTTTTTTGCAATGCAGAACAATGATTCAACAGCTGTTCTTTAATTTGCTTTTTTTGGGGTAATTTATTGGTTTTAATGCGTCTTAGTCGCGTTTGGGGTTTAAAAATTAGCTTGTTCGAAACCTAACTACTTGTCAGTAATTGTCCAAATATGAATAACATTTTTTAACCATTTCTGTAATTGGAACAAAGTCGATATTGAACAGCCCAGGCAGTTGAATGTCTGAATGTTTGGGAGCTTTTGGAACATAAGATCCGGCAGCGCAGAATCACAGATGCGAAAACACTGAAATCTGCGTTAGTCGAATTTTGGGCTGAAATAAAGAAGAGACAATAATCTTAGTTGCTTCAATGCCACGACGCCCGCGTGGTATTATAGAAGCTCATGAAGGGCCAACGAAATATCGAGTTTTAAAAACTGTCATTATATGGACCTAATAATTTATGTTTAATAGGTAAATAGGGTTTCATGGGTATTGGTATATTTTATGTGATAGATTGTAAAACAAACAATGTTTTCGCCCTGCTTTTTGTTGTGTTGACTCCATGACTCAATTAAATTTATTGGTGTAAAAAACATTGTTTGTTTTATAATCTATCACAATTTATTTTTAGTTAAAAATTACTGTGTATGTAAACTTTTATCCTGTTAATTTTTGTATTATTTGTTAAATTTTTAGTGTGTAGCTAGCTGTGGAACAATTTGTTTTGTTCTTTTTTGTGAATAATCCCTAATAACACTGTAATATTAATTTTGTTATTTTATAACATTGTACAAAAACCTCATTATTCAATATTGTATGTAAACTTTTGTCTGCCACTGTAAATCAACATACAAATCTAAAGGATAGAAGAATAAGATAAGATATTTTCCTTTAAAATCATTTAAACGAATCAATTTAAACTCATCTCCAACTGTGGCCATGCCCTCAAAATTGGGGGCTGGATGTTGTATTTTTGGAACACTAACAGCATTGCTTACTGCAAAAATAAATTAAAACCCTTTTTTTAATGAGTTAAACGATAAGTAAAATACTTACATCCTCCTATGCTACGAATAAAACTGGTTGGACCCAACGGGATTGCCGACCTTACTAATTCTGGGGCCTACATTTAATAGGTTAGAAATAAGAATCAAACCTAACCTCGAAAAGGTGTCTCATAACCAAACTTACCTTACGCACTAAATTGTTTATAATACTGGCCATATCGGCGTTAGTTATCTAATTGCGAATTAAGAACGTGTTATTTAATCAAAAATGAACTTTGAAAGTGACGTAGAAATTAGAAATGATATTCAGTTTTACCGGTTTTGTCTTAACGAAGTTAGTCGCAAATCTATTAACAAAAATTTGATTCTATGATAAAGATGGAGATATATGAAAAAAATTATTAATAAAGTAAACTTAATTTATTTACATTGATACATTTTTGAAATCATTATTTGAACAGATTCTTAATTAAGTTTTAATTATACTTCTTTTAAACAAGATTTAATTAACTTGTCCACATATAGTAGATGTAAAGTCTATTATTATTATTATGCATGAAGTTCTCTTCTAACCTCAAACAACAACAAAAAAAAGAGGTAACCTCCACGTAAAGTTTTATTCTTCATTTTATCTCTTTAATAATGTATTATTAATTGTGTGAAACTTATTAAACTCGTATTTCAATAACGTTATTATTATTACTTTATCAATCATGTCAAAAATACACGCTCTTAACCGAGAATCATCATCTGATGAAGATGGACCGACAATTAGGAAAGAAGCGCTGGTATTATTTATTACTTAACAAAATAAAATTGATTAATTTGTGTTTGTTTATCCAGGAAGAAATTACTTTGGATATGTACAATAAAGCACTACGAATACAAAGTTGTGGAGATTATATAGCAGCGGAAGATATTTTACAAACTTTATTAAATGAGAACATTCCACAATTAGAAATTCAAGGAGGTCTTCCAAAAACTATGTCTACAATAAAATATTCCTGCTATGTTAATCTTGGCGCAATCGCTATAAAACAAAAAAAACTTTCGGAGGCTTTAAAAAATTATCTTGGAGCATCTGAACTTGATTCAACTGATGTTACATTGTGGTTTAAAATAGGGAAATTGGCGATGAAGTTAGATAAATTTAAATTAGCTTCTCATGCTTTCTCAAAAGTACTCAATAAGATAATTAAAATGTATACATTATAAAATTGTTGTTTTTGTAGGGATTAGAATGCAGCGAATCCCATTGGCCTTGTTTAGATAATTTAATTTCTGTTTTGTTTGCTTTACGAGATACAATAGCTTGTTTAATGTATATTGGAAAAGCTTTGATTCTTGATCCTGATTATAAAAAAGGACTTGTGTTTAGAAAAAATATTTATGATTGTAATCCAGCTACTAAAGATTATTACCAACTATATAATCCTGATTAGTAAGTTTTGTAATACAAAAAATATTTCAAAAATTCATATTTTAACTATTTTAGCATTTATGAACCAAGTTTGGATCTTCCAGTTAATATCATAGATGAACAAAAATATCTTGATGAAGTCCAATTAATATGCGATCGAATTAATGAAGTTGAAAAGTCTTTAGCTCCTAAACCCCTTCCAATAATTCCATTACCAAAGCCATTAGAAGAAAGTTCTTGGTTAGCTTTAGGACAAACTTTAACCGAATTACATAAATACATATCAGAAAATGATATGGTAATAAAACAGTCTTTATTATTAACAAATAACAACTATAAATGTGTTGTATTTTAGAGCCATTTTTCTCAAATTGATTTAAAACGATGCATGAGTCAAAACGTCCCAAAAGCCTTTTCTTTTGAAGTGATGACTGTTCAAGAAGAAAATCAACCGCTTAGATCAGAAGAAACTGAAGAAAAAAGTGATAAAACGGAAGATGAAGCTTTGAATAGTGAAAAAACAGAAACTGGTGGGGATATTATGGAGAGGAGACTTTCACAGATTAGTGAAGCTAATACTGTTAATGATCTTGAAATGAATACGCCGGTACAAACTGATAATGATGAAGTAAAAAATGATCTTTTTTAATAATAACAATTTTTAACTAATAAACTTTTAATAGATGGATCAAGATCCAGATGAAACTGAAGAAAATTCAGAACAAAAATCGGAAAAGAAACGAGGAACTAAACGTAGAAGAGACTTAGTTTCTGAATTACAAATATGGGGTTGGCATAGTAAAAGAAAATACGCCAAAAAAGGAAAAACTGAAAAAGACTTCACAATAGAAGATGCTTTAAAAAGAATTATTCCTCGTTTTTTACTGTATTACTCTTATTTTTAAAATAACTTTCTTTATAAATATAGTTCTTTGTTTTTTATATTTTTTAGTCCAAATGGAATTGATGGAACAAAATATAATCCATTAGAAGATTCAATGAACACAATGGATATGTATATGAAACACATGAGTAAAGAAGCTGTATCTTTAATGTCAGCCCCAAATTCTCCTCAAGTTCAACCTGTAGAGTGAGTATTTTAATTTCAAATCTAAAAATCTTTTAAAATACAAATATAAATATATAGATTAATGATGTTTTAATTTAATTTTTTTAGTCCCTATTTTGGATCTGAAAATGAAAAGGATGATGTTCAAGCTTTTTGGACCCAACCATGGCGTTGTTGTGACTCTGTTAATCTTATTGAGGCTTATGTTTATGCTGTATCTAGATTGTGGCATTTAAAATGGCCAAGTGGTTTAATTTCTCTTTATCTTGATGCTTATAATATGTTCAGGTAAACATATACAGGGTTTAAGAGTTACTTTTTTTTTCCTGCCAAATGTTCTTTGATACTACAACCCGTGGTGGGTTTTGGCCTCTGACCTTAGCCTCGTTTATTTCTATCCCTCTGTCCCTTATCTTCTTCAGGTTCTGCCATACATCATCTTTCTGTGCTTTCTAGGTATTCGTCTGGTTTCGCTATTCCAGCTCTATACCAGCAAAAACGTTCTTTGGTGCAGTACCAAAGATCGTTTTTTGAGCTCTTCCAATTTATAGTTGTATCAGCTTCGGTATATTCCGTTTTTACATACTTCTCCATATGTTCTTCTTCTAAAACACCCTCAATGCGTTTTATCTGCGGTATTCAACAGCTATGTTTCTGCCCCGTTTGTCAAAAATTATTTACAGCTTATATTCTTTCCTTTATTGCGTTCATAATCATGTTTGAGGAGTCAAATACAGCGCCTAAATAATTGAAGTTCTTTATATTGATTTCTTCCTTTTGCAGTGGAGAATCCACCCACTAGGTGGTTATCAGTTCATGGAGTCTTCTTACTGTTGCCTTTTCACTAAATTTTAGGAGCTCAACAGTGACACTACATTTACATTTGCTTCCTCTTCTGCTTGGTGCGCGATGTTCAGTAATTCATCGAACTGTTGCTAGCATCTCTCCATTATCTCTTCTCTCAATTAGTACATCCTTCCTTGCTTCTACATACGCTGCTTTTGGGTGAATACCCTGATGTTTCCATCTTAATTGTTCTTGTACTTTCCTCTCTGAGAAGTTCTTCTGTATAATCTCCACTTTTCCTCTAATATCTCCTTTTTACACTATGCCCTTCCCTACTAGCAAAATGCTTTATAATCTTAAAATTATAAAATGTTTCTCTTTCCACGTCGAATTTATTGGTGAGTAGGTCCTGTATAAACGTTTATAGAACAAAATTATAAAATAGCTATATAATAATTTTGTATGTGTTATATAATGATCATCATTCAGATTTTATATAACCACACAGCTTATAATACAAAATAGTCTTATTAGATCTTCCTAAAAGCGTAAAATATTCATTCACAATCTTGTTATAAATGAATATTGCAATTGTTTTATATGTATCTCTATAAGTGTTTATAAAACAGTTATTTAAAAACTGAAGCAAAGGTAATATTATCAGTTTTATAACTACTTTATAACCATTAAATAAAGATAATATTATTTTGAAATATTAGGTGTAATGCTTATAAATTGGCTAATAGATGAAGCTGTTTCACAGTGTGACCAGTGTTTGTCAAACCGAGTATTTAAGCTGTAATGTAGCTTCAGATTTTTTATCATAACACAAGTGGCATTAACAGAAGTCAATAACTAAACGTGTTTTTAATAGGTTTCTGCGTTGTACTGCAGATAACATTAAAAACTTCGATGAAACAGGTCATTACACTGCGTAATCGCTTAGAATTTAGGGAGGTGGGATTTTTTCATTCATTCAATATTTCAAAATGAAACCAAGAAAATTTGTCTCGTTATTATGCATCAGGGTTTAAAATTTAATCTAATTAACTGTGAATAGTGAACCTGATATTTTACAATACATATAAAAGTTATTTTAAAACAGTTATTTAATTATTTTATAAATATTCTATGATAGTTTATAACGCATTTTGCAACACAATTATACAACATTTATAAAATTATTATATGAACATGTTAAACAGTTTTTATTGTGGTTTTATAGATGTTTATGTAACTATTTTATAGTAGATCAAGATATAGATATAAAATAATTAAAGAAGACTAATATATAAATTGTGCCGATTTTGGTGCTATAGTTGCTTTATAAACATTTTTATTGCGTTGCTGAGACTAAATATGTTATATAAAATTTATCACGGAAATGTTTTTATAGCTTTAATAAAATAAGAAATTGCTAGTTGGGTTCTCTGTCCATCTTTGTGTTTTCCTGTATCATCTTCATCTGCGCTTCGTTCTTCTCTATTACTACCTCTCTATTCCTCTATCACATTTGATTCTTCTTCGATCCTTTCCAAGTATGGTCTCTGTCTTAGCACGGCTTCCAAATTTTACTGGAAGGACTAAACTTTCATTCTCTCTGTGTTTCATTTTATTCTACTTGTTGTACTAATTGTTCACGTTCGCAGTTCTGTGTCTAAAATTTGATAACACCAAAAAGTGTTCGCTGTCGCAGCTCCTCTGCTTGATTTGACATCTATTATTGAAGAGGATCCTCTGCGCGATTTGACTACTATTTTTTGAAATCAGTATTTCTAATCCTTCGTGATAGCGCATTCGCCATCTGGCACGTTCTTACTCTATTAGACTAGTTCTGTCGTACAATAAAAATTTTCCTACTACTTTTTGTTCACTGAANTTGTACTTTCCTCTCTGAGAAGTTCTTCTGTATAATCTCCACTTTTCCTCTAATATCTCCTTTTTACACTATGCCCTTTCCTACTAGCAAAATGCTTTATAATCTTAAAATTATAAAATGTTTCTCTTTCCGTGTCGAATCTATTGGTGAGTAGATCGTGTATAAACGTTTATAGAACAAAATTATAAAATAGCTATATAATAATTTTGTATATGTTGTATAATGATCATCATTCAGATTTTATATAACTACACAGCTTATAATACAAAATAGTCTTATTAGATCTTCCCAAAAGCGTAAAATGTTCATTCACAATCTTGTTATAAATGAATATTGCAATTGTTTTATATGTATCTCTATAAGTGTTTATAAAACAGTTATTTAAAAACTGATGCAAAGGTAATATTATCAGTTTTATAACTACTTTATAACCATTAAATAAAGATAATATTATTTTGAAATATATTTCTTTTGGTCGATAGGTGGCAGTTCAGGTGTAATGCTTATAATATTGGATAATAGATGAAGCTGTGAAATATTTCATGCGACCGGTGTTTATTAAACCGAGCATATAAGCTATGTAGCTTCAGATTTCTGATCATAACACAAGTGGCATTAACTGAAGTCAATAACTAAACGTGTTTTTAATGGGTTTCTGCTTTGTACTGCAGATAACATTAAAAACTTCGATGAAACAGGTCATTACACTGCGTAATTATAGCTTTTGCGATTATAGAAGGACCCGCTTAGGATTTAGGGAGGTGGGATTTTTTCATTCATTCAATATTTCAAAATGAAACCAAGAAAATTTAATCTAATTAACTGTGAATAGTGTACCTGATATTATACCATATACCCAAGGTCTATAGAACATAAGGTTACCCAATACCGATTCTCCTCCTCTGAGAGGCAAGGTGGGTCAGTGACGTAGCTGGTTCTATGAACAACACAACACGATGCGAGGTTTAAATATTTTATATAGACTGTACCACAGTATAGGCACGTGTATAGGCTATCTTTTATTCTGACTGTATCGAACCAGTGACGTCAATTTGCGGGGTAATAATCGATACTACAGAGGCATAGGGAATGAGGTAACCTTATGTTCTATAAACCTTGCCATATACCTATATAAAAGTTATTTTAAAACAGTTATTTAATTATTTTATAAATATTCTATGATAGTCTATAACGCATTTTGCAACACAATTATGCAACATTTATAAAATTATTATATGAACAAGTTAAACAATTTTTTTGTGGTTTTATAGATGTTTATATAACTATTTTATAGTAGATCAAGATATAGCTTTAAAATAATTTATGATGACTAATATATTATATAAATTGTGCAGATTTTGGTGCTATAGTTGTTTTATAAACATTTTTATTGCGTTGCTGAGACCAAATATGTTATATGAAATTTATTACGGAAACGTTTTTATAGCTTTAATAAAATAAGAAATTGCTAGTTGGGTTCTCTGTACATCTTTGTGTTTTCCTGTATCATTTTCATCTGCGCTTCGTTCTTCTCTCTTACTGTCCTCTTACACTCTTCATCGTCCCATTCGACATTTCTGCAACTTCCTTTATCACATTTGATTCTTCTTCGATCTAAAATGTGTCTTCAGTGTCTAAAATTTGACAACACCAAAAAGTGTTCGCTGTCGCAGTTTGCTCCTCTGCTTGATTTGACATCTATTATTGCAGAGGATCCTGCGCGATTTGACTACTATTTTTTGAAATCAGTATTTCTAATCCTTCGTGATAGCGCATTCGCCATCTGGCACGTTCTTGCTCCATTAGACTAGTTCTGTCGTACAATAAGAATTTTCCTACTACTTTTTGTTCACTGAACTGTTCTTCATTGATCCTGGCATTAAAAAGTCAGCGAGTACTCTTAGCGTGTCGTGCCTCTCTTACACTCTTCATCGTCCCATTCGACATTTCTGCAACTTCCTTTATCACATTTGATTCTTCTTCGATCTAAAATGTGTCTTCAGTGTCTAAAATTTGACAACACCAAAAAGTGTTCGCTGTCGCAGTTTGCTCCTCTGCTTGATTTGACATCTATTATTGCAGAGGATCCTGCGCGATTTGACTACTATTTTTTGAAATCAGTATTTCTAATCCTTCGTGATAGCGCATTCGCCATCTGGCACGTTCTTGCTCCATTAGACTAGTTCTGTCGTACAATAAAAATTTTCCTACTACTTTTTGTTCACTGAACTGTTCTTCATTGATCCTGGCATTAAAAAGTCAGCGAGTACTCTTAGCGTGTCGTGCCTCTGTGTCTTTTCACATATTTTTTTACATCCTCATAGAAGGAGTCCTCTTTCTCCGTCCTTTGTTCAATCGTCCTTTTAAGAAAGAAGAAACGTTATTTTACTTTTATTGAGCTTATTCTTTCATAATCTAACCGCATCTCGGTATACGTCAATATGTTTATATGATTACCTAACGTGGAGGTGAGAATGAGGCTAAGGTAGGAGAGGCTATGCGACATTTGTCGTGCAATACGCATACATATCTGAAATAATACATTATTCTTCATACAAATACATTATGAATGAGAAAATATTATTTTTAGGGAACACATAGAACATCCAAAATTATATGATAGTGATATAACATTTGAAGAATTTCAAAATGATGCATTAGCGACTCTTACATATGGTGAACTAATAATTTACAAGTAATTTTATTATGAATGATTTTTATATAAAAAAAATTAATAAATGTTTAATTTATTTTGTAGTGATGTACAAAATACGAATTACTCAAAAATTCATTATTCCTCCTTGGATTACATGGAAACGGTTGGTATTTGGGAAGAAAATTGGGGTTCTGATTATAAATCATATTGGTGTCGAGTAAATTGGTTACGAACCCATATCTATCGAAAAGCAAACCAAAACGTACTATCAATAATCGCGTTACAATCGATTTCCGACGTCATTGAAAACGAATCTAATTCAAATTTTAAAATTTGTCTACCGAATTGCATTAAATACGGTTACATAATGGAATCGATAATTCATAAACTGTTAAGAAATTTAGAAATGATCGACTCGTTAACGCAATTAGAAAAATTATTTGATTCGCAGAAATATGCGGAAGTCGCGGAAATTTTAAAATTAACATTCAACATTTCTAATCCGCCGACTTATGGAAGAATGGGACGCCCAGCCCAACTTGGAATGTTATTACATTCGCTTTGGTACACAGATCTTGAGAATTGTTTTGTGTGGAGTGAAGAATGTCTTCATGAATCACTCAAGTATTTTATAAAACCAACTTCAGATGGTGATAAATGGGAAATGATTTTGAATAAATGCATATTGATTATGATTGAAATTATTAAAAAAGAAACAATTAGTGTTGGTAAATAATTAATTAACATTATTAATTTAAAATAATTATTACAAAATCTCTTCTTAGTTGATAATTTAACCGTTGAGAAACGAGCTCGGTTAGTCGAATCATTAGCGATGATTTGTTGTCGACAAATAAACGTAGAAAATGGTGGAAAATTATTATTAGGTACATTATCTCCTTGGATGTTATTACATTACGTTTTAGTTAGGTAATTTTTAAAATTTAACTAAAAAATGTTCTTAAGAAATAAAGTAAATGATGGACTTTTAGGGAAGAACATAGATTACAAGCCAAAAAAGTTGTAAAACATGTTAAAAAAGATGATGATAAATCGAGCAAATCGGAGGCGATCGAAGAAGATATCCCTCCTTCGATTGCCGTTTTATTCTCTGGACATGAATTTCTTGGTGGAAAAAGTTTATGTCTTGCTGACCAAGGCGAATTTTTACATTTCATATTGGATACGGTTATCGATCGTTTGGATACACCAATCTTTGAACCATTAAGGGAAAAGATCGATATTCACTTAGAACAGGCTTTCTTTTGCTTATATCAACATCCCAGTAAAAAAAATAAGGTATAAATATTTCGTACAATTCTCCTCAATTCATCCTCTTTATGTTTATATAATTCGTTTATCCAAATAGTTATTAAATACAGTATTATTTATGATTATTATTAATTAAGTCTGCTATAATTTTAGGTATCCCGTCATTTAGCAGATCACAATGTAACACCACTTCCATTAACCTGGGAAAAAGCTCAACAAGTTTACGAATTTTTTTGTCCAGATGCTTTACCAGAATTTGATTCATACAAAAGTATATCAATATCAGCAGAATTAGAACAACTCCTTCAACGAATTTCATCGTTGGTTCCAACCGAATGTGATCCCCAACCCCTTGTTTTAAAAGTAACAGATTTTGTTAAGGGAAATATTGATTCTATCCCAAAACCGGTAGATTTTCCCATAAAAACGCGCTCGATGTATTATTTATTGGGGGATTATTATTTTAAACAAAGCGAAGTAAAACGTAGTTATAAATATTTTATTTTGGATTTATGTATTAATCCTTCCCGCGTGGATACTTGGGCTTGTTTAGCGTTGGGTATTGCAAGTCAATTGGAATCGAAATTGAATCATTGCGAAAGATTTAAATCGGAAATGGAATTCTTAGATAAAGCGCAGAGTGCGCAAGTTTGTTTTAAACAAGCATTATCTGTCTCTAATGAGCATATTACTTTATGGATAGAATATGGATCTCTTGAATACATGATCCACTCATTTTGTTCTAGAGTTTTAAAATATGATTCTGAAACCTTAAGTATGGAAAGGTATAAAAAGACTATTTTTATTTGCGAAGTTTTTTCTTAAATTTTTGTTTAAGATTTGATACGCTGGAAAATAAAAAAGATACTTTACTAGAGAGCTCTGGTTCAAGTTTTCTGCGAGCTTTACAATTACCACAGCCTGATCTATGTGATATTGATGAACGATGGCTTTATCATTATATGCTTGGAAAAATTGCGCAAAAAAGGCAAAAAGAACCATCTGAATACCTTCAACATTATCTAACAGTAAATATACATAATTTATTTTATACATTTCAATTTATACATTTTATTTAGGCAATGGCATTTTTACACGAAAATAAAGCAACTTACCCCGAAAAAATAAATTATACTAATCCTCAACATTTATCAATAGAAGCATTAGAAATTCATTATAGAATACATGCATCAATTTTAAAATATTTAGAACTTCACGAAGGTAAACCAATACCAGAAACAATAGGAAAAATGTTTAACCAATGTTTAGAAGCGGCGAGTATGCCAAAAGCAGGCGAAAAAGTTTTTATTGAATCAGAAACACCAAACACTACACTTACCTGCGACCCAATTTCTTCTACAATAAAACCAATAACGGAAGAAAAGAAAGATAGGACCGAAAATAAAGATGATTTAACTGGAGATGTTAAAAAATGTATGGATGATATGTTGAATCAATTGGAGAAAGACAACGAAAATAATTCGATAAGTGAAAATAAGAAAAAACAAGATGTAATTGTGTTAGATGATTCTGATGAAGATTTATTTAATATGAGAGATGAAACTGGTAAGATATTAATATAGAAAAAATTATTTATTTTAAGATATATAATTTTAGAAAAAAAACGTGACGTGCAAGAAATAATGGAAGAAATGATGAAAGCGACTATGGAGAAACAAAATGAGAATAATGACGATTCCGATATTACAGTTCAAGAAGTTACAATTTCTCCTCAAACAACTAAAGAAGTTAAATCTGATTCGAAAGAAATTAAAGATTCAAGTTCAGAAAGGAGTGATGAAAATATTCGGGTAAGAATTTTACTTATGAATAATAATTATTAAAAATCTAATTTAATAATAATAATAATGGTGTTTATTTATTAACAGTGTTAATTTAGTTTGTAAATGTTGGTAGTTTATTTCATAATACTTATTTATATTAGAAAGCAATAACAGAATGTGTCATTAATAGTTGCTCAAATCCATTAAGTATTTAGTTATATGGAATGAGTGTAAACATACAAGAATTTGGCATTAAATTATACTGTTAATTTGTAATGATAACACATAAGAAAGGCAAGATAATAACAATGTACAGATTAAAAAAAAAATTAGAATAACTAAAAAAAACATAGCTATATAGACATATGACATACTTATCATTAATTAAAGGGAACTTGATGAACAATTCAACTAGCACACAACATACAGGTGTTCTATTTAAAAAACTTATGAAAAAGCCATTTGTAAAACATCAAAAGTAACTGCGCTTTTTAAACATCCTGTATATTGTATCTAATATCTTTGAATACTATCATCTACCTACTGGCTTTGACTATTGTCTGAAGTAGTTTCATGGCAAAATCGGAAAAAATGTCGTTTTTACACCTTTTTTTAAAAAGATCCTGTAAAGGGCACATTTTGGAAGACCAATTGAATATCTCAGGAACTATGAACGCTGTGAAATAGTAACATATACGATTGTATAAACAAATTTAGTTGTATTCATAATATGATAAAATATACAGGAGTTCCATTTAATTAAATTTATGTTAAATATGCTTTATAAGCACTATTTCTTATTGTTTATACCTACAGTCTAGTTGTAAAGTATAAAATTGGGGTTCTTTTAACATCCTTGGTTATTACACACTTTGATAAGTATGATTTTTGAAGTGTCCAAAAATCAAAAAAATCATGCCTCATCGTTTTGACGAGCTGATATCACTACATTCGTGTATCAAGTACTTACTCCTGGAATTCTCTTCTTTTTTGCATTTTCTTCAAATTCTTCTCTTTTCTCTGTTTTTTGCAGTATACAGAAAATGCATTATTGTTAACAGTATGCATTACTTCACGCAGTAATGTTGTAACAACGCAAAAAAAAGCGCACTAGACCGGCGTAATGAACAAACTAAACAAAGGATTACATCACCCAGTGGAGCTCACAGCGGAGGAGTCGAGTTGTTGAGTTCACTTTTAGGCAGTTTACAGCGAGCTTGATTATCTTTACGTGTTTAATAATGCATTAACCTTGGTTTAGAAAGAGATGAATTAATTTTAATGCTGTATGAAAAGAAATATTATATTTAAGGATATATTGTAAATCACAGAACATATTAATCAAAAGTTATAATGATTTAAGTAATTTTGAAATATCTTTAACTGTAATAACCTTAATAGCTCTTAATACAAAAAGTTTTTTCCTTTTTTAGAAATCAACTGAAGGAAGTTCATCAACCTCGAGCAGTTCTAGTGATAGTGATAGTTCTGATTCAGATAGCGATGACTCTAGTAGTTCTTCATCTTCGAGTTCGTCGGAAAATAATGGAAATCTTTCAGAAAATGATATTCTTTCATTAATAGATCTTTGTATTTGTGGTATGTAAAAAATTCTAACTTGTTGAAATTATCTAACAACTTAAATCAATTAGGTTTAGAAGAATGTATAAGACGTTTACCACAAAATTACAAAGCGATTTATAGATTGGGACATTTATATTTTCATTGTGCGAAACGTAAAGATTTAATAAAGTGTCGTCAACTTTTTCTTGGAGAATATAAATGCCAAAATGGAGCAATTGTAACAGGATTATTTTCCGAACGGAAAGCAAATAATTTTTTTAACGTACGAAAAATGATTTAATTAAATCGAAATATAAGTGATTTTTTTAAATTATTCTTTTAGGGTGTTTGGCGAATTCCATCGAGTGAAATTGACCGCCCAGGATCATTAGCTGCGCATATGGGACGATGTGTAACACTTTTATTACAGATTTTATACGATACAAATGATCATAAAACATTGCTTGATATGTGTTTACAATTAAGAAAAGTTCCCGATGCGGACAAGTAATTTATTTAAAATAATATTTATTTTTAACTGAAATAACTTTTTTTAGAATATATATTAGACACGTGGAAAGAGAACAACTCTCAGAACAAGCTTTAACTCTTTGCATACAAAGTTTAAGAAAACAAATTAAAAATATCGAAAATTCGTCGTCTTCGATGGTTCAAAAAATCTTATTGGATGTTTATCGTATTTATCAAAGAAGTCAAAAAAGTTTACCGAATAAAGAATCAACGTTTGCATCGATGCTTACTGATGTTTACAAAAAATGTGTTAAAGAAAAAGTACCAGAAAATGCTAATTTATTGGATTTGGCCATTAAATTTTGTGCGCAAAGCAAAGCCATTGAAAAAATACAAAAGCAACAAACACAAGTTGTTGCGCCTAAACCTATTCCTGTGCAACCGCCACCATCAGTAAGTTTTATTGACATTTTTAATAACAAGTTGATAAAAAATGTTATTAGGTTCCTGTTCTTCCAACACCAACAACAATACTTCCGCCATCAAATCAACAATTGAAAAGACCAGGTTTAGGAAGACCGCGAGGACGACCTCCAGGTCCAAAATCATCAACCCAACAAAAACCACGTGCAAGAAATCCAACGTCTTTGCAATGGCCAAAAGCATTTGATCCTTCAGCTTACGGTTATTTACAACATTACCAAGAAGAATTAATAAAACAATACAGTCAAACGCTTAGTTTAACGCAACAAATGAACCAAATCGGATCGTTATATCCACAAGCGAATCAAAACAATCTATTAAGTTCGTTAAATTTTTTGCAGTCAATGCAACAATTATCTGGTGGGATGAATCCATTGTTATTAACTCAAGCAATTCAAGGATTAAATCAATTTCAAAATGTAAACAAAAATATAGCGGATTTATATAAATTACCTACAAGCATACCCCCAACAAATCAATTATCAGGATTACTCCCAGAACAAATGAGATTATTAGCAGCAATGAGTCAAAGTTCTTTGTTGCCATCATCAACTCAAGTTCCAACTACATCTAATACCGTCTCAACGTCTTCTAAATCTACATACCCAATTACAAAACCTTCATCTGTCTCAATTACAAAAACTGTAACCACAAAATCAAATACACCAACTTTCAAATATCCCACTGAAGTCAGCAAACCAAAACAAAAGGAAATTACTAAAACAACAAGTAGTTATCACTCTGTTTCAAAAGAGTCTTACTCGAAATCATCAAAACCGAGTACAATTACGTCGAAAGATTTAGAAAAATCGTCTGCTGCTAATATTCTTAAAGACAGACCTAATATTTCAATAACACCAGTAACTCAACCAATAACATCAATTAGTGTCACTAAATCAGTCTCATCAGGTCATAAAACGCTACAAGAAAAATTAGCGGATAAACAGAAGCAGCGTAAAATTGACGCTAGCAACAAAGTCATGGAAAAAGTTAATTTTCCAAGCACATCTATTAAAGTATCACCAATTGCAAATTTAACACTGCCTCCATCAATAAATGTCTATCCTACATTTCCAAAAGAATCAGGAGTATCTATTGCGCAAGTTTCAGTGCAAAAATCTGGAAAATCTGAAGTAAGTATTTCTGCTATTCGGCCAGAAAATGTGCAGAAACATAAATTACCAGCATGTGAGACTCCCCCCAAAGTTGGATTGAGTGTCAGAAAAATTGAAGAGTTACGTGAACGTAAACCTTCTTCAGATGAAGACATTATATTAATTGAATAATTAAAAATTAATTTTTATATCAAATTTGTGTTAAAAATTATTTTACATAAAATAATGTGTGCTTTATATTGCGTTTTTTTCAAAATAAATTTATTTATCAAATTGAAAATATACAAATATTAATTAATTTCATTGAATTAATATATTCCTACAGGTGGTGGATTTCCAAATACAAAATTCCAAGAAATTGGATATTTAATTTGAAATCTGTCTCTATCACTCATCCCATGAACCATCTCACATAGCACATCTAAAGTAGCAACAGCATCCGGGATATTATCCCCTTCTGATACATATTTAATTAGAACCATGCAAGGAATACTTTTCCTCAAAATCTCATATAATTTAACAGCAAATCCGCTTCCAACCACCAAATATTTTCCATTTTCATCTACATCCATTGCAGGGATAGATGATGCTGTGGTTTCCCCTCCAATGTGACGAAAATGACTAGATTCAATAGTGTGTAACTCATAAGCAAACGTCGACGTTATTATGATAACATTTCCAAATTTTAATTCAGTCACTTTTTCTTTTAATTCTGTAAAGAAATTGTGTGCAAATTTCGTGTCAATACTAGACCTTAGTTGAAGAACAGCCAATTTTAATTCTTCATTTATGTATAATTCACAAGCCGTGGAAAGCGTATTCGAATTTAAATCATAAGGATCTCCACTTGCTAATGATAGAATTCCGGGATGCCATAACCTAGCATATCTTTGAAGGTTATAAGTTGTGATGATTAAATCCGCTGTTAATTGACCAATATTTCCAACCGCCACACTTGGTATTAACAAAGTAAATGAAGTACAATCACAAGTTTTCTCGAAATTTATTAAATCAATCATTTTTTGATTTTGTTTAATCTTTTTTGGTGCAATAAGCTAAGTTAAGTTTTAAGCACACAAAATACTCTGACGTTTGTGCAAATCATTTGTTGACATGTAATATAGGCAACCAAAATAGCATTTAGGAATTTTATAAATATTAACAATCATTATTTTATAATGTGATTGAAAGTATTGCATAATTCAGAAGTGATATTGTGTTTCATATAGTTATGGTTTTTTGCAGCTCTAAATTATGTAAGTTAAGAAAGCTAAATCTCACGCTGGGGTTGGAAAGATCAGAGCGAATTTTCAACGTTTTCCTTGTAATTAGGATTGTGTGTGGTTTGCAAAGTTTAAGAAGCTAGTATTGCAAGTTTTGGAGTTAACAGTTTTCATTCATAACTTCTTTTATATTAAATATTTTAGAATAGAACCAGCTAATGAATGATGCAATGGAATGTGAAAAATGTTTAAAAATAGAAAGAAAACTCGCAAAAGTGCAGAGAGAAATATGAACATTTCTTGATATCTATTTAACTTGATAGTTACTTTGATAACTATTTATCAATCTATGAATCTCTAATTTTTTATTAGTTTTGGGGTACGTCATAAAATTGCAAAAGAATCTATGTTATGTAAATTATGTAATGGAGAACCATTGCCACATTCTGCAACTTGTTGTCATTTATGGCAACTTTATTTTCGTAAATCTGTTCTATAGGCGATGCAATAGTATCATCTTGCGCAATCTGATGATACCAAATATTAATGCTTCTAGAAATACCCTAGCTTGCACAAATCTCTGTTATCTTCAGTTTAATTTTGCATATCTAAAGGTGATAGTAAAGGTACTGATGGTGAAGTTCTAGTTTTTCTTTTCACTACCTTAGCAGGATTATTTTTAAAATACTGATGCCATCAGTCTTTGAAATTTTTGAATTTTTTCACTTTACTGAGCAACAAGGTTCACGTACTTTCGAGTTTCATATTATGTCGTCATATTCTTCTGCTGAATAGGTTCGATCTAGCCAGCAAATGCAACGGTTAGCAGCAGGGAAAATCTATAAACATAAAAAACTGTGATGTAATGGAAAATATTGATGTATAGCTTGGCCTGCCATACTGAATGTCAAAACAAATCTTGTTAGAGTTTGATTTCTATTTTGTCCAGCGGAAGCTCAATAAAGTCGATTGTAGCAGTGCAAACTTCATTTGTATCTTTGTTTATTCTTCTGTATGAGGTATAGAAGATGGAGTTTTCACGAGTCACGAAAGACTTCAAACCTATTTGCACTCTTAATAGATAAATGGCCAATAAGGCGGTCCAAATAAGCCTACATAAATAGGTTTATGTTTCGAATTGCCATTATAAAGTTTTGTTGTGATATATCTTTCTCCTCAAGAGTGAAACCTGTCATATATTTCTTACGGTAAGTAGAATCGAGACTGTGTTTTTGTTTCCACTAAAACTCCTTTATGGATGACATCTGCTCCTTTTTGTCTTTCAAGATTCTTCCTTTATTTGGTTTATTGTGCTCGTCCGCAGATGATTCAAATTTTGTACCGAAAAATATTGTTAGCTATTTTATTTAGCGACATGACACAACGAAAACGGAAATCACAATCAGAATATATAATATTAGACCAAATATAATAACAATAAAATACTACGCCCTGGCGCACAGTTTTCATCGGTTGAGAAGACGAAGCTAAGAGTTGTTGAACTTTGAGTTGAAATTTGTCCAAGATTGTTCCTCATTTATAGTTTTCTGTTTTCATTACATATTCTTTGTATGAGAGATTTCTATCAAGTGTAACGCCTAGGTATTTTGGTGTTTTGTTGTAAGCCATGTGTTCTCGAATTATATGCTAAGCTTTCTGTCGATGAGGTTATTGTTTAAATGGAAATATTTTGCCTACATTTTTTGTGACTGGTTGAAGGCGCCATTTCCAGAAGTCCCAGATCTCTAGTAGGTTGGCTGCTATTCTTCGAATCTTATTTATTCTTTCTATCTTGTTGAAAGAGCCCAGTGATTGGTGTAGCCGTGCTTTATAAATCTTGTTTCTGGCATATAATAATAATAATAATAATAATAAATGCCTTTATTAGAAAATAAGCTTAATTGTATAAAAAAAAACATACAAAAGAAAATAGGCGAGTTCCAGCTTGTACTAGTTAGTACAGCTGCTCTAACTAACCTAAGAAACAAAAAAGAAAAACATGACTCGGCCAAAAATTACAAAGCAAAAGCTAGATACAACAACAAGATTGCAAAACATGTCAGATCAGCGTTTGCCCCCATGTAGACATTGTTCAAGAAGACAAGAATATTTCTGTGTAAATTTAAACCTTCGTAGTGAGAACCCCTTGCAATTATCGTCCACCTCATTATATTTCGAAGTTATTTGAAATATGTATGATCTCTGAAACAAAGACAAACGATAGAAGGGTGGCGACAGTCTTCCGCGAAATCGCGTATTTATTCGGTGGACATCATTTCGAAAAGTTATCAGTTGGTAGAGATACTGTGGTTCCTTGCAGTTTATAATTTTATGGTATAGGCACAAACACTGCACTTTCCTACGATGATACATATTTAGCCATCCCGCATCCTTCAGTTTATAAGATATTCTGTTATATTTTCTAATTCCATATATATACCGAAGACACGAATTTTGCACTCGTTGAATACGTGTTACATCGCTAACGTCAATGCACGGATGGTAGACCTCAGCACAATAAGTGAATTGAGCCAACACAGAGGCTTCGCACAACACTTTTTTCAGATGAATACCAAGGTAGTGTCGATGAGGAAACAACATCCTCCGATGATAATAAGCCCTGGATATACAGTTGGAGACATGCTTCTTATAGCGAAAACTGTTGTCCATAATCATACCCAAATTCTTTACCTCACTAACCAAAGGAATGTTACAACCATCAATTTGCAAATCAATACTTTCCCGAAAACCATTACATATAGCGGAATTTCCAAAAAGTATAGCATTGGATTTACTCGGATTAAGATGTAGACCGTATTCCCGAGCCACTTTATGAATGTAATCAAGGTCTTTTTGCATATTCGTAATACCCAACGCGAAGTCGCGTGGGTCAAAGGAAACATACATCTGCAAGTCATCCGCATACATATGGTACTCACAATGATTTAACCCCCTAACGATTTGAGATGTATATAAAGAAAATAGAATATTCCGTAAAATAGTAGCTTGTGGTACACCTTTGCTCAAACAGCGAAATTCAGACAAAGCATCACCGATTCTAACCGACTGATGCCTATTACTTAAATAATTTTCAATTAAGTTTAAAGCGGATTCACTGAAGCCAATATACTTTAACAATTCCACAAGCAAGTCATGACAAACACTATCAAATCAAATCAAATCTGCGATAAGCAGTTAAAAAGGAGCTGTGCCAGCATCAATCCTTATGGCAGGCCTTTCTTAAGTTTTCTGGGTGAGCTCACATCGGACACCGTGATAACTCGGAATGTTCTGTTATTCAGCATATTATTTAGCCTGTTGATTTACATGGAAGGAACTTACAAATCATGCCTTCTCTTCGTAGTGTCGCAGCCGACAGATAAATAGTCAGAAGTTTTGAGCTCTCTTTAACATCTAGTTTAAATATAAGTTGAAAGGGAGAGGATTTGGTCAATACAGTTCCGTTTTGGTCTGAAACTTGCCTGTTCGATTGATACATCAAACACTTTCTGTAGCCCTTAAGTGAGTTTGGTATTGCTGCACATATTTCTTGACTTTAAAATAATGACACAAATCAGCAAAATAACATCGTAACACTGCGAATATGACCAATGGAAGAAAGATAACCTTCATGGAATATTATTCTTAAACTCAACAATATTTTAAATGTGTAAAGAAAATTTTAGAAAATCATTATTACTCGATAAGTAGCAATTAGAGTAAAGGAAAATCTATATTTTTTATATTTTAGTTTTAACCGGTTTCGGTATTAACCATCATCAGAAGACAGCTCGGTAAATTTTGAAAATCGGATTTCTTAAATTTCATTACACAAAAGGCCGTATATAATCACTTGGGATCGTTGATTTATCAACCATAAATAATACTTAACGAATGGATGTATCGATAACGTCTTTTATGACTTTGCATAATTTCATTTTGATTTATATTCCATTTATTGTAGTTATAAAAACCACCCTCACAAAGTGTTTTTTACACAACGACCAAATTCAAAGCTGATATGAAAATTATACATATAGTGATTGTAAATAAGTTAATAATTACTTGAAATACAGATAATAGTTATTTTTATCGAACTTCTTAAGAAAGTGATAACATTGTCAAGTAATGTGTTAATAAGCTATTAATATTTCGTTGGAATAGCGTTAAAACTATTATTTAATTTACTGCTCTAACTTTTATGAGGCTTAACTTCGAGTTTAATTAAGACTGACTAATTTTTTTGTAATTTATATTTAGCCAAAAAAGTTCCCACGAATTAGTTGTGTTTCTAGTATACGTGATTAAAATTACACCGCGTGTAGCGATTAAATCACGAACTCAAACAAAACTGTTAGAAACCGATAAAAACATGTCATAACTGCCACTTGTGATGGATTAAAATGCGCAACGAGTGTTTAAACACCATTAAAAAAACGGGCGATAATGTCAAAACGTCGTTTACAAACTATATTGGAACTAACTGTTGGGTTCGATACGTTTATTTACTTTATTCTTCCCGGTCGCTACCTCGAAAAAGCAGATGAAAAAACTTTGTGATATCGATTTATGATCTACAAGATACTCGATTGCTACAACGACGTATTTTTTTTTCCGGGAAAATTGTATTTATTAATATATGTATAGGCCATCCGTTGTGTATACAACGGATATGATAAAGTTTATCGATCGTTTTGAATGAGTTGTTGTAAAAATTGTGTCAAGATTTCGGAAAATTATTAAAATCAATTTCATGTAATTTAAAAAACATTAATAAAGTGTTATGAATAACATAATATTTATTTTATATTCAGTAGTAAATTTTTAGGTAGTCCCCAATCTTGGTTTTACGATTGCTTATCTTGCGTACTTTATATCGGTTCCCTCGTTCATACATACCTGGGAACCGTGTGTAAATAAAATCAGTATTTAACGTATCGGAATCGTTGTCGTGCACTTTTTTATTCGATCCTTTCTATTCGTATCACAGCCTAAAAAAATTACAGAAATTTTTTTTGTATTCTTTAATAAACATTCGCCATGCGTTAAGTGACGAAAACCGTTTTTAAAATATGCACTGTATCTCGGACAACAACCGGCAGTGTTTGTTGTGACGTGAGCCGTAAATGTTTGGATATCCTGATTGAATACAGGCCTAGAACATTTCGAATTTGATTATTTCCAAACGTTAAGTGAACCTGAGAGCGTCGATTATGGTTTGAAAGTTTTCTGAAAATTCGCACCGAGTTAAGTAATGATTCAAAAAAATTCCACCTTATTTTGAAGAAATGTAAACAAGAAAGTATATGAAGAAAAACTATGAAAAACGAATGGTTTTTTATCTCGTACTTATTTTTGAGTTTATTTGGGTTGATATTATCTCAAAATCATAATTTTAATAACGCAGGTAAGTTATTTTAGTATTTATTTTTAATTTATCAATGTTTAATTAATAATTAATTTATATACATATACATTTTTTATTATTATTAAAAAAATATATTAAAAAATTATTTTATTTTTAAACTAAAAAAAACGTATTAAGTATTTTTTTAAATCAAAAGAATTTATTATAACAATAGCAACCCGCAAAGATATTTTTAGGACAAGATAATATTTACATTTCTAACATTTACATTACATAGAATAGAACTTAAATACTGACCTCAATAAATAATAGCACCATGATAATTTGCAGAAAATATAAATATTATTAAAAAAAAATGATAAAAAATTAAAAGTGATGATTTATATTTATTTTTAATAGATGAGTAAGTTTAAACAGATAAAAAATATATTTTTAGAGTTTTTGATAGGCAATTATATTATATTATTAATTATATATACAGAGTATATCTGAATGGCTTTGCCAAACTTTACCAACGTGATGTATGGAACAAAACTGTAAAAATAGTTCCTATAAACATGAGTCTAAAAGTCCTTCCTTAAAAAGTTACGCGCGAATTTTAAAATTAATAGAAGCTAATAATTATTAGCCATTCCTTTTTACTTATCAGACTTCATAAGTCTTCATTAAATGGTTTTCTTCCATAAAAAAATCACTACTATTACTGGTTGACGGAGATGTAGTCGAACTTTGCAACTTGGCATTTTGGGTAACTACTCGTACGTGGAGTTGGCTTAGATTAGACACTGACGATACATCATGATATTTGTATTGTGCTAGTTTTCTGACACTAATTTCGACGACGTTCATCAAGCAAAAGTAGCAACCATCTACATGATTTTTTGGTTCTCTCCATTATTATTATTATTGCTGCCGGGCTGAAGGGAGCGACCCCTCTCATTACCGCGACCTATAAGATCTATTGGAACTCAAGCCCTCCAAAGGTTTAGGGTAAATGTAGGTCCTTGATGAACCTTAATATTGCTCTGAGGTCTTGAATCGTTATGTCGGTAGGTGTCAAGAGAGTTTTACCGAAAATTTTGTGTATTAGACGGCCTCTGGCGACGCAATTGCACAGTATGTGTTCAGCTGTTTTTGACTTGCTTCTAAATATGACCTTATACGGCTGGTTGAAATTGTATTCTGTCGGTATAAGGTCCGTTTCAATTTCAATCAGGTGATTTAGACATGGGTCTTCAGAGGATTTTGAGTCCTCTGAGGTTGCCCTGCATCAACTTGAGTGAAGAAACTATTTTCGTGATAAGGCACTTGAAGCTGCCTCCTTTTGTATATATAAATGGAGCGGTGTGAAACCGAGTAGGGCTTCCAAAGCAGCCGTCGGACAGGATCTCATTGCACCCGTTATATTAAGACATGCTAACCGCTAGATTTGTGCCAGCTATTGTTGTGCTGTTTTATGTTTTGTTTTTGGCCACCAAACCAGTGAGGCGTAGCCGACCATGGGTCTGATTATTGCTACGGAAACCCAATGAGCCATTCCTTGTGTGAGATCCCAGTTCCATCCTAGGAGCCTGCAGCAGATCTGGTTTGCCATGATAGCCTTTTTCCTCACCTTATCTAAGTGTGAGTTCCAGTTTAGTTTACTGTCTAGTATTATCCCTAGGTATTTAACTTCTGTTTTGAGGTTAATAGTTCTGCTTTCAATGGAAGGTGATTTTATTTGTGCCTTCCTTCTCCGAGTGAAAGGGACTATTTCGATTTTATTTAGTACTTGGTATTTTTACACCAAGTACTGGTGAGTAGTAGGGCTTTCTGCATTAGTTGAGTTATGATTGTATTATATTTACCTCGGATTGTGATTACCAGGTCGTCAGCATACACATACATAGGGTGTTCATCAAGTCATCAACTACCAAGCACCATAATAGAGGTGATAGCACTCCCTCTTGGGGACATCCTCTTAGCGCCTTTATAGTCAGCGACTCGCCTCCCACACTGGCTGTGATCTGTCCACTTTTCAACATGTCTATACACCATTTGATTGTCGACGGATGTATATCTTTTACGTGTAGAGCCTTCTCTATGGATTCATAGGAGGTGTTATCAAAAGCACCCTCTATATTATTATCAGTAATTGTTGATTTTGCTTTCTGGTAAGCATGTTGGCTAGGATGGAGTGAATTAGTAACAAACACTCCATTCCTAAGATATTGATCGATTACCTTTTCCATCCCTTTGAGGAGAAACAATTAAGTTAGGCTAATTGGTCTGTATGTCTTGGGCTCGGCGTTTGAACGCCTATCACTTTTAGTTATGAAGACCACCTTTAGTTTCCTCCATAGTGTGGGTATATAGCTAAGGTTGTAGCTAGTTACATATATGGATATTATTACTGGGAGCAGGTCTTCTAAGCCTTTTTGCAGAAAAATAGGCAGAATACCTTCTCTTCCAGGCTCCTCTTCTGAAACCATCTCCTCTTCCTAAAACATGCCGCCACATTTCAGCCTTATTGATATGGAGTACTTAAGTATTACTTTTCCGAATCTTTAGATTGGCAGAGATAGGCCAGTTGCTTGGCCACCACCTTCATACATTGGAAGAACTGCGCAAAATCATAAATAAATGATGTAAAATTTGTACTTTGTTATTTTTAATAAAAATTGTCATTGATTAAGAAAGCATTTCTAGACACATGCTTATAAGAACTTTTTTTGATTTTGTTCCATACATCACTCTAGTTGTTTCGTAGTGTTAGTTCTAGTTTTAGTTGTTATTCAGCCCAAATTGTTGTATATTTTTATTGAACTAAAAGTAGAACTAACTAATACAGAATGCATTGGTGTGGATAGCTAAGTTTTACAATTTAGTAAATTTTATAAATTTAATAGAAATTGGATCAAATATAAAATAAAACGCGTTCGTCCTCAATTTGTTCTTTGTTTTATTTATATGCGGTTGTTTAATGTCGTAAAAATTTTACGATCCACGGTCGATTTGGATTTATTTGACGCGAATACGTTCGTTGCAAATTTACGCTTTACGTTGTTTACATTTTCATTACATGAAAATAGATTTACTAGTTATAAACAATCTAAAGCCGTTTACTTACTTTTTTTACAACTTTATTTACATTAAATTTCAGAATTAAATGGATACGAGAATGTCCTTCCCAAGAAAAGTATGCCACAATTCGTATTAATTAAACAATTCAACGGAACGACTGTCACATTAAATTGTTCGATATCCCATTGTAACCATAATCGGAAATATATTAAATGGGAAATTAACAGATTGGGGAATTTTAAAGGAGAATGGAAACGAGTTCCTAATAATCAAAGCCATATAATTCCCTGCCTGGGTAATAAAAAAATTTCAAATTTAGAAGTTAAAATAGAAAACAACACTCAATATAGATGTGTTAATAAGAATTTAGTAGTAAAAGTATTCCAACTAGAGGTTAAAGGTAAGCTTTTTTTATTATAAATTATAACTATTAAAATCAATTTAAGATAAAATTAAATTTTTTGGTTATTATGAAAGGAATACCTATTAGTGTAAAAGATTATTTATTATCACTCTGATAGATAACAAAATTGTTTAATTGATCGAGTTTTATCTGTATTACCTTGTCGTATTGGCCCTAATCCGAGGCAATATATCATTTGTCACTCAGATAAAATTCAAAAATATTATGTTGAGATTTTAAATATATGTGATTTTGTTCAAATCAGATTAAAAAATGATTTATTACTATTTTAAATCGTTAACCGAAATTTAATCATCAATCTTTATTTTTAGAACCAAAAAAACCGTCCGTTTTGGAAATTACCCCAAATGTAATCACCCCAAAAATCAACTCTCAATTAATTCTTCAATGCAAAGTGTACAGTTCAGTACAGCCTTTAGAAATATATTGGTTTAAACAATGCGATAATTGTAAGAAAAAACTCATGTTCAACAGTACTGGATATATAAGAATAAATACCAGCGATAATGATAATGTGATACAAAGAGAACTCAACATCTACATTAGCAAGCTGCAAATTTATAAAGTTGGCCCTTTGGATGATGGAGTTTACGCGTGTGTTGGAGTAAATGCGAATTATTACGACGTTAAAACTTTGTCTGTTAGTATTCAACATCAATACAATTGGGAACCTCACATTTCATTTTCATTGTTATTCCTAATTCCTTTGGCTTTCGCTTTGGTTCCTATTACCGTTTGGCTGTGTTATTATAGAAATAGACAAAAACAACATCACAGAGTTGTTTTCCAAGAAAGGAAGATGTATCTTAAAAGAAACAATCCTCAAGTACCTATTCTGTAAAAATATTATGTATTTTTTAAGATGTTAACTTATAAATTGATTTTATTTTTAATAAAATGTTAATTGTTCGTTTTTTTTTTATTTTTGTTGTATTTGTTATCCTTCCACAATTTACATACCGATCAGTTATTTTCTACGCAGTTAAAGTAAATTGCAAAATATTTATTAAAAAGAACTTAACTCAAAAAACATGGTGCTCCAAAAATTTTTAAATTGATTTGAAAGAAAATAAAAAGGATTTTATTATGTATTATCAAAAAAATAATAACAAAATATTGTATAAATTATTAATAATTAATTAATGCGTAATTATAACATAAATTATTACTAGCAAAACTAATTTTCATTAAGACATTATTAATTATAAGCTTACATATATTTTAAGGGACACATTTTTTGAATAAGTTTATCAAGACTTTTTATACTCATTTCGACATCAATTAAACCTGGTTTTTCATTATTAGATAAAAGATAAGGTGGAATTTTGATGTATCCAATAGTTACAGGTTTAATTTCCTTTAATGACTACAAAAAAAAAAAAGAAATATTAGTAAATATTTATTTATACAGTCAAACATGGATAAGTGAGACACTTTTCAAATCTCTCTTATAGAAGTGTTTTAGTAATCCCAATTATAAATCAAATCAAATACTTTATTAATTAGAAAAAATAATCCGTTATATCCGGTTGTAGTTTTTTAGAAAGACATCATTTGTTTCTTCTCAATCTCAAACAATGAGTGTAAAATATTTACAGTTTTTTTTACATCAGCTTTGATTATTACAGGATTTAGGATTTAGCAACTTTTGCGTCGACGAAAACACGTGCGATAAGATTAATCAAATTATGGAATTAATCAGAATAATGGTGTTATAATATCTACTATGCTATCTATGCATCAGATAATGGAATTATTATCAACAATCTGAAAATACAGCTGCAGGCTTTGAATGAAATCAAGCAACTAAAAAATTAAGTAAACTCATAGGCACAAATGAAGCATAGCTGAATCCAAAAGCCTAAAAATTAGAATAAGAAAAAATGGAAAGGTTGAAAAAAAATTGGATTGCCCGAAATTAAACGATGCTAAGCCACTGTCAGTGATTTTAAGTAATGTAAATGATTGCCAGGCCGTCAAGAAGAGCTTACAAGAAGGTGATTTCAACTATAGGAATAACTATGATATTTGGAAACTAAATACTTACGGAAGACATTCACAACGAACTAAAGGAAATTCCACATTGTGGAAGTAACTCAAAACTCAAGAAAACTACCTCCAACAACAAATTGAAGCATATTAGCTAGGCATTACATCTGCTGAACTTTGGTAAATCAAAGGATATCAACAAAATCTACGATATCCAATATATCAACCACAGGAAAGTGAAGAAGCTCATTCCACAATATAAAATGACCACACAATGAGATTCTGCAGAAAACTGCAAGTCTGCGTGAAATGTGCAAGGATAAGTAACTAAAAAAGTGCACCCAAGTAGGTACAGGCGGTGCACAATAGCAATGGAGCTCCAGAAAAGAAGACATAATGCTAAAACCAAAAAAGTTAGTATCTAGCACGATAAATTGTTCTTAATATAGGAAAGGCTGACTTAACTTATACCCAGAGCATGCTACAGAGACCAGGTACCCAAAGTCAACACTTTGTTCCATCAAGATCCATGCCAGGAATTAATATTTCTGGCTTGGAGTACCAATGCTTTGGCTTGAGTACCAATGTACTATATCCAAAATAAAATAATAATAAGCCAACGGGATATATGTATTGCTGCTTGGTAGCAATACAGGCTGCAACAGTACTCCAAACACTTCCTTGAAGTTTTGAATACACAGTACATAGATGTGTGCCTCATTTCTGAGATACACATGAGAGGTCAATCCTATCTTAAAGGAAGAGGTTATAAAACATATCATACCATTCACCCCGAGAATCAAGCATAGGGTGGTCCAATCGTTTTAAAAGAATCAATCAACCACTTCGAACAATGCCATCTTCTAAAGAAGTAGCAGATGAGCTAAGAACTAACGTAAATCCAAAGAAAGCTGTAGGATTTGACCTCATTACCTCATACTGCGCTANTTATCCTTCCACAATTTACATACCGATCAGTTATTTTCTACGCAGTTAAAGTAAATTGCAAAATATTTATTAAAAAGAACTTAACTCAAAAAACATGGTGCTCCAAAAATTTTTAAATTGATTTGAAAGAAAATAAAAAGGATTTTATTATGTATTATCAAAAAAATAATAACAAAATATTGTATAAATTATTAATAATTAATTAATGCGTAATTATAACATAAATTATTACTAGCAAAACTAATTTTCATTAAGACATTATTAATTATAAGCTTACATATATTTTAAGGGACACATTTTTTGAATAAGTTTATCAAGACTTTTTATACTCATTTCGACATCAATTAAACCTGGTTTTTCATTATTAGATAAAAGATAAGGTGGAATTTTGATGTATCCAATAGTTACAGGTTTAATTTCCTTTAATGACTACAAAAAAAAAAAAGAAATATTAGTAAATATTTATTTATACAGTCAAACATGGATAAGTGAGACACTTTTCAAATCTCTCTTATAGAAGTGTTTTAGTAATCCCAATTATAAATCAAATCAAATACTTTATTAATTAGAAAAAATAATCCGTTATATCCGGTTGTAGTTTTTTAGAAAGACATCATTTGTTTCTTCTCAATCTCAAACAATGAGTGTAAAATATTTACAGTTTTTTTTACATCAGCTTTGATTATTACAGGATTTAGGATTTAGCAACTTTTGCGTCGACGAAAACACGTGCGATAAGATTAATCAAATTATGGAATTAATCAGAATAATGGTGTTATAATATCTACTATGCTATCTATGCATCAGATAATGGAATTATTATCAACAATCTGAAAATACAGCTGCAGGCTTTGAATGAAATCAAGCAACTAAAAAATTAAGTAAACTCATAGGCACAAATGAAGCATAGCTGAATCCAAAAGCCTAAAAATTAGAATAAGAAAAAATGGAAAGGTTGAAAAAAAATTGGATTGCCCGAAATTAAACGATGCTAAGCCACTGTCAGTGATTTTAAGTAATGTAAATGATTGCCAGGCCGTCAAGAAGAGCTTACAAGAAGGTGATTTCAACTATAGGAATAACTATGATATTTGGAAACTAAATACTTACGGAAGACATTCACAACGAACTAAAGGAAATTCCACATTGTGGAAGTAACTCAAAACTCAAGAAAACTACCTCCAACAACAAATTGAAGCATATTAGCTAGGCATTACATCTGCTGAACTTTGGTAAATCAAAGGATATCAACAAAATCTACGATATCCAATATATCAACCACAGGAAAGTGAAGAAGCTCATTCCACAATATAAAATGACCACACAATGAGATTCTGCAGAAAACTGCAAGTCTGCGTGAAATGTGCAAGGATAAGTAACTAAAAAAGTGCACCCAAGTAGGTACAGGCGGTGCACAATAGCAATGGAGCTCCAGAAAAGAAGACATAATGCTAAAACCAAAAAAGTTAGTATCTAGCACGATAAATTGTTCTTAATATAGGAAAGGCTGACTTAACTTATACCCAGAGCATGCTACAGAGACCAGGTACCCAAAGTCAACACTTTGTTCCATCAAGATCCATGCCAGGAATTAATATTTCTGGCTTGGAGTACCAATGCTTTGGCTTGAGTACCAATGTACTATATCCAAAATAAAATAATAATAAGCCAACGGGATATATGTATTGCTGCCTGGTAGCAATACAGGCTGCAACAGTACTCCAAACACTTCCTTGAAGTTTTGAATACACAGTACATAGATGTGTGCCTCATTTCTGAGATACACATGAGAGGTCAATCCTATCTTAAAGGAAGAGGTTATAAAACATATCATACCATTCACCCCGAGAATCAAGCATAGGGTGGTCCAATCGTTTTAAAAGAATCAATCAACCACTTCGAACAACGCCATCTTCTAAAGAAGTAGCAGATGAGATAAGAACTAACGTAAATCCAAAGAAAGCTGTAGGATTTGACCTCATTACCTCATGCTGCGCTAATTCCTCAACGCAGCCCTTGAGAATCTACTGCTCAAAAGACCAAGCCCAATAATAGGACATAGGCAAAAGCATTTAACAATAGACCAACTGCATAGAATAACCGACACAATTGAATCTGCAGCGCCTGGAGAGCGGCTTCACTCTCTGAGATTCGTACTGTCATGTTCTTCACCCCTCTCTCAAAAAGGATTTTAGGAAGGAAGACTCCTGGACGTCGGAAGGGGACTCCTGCTCCGTCCCCTTCCGGCGTTTTTGATCCATCTGTGAACATGCAAATATCTGTCTGAACCACAGCATTTTCATTTTCGATCCAGGACTGCCGCTCAGGCAGAACAATCTGGAATTGAGCATTAATCACTGATAGTGATCCCGCTAAATCTGACGGTATTAATAGCACGGTATCAGTGCTTATAATGTCTTCCGCAGCCCATTGGTAGGACATGTCGGAACAGTTTTGAGCACATTGCTTAAATCTGTAAATGGTTGTTCTAGCCACTTTCTCTATATGTAAATGCAGAGGAGATAGCTCAAGCAGAACCTCTATTGCTAGGGATTGCCAAACTGACTACTCATTGAATTCGTGAAAGTTTACTGATAACTGAAGTCTGTCGGATTTTCCTACAGTCACATAGAGCCAGTACAGTCTTTCAGGGGTAAGACCTCAAATTTTTCCACAAAGTCCACTAGGATAGTCTAGCTTTGTGCAAAACTCTATAGTTTTAACTAGTAACTCTATAGCAATACTCTAAAGCACCTATTTATATAAACAGCTTTATAAAATACAGACAGATTACTACTGATTTACAATCAGATTCTGAAACCAATATGGCACTACACAAAATATTTCAAAATAAAATGCTACATAACATAGTTAATGTCCCCTTGCATGTGCGACGTTTCAGTATACATAGAGAAGTCCGGATTCCAACCTTTAAGAAAGAAGTTAAAAGGTATGATGAAAATCATGAAGTTGTATTTCACTTCTATGACAACGTAAAGGATCTTCAACCGCTGAACAATCAACGCCACATTGTTAAACACTTTGCGAAAACTGATGAGAAGAAAACCACAAGATCTTGTTTAGTGTATTACATATAAAAGCAAAGCACAGTGTGTAAAAACAAAACTAGAAGAGATTAATGAATAGACTCTAGTGAATAAGTATATCGTTTTATAGATAAATATTAATGGTTAGTCTACAAGACTACTGGAATTACCAGCACACTTTTATTTAAAAAAAAATTTTTTTTTTGATGACCTCACAGTCGGCTGACAAGTATAGACCGGTTGTTTATACTCTGTTTATACTCATACTTGTTTGAAACGATTTTAAATCCTGGTTATAAAGGTTTCCCCCTTACCCATTACTCACATATCCAGGTTCGACTGTATATTAAACATAATTCCCTTACCTTAGCCATTTCCACTGTGGGGAACTCCGTGAAATTAGCTTCAATGTACCCACCAACCTGCCTTTTCATAATTACATTAGCAACTTTCAGTTGGAACTGTTCAGCTCGATGATTTAGTTTTTCAATTTTTTCGTTTTCTTCAATAAAATGATTCCTCCAAGCTTCTATTTTATTAGTTGCTTTATAAATTGGTGGAAATACTGGATGAGATAACGTATACAAATAATCCTAAAATGAATATTGCGAGAATTAACAATTAAATAATGATATTAAAAAATTACTATTATTAATTTATTAATTATTAATCTTACCTTCTCCAACAAATCACCTTCCTTAATTAACATATCCAACTCTTTATCTTCTTTACTTTCAAATACAGGCAAAGGTTCCAATTGATCCAATTCTTCTTTAAGTTTAGCCGTTTCTAAATCCAATCTTCTTTCACGTTCACGACGAAGCATTTTACGTAAATTATCAATTTCTTGTAATAAAAGTGGTGAATCCTTAACAACAGCTGGTAAAGTAGGTCCAATAGATTGGAAGGAATTTTGAGAGCTAGATGTGCTCGAATTCTCATTTCTCTTATAAACCTTCAATATTTCCTTCATTTTAGCCTTTTCATTTTCAAGCGAATCAATATCGGTTTGAAGATGATCAAGAGTATCTTCAAATTCTTTCTCTTTCTTCCTTAAATTATTCTGCGACTCTTCGATTTTCCTTTGCAATTTTTCAATCGTTAACTCATAATCTTTATTAACGTTTCCAAATTTCTTTTCTGCGAGTTCTTTACGAATCGTCATTTCGGAAAGTTGTTCTTGTTTCTCTTTCAACACTTTTCGAAGTTCTTTATTATCGGATTCTTTGTTTTCGAGTTTACTGGTGAGCGTTTTGATTTGTTCCAATTCTTTTCTGACGACTTGCGCTCGTTGTTGTACGGGAGGTATTGGTTTTTCTTCGTTTTTATTGGCCGTGGCAATTTCGTATTCATTATCTTGGAGAAATTGCGCGGTTTGTGTTAATTGGTTCAAAATAAGCGATAGAGAATGTTTAATGCTTTGGATTGGACCTAAATCGTCTTGTTCGTATATTTTATCGCTGGCGTTTATGGCGAGGTCTTTCATTTTATCGGGGGTTAATCCTTTCTCTGATTCACCACTTGAATTAATTGTTTGAATTGCGTTTTTGATAATATCTTGTAAAGTTTTTAATACTTTCCCGGTGTGAATATAACATTGATATAAACCATCATAAGTTTCTTTTTTTAATCCTAAGTTTGAAACGGTTGTATCTGGTGGGATTCTTCTTTTAATTAGCTTTAATTGTTGTTGCATGGATTCGGCTGTCATAATAATGTGTTGTGCTAAATAACCAATATCACCGATATTAGCACCATCTGTAAGATTTTTTATTATTGTTGCATCAACTGTCATTGCTTCGCAAGCGATTGTTAAAAACTTCGCGTTATCACCCAGTAATTGAGTATGATTTTGTGCTCCATCAACTGCAAAGAGAAGCGGATACATCGTGTAAAAATAACCAGCACACTTTTCTAAGGGCTCTGTTGGAATATTTTCATCTAATTGATCGCGTTTTATCAATTCAACAAATCCGTCAATTATTTTTTCTTGTCCAACCATCTCAGGGAAAGTTGCCCCAACTTTTAATAAAGTTTCTGGTTTTGATGTATTTAAAGCATGAATGTATTGACGCACAATCGACTAAAAAAAATTATGTTTAATATAAACTTAATCATATTAATGTTTCACAAAATTACTTGTAAAGCAAACATAAAAAATGATAAACGACAACGGAAAGTGTATTGCTCAATATTGTGACCTTTAACTATTGCTGATCTATCTAATTTTTCAACTGTTGGAAATTTATCTTTTATTTGTCCCAAAAGAATTTCAGTTTTATAAATTAATCTTGGCAATAAAAGTAGAACTAATACAGCATCATGATCACCTAAAAAAATATAATATAATTATTAATAAGTTCAGAAAGCAACAAATTTGTACCTCCTCTATTCATAAAAGTATCAGGCATATAAGCACTTAAATACTTAATGTGTTGTTGTAATTGTTGAACTTCGACTCTACGAAGTTCCAAATCAATAGCTTTAGTATGAGCTTTAGTTTCAATAAACATCTTTTTGAAATCTAAGATTTCAGGAAGAGTTGTTATTGGTTTACTAGTTTCTTTTTCTAAGCGATGTTGAAGATCTAAAGATTGTTCTTGTAGTTTGTGTACTAACTCCCTAAACTTGTTAATTGTTGATTCTCGATCAGCAATCGTTTCCATAGCTGCATCTCTTTCCCTTTTTGCTTCTCTTGTACTAGCGTGAGCCATGTCGAGTTCTTCGCGAAGATCCATCTCTAATTCAGCATTACTTTCGACTAATTGATCGTTCATGTCTTGTAATATTTCTAAATCGGCGATTTCTTCTTCAAGTTTTACTACTTTTTCTTCAAGAGTTAACTTTTGGTCGGCTAAAATAATCACCATTTCTTCCGCACCCAAAGCGGCGTCAACCTAAAAATAATTTCATGAGTAAAAATAACTTAAATAAGGAAGAAATTATTTTTAACTTGTTCTTGTAAATCGCCGATTTGTTGCTCCATAGCTTCAACACGAGCACTAAGTTTTTCTTTAGTTCTTCCCAATTCGGCAATTTCAGATTTTTTCTGATCCATATCCTTCATAATTTTTTGATATTCGTGTTTATCGTGCGCTGAAAGATCGCGCATTTTCACCAAAGTTTCACGTAATCTTTGATTTTGTTGTTCGAGTTGTTTCAATTCGTAAGTAGACGTTGATTCGCCACCACCAGACGTTTTATTTTGCAATTCGTTCTTTAATATTTCCAAATCAAGCGTGACTTCTTCCAATTTTTCCTTGCACACTTCCAATTCTAATTGCAAAGTTTCAACTTTTTCTTCAGCCATTTCTTTTTCAACGGTCGCCATCTCAACTGCATCACTTAAATCGGCCATTTCATCAGCGTGTACTTCCTTAGCTTCGATCGCATCTTTAGCTTCTTGTTTTGATTTTTGTAATTCTTTTTGTAAATTAGCATGCGATTCCATAATTTTCGCTTTAAACTCGACTAATTGTTCAAGTTGAATTTTTAATTTATCGAAATCTTTAAATCGTTCTTTATCTTCTTGACGTTTCACTTTAAGAGTATCCAATTTTTCATTAAGATCTTTAATCTGCTGATTGCGATTATCTAATTCTTGTTGCAACTGAAGATTACTTAGTTTTTCTTCAACAGAAGTCATTGGTGTTGTTGTTAGGACTTGACCTGGAATAAATTGGGGCTTTAAAGTTTCTACGAAACCAGTCTAAAAAAGATGAAAATTTTTAAATAAAAATCGTTAAGTTTTTATAGAAAGAATTACTTCGATGAATGAGGCTCGTTTTGGAATTTGACTAGGTGCTTCAGATTCGGCTTGTTTTTCACTTGGCGATACCAATTGACTTCTGCTTTCAGCTAACGATTGACTACTTCCCAGCAAAGATTGTCTGCTACCACTTAATCGGCTGCTAGCAAGTGATATTCTAGAACTATAATATATCAAAAAAAAATAAGGTATTGGAAATATAAGATCTATTTTCTACTGCTAAATTAAAGTAAATGTTTCCAAAATTGACTTGCGATTAAATGTTTCTTTAAGGGAGAGGAAGAATTATTGTCAATCAATTATTTTAACTACTTGCAGATTTTAGTCAAGAGATAAATATTGACGTTTACCACATTGCATACTCTACATTCTCCCCGCATCAACCTACTACAAAAAAAAGCATCATAAACAGAGTGTAAATACTTAATCTAGACCTAACTAACTCTATATTTGACAGCCACAAATGCCAAATGTTACTAAAAGAAGAACTGTTTAGTTAAGCAATCATACTCAACTTACACATCTTTGAATTGCAAGCATTAAGAACGATTACATTTTTGCGCTTCCATTAAGAACATTATGCTGTCATAAAATGATATTGACTAAAATTCTCCGTTTAAATAAAATATCCAAAATATTCCAAAATATTTTAGAAAATCAGTAGAATTTGCGAAATTGTCCAGAAAATCTTGTGAAAATTCTTATAAAGCTCAAATAATCCTTAGCTAACCATGAGAATCCTCTCTTTAAATAATATTAGGCCGGTCACACACGTACAGTTTGAACTGACAGTTTGAAATGACAGTTTGAACTGTTCAATTTAAAGCCAAGATACAGGAGGTGTCTGAAAATCGTAAATTTCAAACACTCCCTGTGTATCAAAAACGAAGAGGGCTATGAAAATATGGTTCGCGCCATTGTAAGTTTCAAAAAAGTAGCTCAGGTTTGCGAAAGCCGCAACTTTCTATCTTTCATAATAACTGAGATACCCTGCAAACCCATCGAAATTTGGACACCTGTACAGTTGAGTTGAACTGAGATTGAAATATGGCCGGGCTTAGATATCTCAGAAAGCTTTAGATTTTCCTGATTTGTTCTAGATTTCCTGGGCACTCAAATGTTGTGTTTAGTTAAGACAAATCCTGACACCTTATAAACATTTTCCAAAAATCCTTAGATATATTGGGAAATTTTTAGAAATTCCTGGGTTGCCTTAGAAATCCTGTAAACTTTCTTTAGGAACCTTAAGTATTACCCAGATAACCATGGAATTTCTCTATTTAGATAAAAATAAGCCTCATAAGCCACAAATACATTCTAGAACTTCTTAAATTTGTTTGGAAATCAACTACATATCCTTAATAATCTTAGCTAATATTTAGACAAACAATGAAATTCTTGGAATTTATCTCTTTAAAAAAAATCATGCTTACACGTCCCCAATAAATTCTAGAGTCACAAATATCTTGGAAAATCCATGGAAATCTATAGGAAACCATGGAATGTTTAAAAACCTTTGGATATCTTCTTTTTATACATGAATTATTATTACATTTATCCCTAATATATACCAAATAGGTTGCAAAATTGTTTTAATATATCAGGAAAATCATAAAATTTCTTGGGTTGTGTTGATAATTCTTTGAAAATCCTTAAAAACCTCATATAAACTGTAGAAGATTACAAAAATCTTCTCTTTAGATGAAATAAATCACCTTAAATAAATTCCATAATATCTCATATACCCCAGGAAATTGCATGGAAATTCTTGGACATCTTCTCTTTAAATAAAATAACCCTGATATGTATAAAATAATTCCCAGAATTTCTTAGAAACCTCAGAAAAAAAATCTTCTCTTCAGATGACATAAATCCCGAAACACCTTAAATAAATTCCATAATATCTCATATACCCCAGGAAATTGCAAGGAAATTCTTGGATATCCTCTTTTTAAATTAAATAACCCTGATATGTATCCAATAATTCCCAGAATTTCTTAGAAACCTCAGAAAATCTTTAAGAAACCATGAATACTTTCAGATATAAAAGCTTTCAGAAACTATGAAATCATATATATCCTCTCTATACAGCGTGTTTCATAATATATGCGCAGGACTTCAGGATGTGATAGCTTGTCCAAAAATTTGAAAAAAAGTTTCTATCAACTTACCCTCTAAAATGCACCATTTTCGATCATCAGCAACAATTTTCCGTAAATGTTTGGGCTGCCATCGTCGGTGATAATTTGATAGGCCCACATTTTTTACCAAACAGATTAAACGGTGCAGATTATCGACAATTTCTAGAAGAAGTACTACCGGAACTGCTGGAAGATGTACCGCTTCAAGTAAGACAAAACATGTACTTTAAGTTTGGTTGCTCGCCAATACTTGGACGACGAATACGAGCACCCTTGGCCACTGCGATCTCCCGAACTTAATTGATTAGATTTTTTCTTTTGGGGCCAAAATCAAAATCTTCATCAATTATAGCTTTAAAAAAATTTGTTCTCCCGCAAAGCTTATTATGAGTAGAAAATGCTTACAAACGCTGTTTTCTGTACGATAAACGGTTCCGGAGATATTCGCAAAAAACGATTTTTTTTATTAAATTTCAACACCTGTATATCGAAAATGGTGCATTTTAGAGGATAAGTTGATAGAAACTTTTTTCAAATTTTTGGACAAGCTATCACATCTTGAAGTCCTGCGCATATATTATGAAACACCTGTAGAGAACATATTCCATATTTATTATAATAAGTAATATACAGGTGTTTTTAAATTCATGCTAAAGATTTCAAGGGGTGACTTTTCATCCAAAATTAAGGGGTGTCTTACATATAGCTTTTTGTTCAAAACCCCTTCTCCTCCAAGTTATGGGAAAAAATCTGCAACTTTCTTATCTCAGTAATGTTTAAATAATCTTCACCATAGTGTTTGTAAACTCGTCTTTCAACACAATTAATAATTCTCTACAGTTTATCACCTTAACTAAAACAGATACAGAAAAGGTTTCCTAATTGTAGTAATTCAAATATATTTTATACCTAATCTTGAAGGTCGACTTCAAAATTGTGGTCTTGATGTAATCATATATTGTACTATAATTTGCGAAATATTAAAGTTTTCTTTATATAATTTGTGTCGCAGTATTCTTGGGTTATTCAATTTTACATATATTCCATTTAATGATATAATTTTCTAAAATTTTATAAGGCTATAAATAAAATGAACCATTAATATGTTCAAAAAACAATTTATTTTTTTTCAATACATGTAAATTAAATAACAAACAAATATTGTCAAATGCTGGTAGTAGAATGTCACTAATTATTTAATTCCTTAATTAATTATAAATACAACAACCGTTTTTTTCTTTATTTTCACATCACTTATCCATATCAAATTTAAAGTCAGGATGTAAATATTTAAATTTGGCAATTTCAAACTGTAACCTCATCCTATCAATTTCAGTTCGTCTTTCTTCCAATTTTAATTTTTTCGCTTTCATATCGATTTTTTTATGTTCTGAATCAATAAACTCCATGACGAAATGTTCAAATCTACCGGAAATTTCGTCACGCCGATAATGATTTTCATAGGATGACGTCTCACTTAACGGGCCGTTTTTCGTATCTATCTCATCAGTTAATTCATCAGGCGTTAAATGCTGAATTTCATTTACAAGGTCGGGCGGTTCAACTTTAACCGAATCGTTCCAAGAATTTTCGGCACTCTCAAAAATTCCCACCGACTCTAATTGTCTTAAACCATCCGTTTCATCAACAACTTCCATTGACGCCGTACCCCATACAGCTAATCCTCTAGTTTCTAAATCGGTTAATTTTAATTTTGCAGTTGTACTTCCGGATCTTGTGGTCGTCTGATTTTCTTTAATTCTCCTCACTTTACACCTTGTGCTGTTTTTCCAATCATTAAAGCGCTGCAACAATCACATTGTAATGTAGGAATAATAATAAATTTTTTTGTTTTTTCGTTTTAAACCTTTCGCCATTCATCCGACGTTAATGATGACGGACCAGTATCGCATCTATTCAATTTCAACGTTAAATTGTCCCACTTTGAATGGAAATAAAGCTCGTTACCTCTTGGATTACAATTTCTAAATGCCAAATCGTTTTCTAATTCTTTCAAATAGATATCGTATTGTTCCTTTGAGGTGTTGTCGTTTCTTTTTCGCTTTGGGGGATGATCGTGCGGATATAAGCTTTAAAGAAATAGTTTTGTTTTTCTCAACAGTTCTTTTTTATTTAAATATGTAGAGTAGATTTTATTATAGCTTTGTTTTTCTTCCCAGAATGATTAAATTGAATGGTTTATCCTGTTTTTCTTCTATATGGAGGGTTTTATTCACCATTATTACACCATTGTTTGATAAAAACACTTTTTTAAAGGACGGTACACAAAAAGAAAACATTTATGTTGCACAAGGTGGGTAAATACAGGAATCTGTACTTTTAACTTTTAAATGATCACTTATTGATTCATTTCATTTCAGGTTTAAGTTGAATTAGATTTTTTTAACAGAGACAAACAAGAAAAACAAAGCTATTATGGGAGAGGATTTGCAAAAAGGGACTTTATCAATTTGGGTTTTTTTTAAGAAACATTGATGAGACATAATTGCGCGTTATAAAGGTGCAACAAAGAAACCTTTGTATAATTTGAAAAAAAAAGTTTCTGTATTGCGCCTTGTGTTGTTTAAATAATAATAATAGAAATATTTTCTTATATAAGTCAATTTTGGAAGCAATTCTTATTTTTGAAGCAATATAACCAAAAAATAAACATAAAATAAACCAATACAAAACTGATTTATCTCTACTTCTTGAATAATTAGATATACCTTGATGCAGACAAAGATGGAGGTCTTTTTTGTGGAGAAGTTTTCCTCCTGACACTAAATGAATGCGTTTAAAATGGAAAAAAGAAAGAAAAAAACGACATAAAATGAATTAATAAAACCGAATGAGCAATTATGTCTGCAAGCCTTTTTAAAACTTACGTTGTTGGCTTAGGTTTTGTTCCAGTTGCAGCTTGAGCAGGTGTACTTTATGTTTTGATAGGTATAGAAATAGATGGTTAGGTATAAATAATTTAGAAAAAGCTGTCAGTTACTTACATGCTTTGGCGACTTCGTATCTTTGATCCTGGGGTATCTTCCAGGCGTTCTTTAGGTTCAATTCGTTTCCCTTCATCATCCAATAAAATAACTTGAGATGGACGAACAAAAACCCCATAATTTTCTTCGCACTGAAAAAGAAATAAAAAGAAATATGATAATTTTATGTCACGTGTAATTTTACTGAATAACAAAAAAATAAAGAATCCTAATAAACATCTTACCTGAAAATATGTATGATTACGAATGGTGCCATTATTTTTTCCTTTAGGTTCATCTAAGATTAAGCCGATCCATCGGCCAGTTGCGAATTGTGTTTGGCCGAAATATGCAATGGAACCTTGAACATCTTTACCAATTAATTCCACCCGTTGACCGATTTTGTACGTTTCCGACATGATTTTCTTTAGATATTAGTCTTACAAAGAATCTAAGATGTCACCCGATTGTTGCTCTATTATTATAAAATCTCACCGGAAATTTCACTTTCAATTTTTGTGCAAATAACCATAACCATGGCTGATTCAACCGATCTAATCCTGTCAGACAAGTTGTTATTGGCAAAAAAATATACATCATGCATATGCAACCCTATATACAAGAGCGTATGCTTTGTTATCAATACATGAAAGAATTTAGTAATAAATATTGAATAAGTCTTATTTAAACAAAACTAATTTTGCATTATTGTACAACTGAAAAAAAAACTTAAAAGAACAGTTTTCTTCCTGTCTTCTTTTTGACTTGTATTACATATTATCAATGCTACAGCAAATCAAGACCTATACTAGGCTTGTTTTGGTTCAACACCTCTTCAGTTCGAAACACTTCTGAACCTTTCCGCGCATAAATATTACATATTTAAGTATGCGCAGAAAGATTCAGAACTGTTCGGAACATCAGAACTCTTAAACCAAAACAGACCTAAGTATGCGCAGAAAACTTCAGAACTGTTCGGAACATCAGAACTTTTGAACCCAAAACAGGCCTATTAACACTCATCTAAACTTTATTTCTTCAAATCCGCATTTAAGTATTAAATTTACAGAATACCTGACATCTTGCATTTTTACTTTTCTCGTATACCAAGTAATCAGGGTGATTTGGAAAGAATTGAAAATCTCCAAACTGGAGATACAGCATCAATGTCCCTAGTTTGGGCCATCAAAATTGAAGGTCTTAATGGAAAAAGGAAATGAGGCAATGAGACTACATCAGGATATAATGAAAAATTAAAATGTTGCAATGCCTAAATTTTAGATTAAAATTACTAAAATTAGTGTTGCAATTAGTATTGAACAAAAGTGAAAAATTATCAAAATAAAATCTTATATACAGTTAAAGTGGTAGAAATAATAAGTCACTTATAAGCAATTGTAATAAAATAAAGGAATACGTAAGAAAATAGATAAGTGTTGGTTGAGAGAAATAGAGAAAAACCGTGAGACCTTAAAAGAAGAATAAGTATGGATGGAAGAACATTTTAGTTGTTAATGGGTACTATATAGAAGAAGTTTCCAAAAGAAACTTGTCCCCAAAAACATAGCAGCAACTAGATGAGAAGATCAAAATTATGGATAAAAAATGCTGGATAGAATGACATAATTAGATACTTTGCGATTGACAAAGATGCTACATGGAAGATGATGTTTGATGATATATGATACAGTATGAAACAACGTGCAATGTAATTTTGCTAGTTACAAAGTATATAAGATGATGGTTTTTTTAAAAATGTTGGATGAAAAACATCCAATACTTAAGATATGATATGGATAAAATGCCAGAAGGAATATGATATCGTATTAAAGAACATGTTGGGTTCTAGATGGAAATAGAAAAAGAATGAGTAACTCTACATAATACGAATGCTAGATAGAAAGAGGTTGAAAACGATGCCTGATTGTTGATGGATGGCAATATGTGGTGGGCAATATAAAGCATTTTGTTGGGAAACTGCAGAAATACTGCAATAACAATAACGGTCACTATTTAAATGATTTAATGATAAAAAGCAACATTAATAAGGATGTTAAGAACACAGTATTTATACCACAAAAATTGAATGTAAAAAATTTTAAGTTTTGCTCTTTTTGAAAACGATGAAATACGAATTGGGGTATTGCAAACGTATGATTATTGATACTGCACTGTATGAGATAGTGTTGACCCTTTCTTCTGCTCCCTGTATTTTCATAGGAAAAAAAAACACCTCCTTCTAGTCACACTCTTATGCCCTTCAAGGTTTATTACCTGGATTTATTAATTTTAACTGTCTATCATGGGATTTAATCCTTGATGAAGATGGGTTGCTTTCTGATGTTGGCGGAGGGTTTATCTGGTAATGGTAAGAACTCAATTGAAGATTTATGAACAATTTTCTCTCGAAAAAGCTTCTGCTCGCAGTTTTTACAACGTCTCTACCCTTGGATTGATAGTTGTTGGCATTTCGTCCATATTTAATAACACTATTTTGTTTTGTTTTTGTCATGCTATAAGATCTCCTGTTCTAAGTGTGGTTTGAATGACATCTTTGGAATTATTCTTACGTGGTAACCGAAAAACACTCACCAAATGTGTTTTGTTTTATCATTGTCGTTGCTAAAGCTACACCGGTAAATCAGTTCACAGACTACACTATGAGAAACCCTGATATGAACTGCAGATTTCTCCTTATATATCTCGACGGCCCAGGTGTATCCACCACTTACAACAACTTAAACACTTTAATACCATAACCATACCTCAATAACTCTAATACTTTTAAAGACTCGCTAAATAGTGATATTTTGCACATTTCCTCAATACAATAGCTGTTTAAATCGGTTGCGACATAGGCTAGATATATTATTCATATATCTGGCGAATTTTGAAGTAATGAAAAGAAAAAAGGAGTCAATCGTACTGTCCGAAATATTGACTTTGAAGACCAAGTTCTGCCACAAGTTGAAAATAACACGTAAACTAGTACTCGTATCATTGCCCAGACGATAAGTACAAGTCACACATCAGTATGGAGGATAGTGAAGAAATGCCAGAAGCATCCGTTTCGCATTCAAAAAGTGGAAACATAAATTCAAGCTGATTATTTCAACAGTTCAACTTGCCCAATGTTACTTGAATAAAATTAACGACGAACCAAGATTTCCTAGGAATGTACTATTTTAATATACACATATTTGGGCTGCGATTGTTAGCAATTGTGTATTTGGACCATATTTACTGCCTGCATGGTTAGATGGTCATGTGTCATGTGTATAGCATTTTTCTGGAACATACTCTATCAGAGTCGTTTGAAAATATCCCACTTAATATTCGAAGAAATATTGATTTCCAGCATGATGATACTGCATACTTTCGATGAAATTGCTATCAAACTATCAGATTTCACCAGATATGATTCCAGTTGATTTTTGCATTTGGAATCATATTAAATCACTGGTTTATGAGACACCGTGCAGAAGAAGAGTTAGTGGATCAAATTATTGTAGCGTTTGATTGCTTTGATCTACATTCGATTGCAAAAATTTAAATTTAAAGTTTTCTATTTTATCTTGACACTGGGAAATTTCCGGACAATAGTCTATTAACAAAAAAAGTTTATTTCAGTGTCCTCTATCATTTCAGAAATAGGAATAGTTTCAGGAATATTTATTCTTTGACACTTGTATAAATCCTTTCTTGACCAATAATCTTTAAGTTTTAGCATAAACATATTACATATAATGAGCCAATTTTATTTTAATAGCCGGACAAGGTCTATAGAACATAAGGTTACCCAATACCGATTCTCCTCCTCTGAGAGGCAAGGTGGGTCAGTGACGTAGCTGGTTCTATGAACAACACAACACGATGCGAGGCTTAAATATTTTATATAGACTGTACCACAGTATAGACACGTATAGGCTATCTTTTATTTTGACTGTATCGAACCAGTGACGTCAATTTGCGGGGTAATAATCGATACTACAGAGGCATAGGGAATGAGGTAACCTTATGTTCTATAAACCTTGATAGCCGGATACAAATGGAGTTGGCAAAATTAACAGGGAGTTTTGTTTTATCATGTTTTGAAATAAATATGTCATATTGACGTTGAGCTTTCGTTATTCAAAAAGAAAAGGTGCATAAAAAATGTTGTGGGGTATTTATTAGCCATTTATTTACCTAGAAAAGGTGTTTTGTTCTATTTAATTACTTTGTAGCACGTTTTTACATCAAATATGTACTTTGTTAAAATCGTATTTATCTAAAAAATGTATTAAAATCACATCACCTATTTAGTTACTGAAAATGTTACTAAAAATCAGGAAAACAACATAAATTTTATAAGGGTCCTAGATAATACCAACAGAAACCCTAAAAAATTTCATTGACAAGGATAAAAAAAACGAACTATTTATATATAAATGATTTTAAATCGTTATCCTCTTAAATTAAGCATACCTAATGCCCTCTGTTGATTGAAACAATAAGGAATTGTGTCTACGTGATCTAGACATATTCATGCTTCTTGACAGCTGACATATGAAAAGGCAGGTAATAAGCAATTATTACAAAAACTGCTCTACTTTATGTACAAGAAATAGCAAAATATCGTAAAATTGGAGATATTAAATGAAATAGCACAATACAAATATATTTTGGATATAAGAATGTTTAAAAAAATAATATTGTACTAAATATTCGTAGATGGCACCCAAATCACTGCAAACAACTTCAAAATTTAGCGCTATAAGGTATGTCACTGTTGTATGTAAAATAGGATAAACTATTTTCATACTATTTCCAATAACAACATAAAGTTTCCATACTAAACATTTCAGTATTGATGTATTTTATTGATACAATTTATGTTAAATTTTCAGCATTAACCATGTGATTCATACTTCGTAAATTTCAAAAGTGTGTAGGACATACAAATCATATCTATGTACATATACGGACAGAAGATAAGATACAAAAATGTGATGATCCCATTTGATCTCATTGATATATATTACTTTTTTAAAAACAATACAATAGAACAATGATTATAACTGCTTGATACTAAACATTGAAAATGCCTATGAAATACACCACGGCAGGTGTAGATCCTCCTGAAATAACAACACGAAAAAGGCATAATTACAAAAAATGGATAAAAATTATAGTAATAGTATTGTAAGTATGCAAACATAATTATAAAAATTATTTTAATTTTATAACATAAAAACGTTATTAATTTTAGAGTTGTTATAATATTATTATCATTAATAATATTATTTGTTGGTGTACCTTTGGTGTTTATGTGGTCCTTTGCAGTACAAGAGGCATTAATGTTTACTAGATGTAAGTTAAGGTTTTATAGTATTAGTTTATATTTTATATTTATTTGTAGTTGGTTTACCAACCAATCCTAGTGATTTCCACATAAATCTTCCTGGGGCAACAAATTTTTATGTAACCGTACAAGACAAAGAAACCAATAAATTGTTAAGTTTAGGAGTATGGCACCTGCTTCCATGGTCTGTAGTAAACGCAACAATTGAAAAAAAAGATAACAGAACTAACCATTTAGAAATGTTGGAAAACACTATTTATCCAATTGTTATACATTTTCATGGAACAGGAGAAACGCGATTAGATTCTTGGAAAATGGGAAAACTTTTACGTTATTTTTTTCATGTGTTTTTATTTGATTACAGAGGTAATTAAAATTCATAATTATATTTCGATGGCGATATAAAATGGTTGTGTTAGGATATGGTGATTCAACTCCTGGTATAATGAGAGAAGAAGCTGTTGTAGAAGATTGTGTACAATTTTATAAGTGGGTTATGACGAAAACAAACTCAAAAATATACATTTGGGGTCATTCTTTAGGAGCCAGTTTAGCATTGCACACTGCAAAAATTTTAGGGAAACAAGGAGTGAATATTGAAGGAATTATTTTAGAGGCTGCTTTTACATCAATGTTTGAAGAAATACCGTATCATCCATATGGAAAAGTAAAAGAACAAAATTTGTTTTATTTTTTTAGTTGATATATTTTTAAATAGATTTTCGCTTGGCTTCCATATTTTAATGCAACAATACGGAAACCTTTATTAAAAAATGGATTTCATTTTGATAATGTACAATATGTGCAAGAAATAACTGCACCAATTCTTCAATTTCATGCAGAAGATGATAGTATAATACCATTAGCTTTAGGAAGAAAGGTGTTTTTTTTTAAATTGATATTTTTTGGTACATCAATAATACATATTAATGCTTTTAGTTATATGATGCATCAGTTTCACCAAATAGAACAGTGACTTTTGTTCAAGTACCTAGATCTTATGGATGTGATCATTTTTTTCTTTACATTTATCCAGATTTACCAATTTATATACAGTAAGTGCCTTTTTTGTACTTTATTTCTGTTCATGCTAAAAATTGTGTATTTTAGACAATTCCTATACGGAAATACAAAACACTGGGTACGACATTTCATTGAAGCTAAAAGACAAAATTCACGAAAAAAGATTGACAAAAAATCTGGGACAAAGTAGCATTTAATTGGAAATAGGATCTTGAAAAATGTTTTGTTTTAATTGACATTTTATAATCTATGTATATGATTATATTATTTATTATTTTATAATTTATTTTATATAATTAAATTTGATTAATTTTTTTCGTTACAAAATGATATTTATTAAAATATACATCCAATTTAAGAATACGTTTACAACCCATCTAAACACAAACTTAACAATAAAAAAAGATCTTAATAATTTTCCACCATTTCTTCATTAACCCTTTCCTGAGTTATGCTTATCACAAACTTCTTTCCATTTCCTAGAATCATTTTTTTTAATAATCACCATAATACAGATTGTGTTAAAAGTAGTGTGCCAAATAAATCTAATATTAATACGAAATTGAAAAAAAATCCAATTTCGTTGTTATGGGTTTAAACTGACTATAGCAAGCCTGAAATAAGGATCTCATAGATGCTAAATCAACAGTTTTGAATAAAGAAAATTGAAGTAAATTGTAGACGTGTAAAAAAATTATCGGTGAGCAGAGTGTAAAGAAGATAGCAACTAAGGAATTGCATAGAAAATGGGCAGAGGACTGAAAAAAATGAATGGCTTGAAACCACCACAGAACATTCATTTCTCGGAAAATGTGGATGAAAATTGGAAAATAATCAAACAAATGTTTGAAATTGATTAGGTGATGATGAAAACAAAAATTATAAAATGGTGGTAGAATCATTATCTACTATACCAACCTAACCCAAGAAGAACCAATTTAAATTTTTTAATCGGAGTGAAGGAGAATGAGAAATATTTGTCAGATAAATAACCACTTAAAGAACAGTGACGAATTATGTAATTATTAATACAAAAGCTAAGATTTAAGCTGGATATAGGAGCAGATATCAATGTACTTCCTAACATGAAATTTCAATAGGTATGTTCTACTATAAAATTAGATCATATAAATTGTAAATTATTGTCTTATGATGGAAGTTCAACAAAACGGAAACAATCATATTATAGGATTACCTGCATGCTTAAAATTCAACTTAATTAAAAAGATGGAAGTTTTAGAAAAGGGGATAGATGAAAAAAGTCTTTAAAACTAAATAATGATATATTTGTAGGTTCCGAAATATTATTCGTAGATATTATTCCATTTGTGAAACCAGCAAGAAGGTTTCATCAGATAAAACTTATTAAAATTATGCGTGATATGTTTTTAACAGATTAACAAACCTTTATTATATTTTATATATAGACAATTAATAATAATAATAATATTCACTTGTTTATGTTATATAAACAAGTCATAAAACATAATGCCATCTTGATTGGGATTGCTTTATGATAAATATAACATTTCAACTAAACTTGATAGAGATTTAGCATTATTGTGCACATTTGATCGATATAAACATCATAGATAAAATAATTAATCATTGCAGCAGATTTTCAATATCTTAAAAACAAAATTATTTAAGTACTGTTTATGAAGTTCTATTCAAAATAGAGGTAATATTATGATTACTCTTTGTTGCATAGTCATAATTTCACTTTTAACAATATGAAGTCATCTCATAGAATGGTTAAGGTACAGTTATACACTGAATTAGTAATTTTTTTGACACTCTATTTTTAGTACATTTTGTGTTTACCCAAATCAAAAATACTTACTCAATATATTCAGGCATCTTTTCATACTGAGTTACCTTCATATGTCCTAATTTATATTTTGCATCAATTAAATGCAATGTTAGCATATCTTGAGAACTTTGTAAGTGATTATTTTCTTTAGCTGAGTTATATAACTACAAAAAAAAATTTTTTCCTTATTTACTTTTAATTTTTATATTTTAACCTTACCTTTTCCCCTAAACTAGACGGAATAATTATATCATCTTCAGCATGTACTATCATAACAGGACATGTAACATTTAAAATATAATGAGTCGTCTTAAAAAGAAATTCGTTCCTTTCTAGCGGATCTCGAATAGTTGCATCAAAATATAGTAACCATGCAAAAACCTTAGAAATGAAGTTATTTTAAAATTTATTTTGTATTTCTTATTTTATTTTTTTACTTTTCCAAGAGGGTGGAGTGCAATTTCATCACGTATTGTGGTGAAAGGTGCTTCCAAAGCCAATCCTGTAGGAACTATATCCATTTCATTCAATTTCATTACTAAATGCGTACTCAAAGAACTTCCTAATGAATGTCCCCAAACATAGATTTTTGCTGGAGTTTTTGATCTCACCCATTGATAAAATTGTATTAAATCATTAACGATTGATTTTTCCGATGGTTTATTCGGCGAGGAATCACCGTAACCTAAAAACTAAATCATAAAAATTTGATCTTTATCTTATTTAGTTTAAGGATCTTGTTTATTCACCTCTATAGTCCATTGCAATTACATGAAAAAATTCTCTTAGTACAACATATGTTGGATAAGTATGTATTCTTGTACCACTATTTCCGTGGCAATAAATGATAACGTCATGTTCCGTGGAATTTAAGGCGTCATCAAAACTAAAATCTTGGTTTTCTAAAGACTCATTGATTAGTTTTTCGGGTAAAACGTGCCAAACGCCCAGAGAAATTAACGAATTATCATCCAAATCACGAAGTGTAACATAGATGTTTCTAACACCAGTGGCGCCGTATTTTTCAAAGTTATCGTATTCTGGATTTGATGGTTCTTTAACTTAAAGTATATGGATCAATTATAATAAACACTTTTTAATAATTAAATTACTTACAAGCTGGAAATATTAAGAATCTTTGAATAGAAACTGTACACATAAATATTATTGGAAATATTACCCAGATTAAAATGAAAAGAAATAGAAGAAAAGTAAAACTAAAACGATAATAATTAATAATTATAAAATTAAAAAGAAAAAACTTACAATCCAATTAAAGACCATTTTAAACATTTTTTCCATGTTTTGCAACAACAACAACCTCCACCTTTCTCGTAACTATCTTCAGAATATTTTTCTAGTATCTCATTATCTCTGCTAATCTTCAATTTAAACAAAAATTAATTACAGTAATCTCAATAATATACCTTGTTAAGTACCATTGTTAGACAATTAATTTGAAGTCGTCGAATTTGATTAAGAAGATATCAAAACATTATTTAAGTGATTCACTTATGTGCGAAATAAGGTTTGAAAATATTTTAAACCTGCCATATATAAACTCTTACAGACGTTTCCACCTGGTGTATACGTAATAATCTTGTTATCGTTGCCAAATTGGTTACAGGAATTCCACTAAACAAATTTATTAATTCAATTTTATAAAATCATAGAGCGTGGTTTTCAATTTATGTATTTATCAAAATCGGAGTATCGATAAAGTTAATCTTTATAAAAAATATAATCTAAGTAAATATAAAAATTGGAACGTTTAAAAAATATCAAAAAATTAAATGCGCTTACCTGAACGTTTTAATTAATTTTTAACTCAAAATTTTAATCATTCAATAAACACTAATCGCAACCAGATAAATGCAAACGAATACCTATAATACCGATTAAAAACGTTGAAACAGGTAGACGTTGTAACGTAACTCAGCGCATATATTATGTAATAACTTTCACCTTATCTGCGATCTCTCTTTGGTGGTGGTGGTGGTGTAGTAATATTATGTAAATAGTGAATTTAGGGGGAACAAGAAGCCACAAAAAAGAAAGTAAAATATAAAATAATTTGGTATAATGTAACAATGATGGATTATATTAAATCAATGGTTTCGGGATAATGAAAAAGTTTTAACATTAATTGAATTAAAGATTGGAAAGGGTAATGATGTATAAATACGACACATGAGATGGCACAATTGCTATAATATGAAAAGTTATATTGTACGGGATCATAGATCAAATAGTTATTAACGAAATTGCTATACATAATGACGTGTGCATCCTCTCATTGTATGCTTACATTGATATATTATCAATCTAATATTTTTTTGAAAGCCATGATCAATTTAGGATATTTGGTTTTAATCGTGCTCGAAGATTCCATATTCCTTCAAACATATATGTATTAAGAATTATGTTCTTGTGTCATTAGTCATTAGTAATGACTCATTACCCAGGTCTCCGAATCATAACTTATCACTGATCTAATAAATGTATTATAAATTTTCCTTTTTGTTTTTTTTGTTAAGATGTTTGATTTCAATTGCTTACGCAGCACAGTGGTCCATTTCATAAATCTAGGTGGACAAAATTAATATTGAAAAAAATACAACTTTTTTGGACATAATTATATTCAAAAACTCATAAAAAATGATTTAAAAGTGTTCATCACTAACTGCACGAGGGACTAAATTCTTCATCTGTCGACTCCTTCTCTGCAGTGATAGATTCCTGCTCTTGAGATGACTTGTTTAATAATGAAATTACTTCATCGGAAGTATTCTCTATTTTCTTAGGAGCAAGACCTGAAGTTTGTAATTAGCGAATCTGACGAAACTCGGTGTTGGTGATTCTAGACGTTTTTCTAGCGTGATCTCTCCGAAACTTTCGACAAGTGAAGTTTGTACACTGTTCAATAATATTTACCAGGATACACAATCCAGTGTCCAAAATATTAAAAAAATTCTTTAATACCGGAAGTGTTAAAAATCTTTCAAAAGTGAACGGCCCAAGACAGCTACCAATGATAAAACTACATTAAATGGATCTACTCATACATTATTAGTTATTCATAATTGTTGAAACTGTCATTTTTTTGACATTTAAAGCAGTCAATGGCGTTATTTCGGCGCCTACTTTGATTGTGATTTGCTAATAATATCTTCAGAAAATGCATTTTTTCTTGGTTTTTTTTCTTACAAAACCATATGATTTGATATGTTCATCGCATAGAGGGATTTATCCTCTATCAAATTATGCAAAAAACATATGCATCCCATTTAAAATAACAATGTTGGTTGCCATAGCAACGAAACAAAAAACAATACAAACAAGCAAATACCGCCAAAAAATGCGCCATGATTAATAAAAAAAAACTTGTATTTGAAACATTTTTCTTTAAAACTACAAATGGCGAAGTTGTTGGCTATATTCCAGACATTTGACACACCCTGTATAATTGAACATACAACTTAGCAGTGTCTATGGCATATTCTTCAAATGTTTCCAAATTTTTTTCAAATTTATCCACTCGCAATTGCCTTTAAACAACTGCAAACTGTTTAATTCGTTCCTCATTCACTCCTGTGATCGCACTGGATAGCGATAGATTAGAAAAAAATCTTCGAGCAGTGTTGCCATCATTACTTAACCTGGTTTGGGAATATCCACAAGTAGGCCCATTTCCTTGCGAAAGCGATCTTGAATTAATCTTTTTCGCTTGTCCACATTTTCCAGGTGCAGCAATGTGCAGCAGATATTCGGTGCATCTTATCCACGCGTGAAGACTTGATAACCCAAAATCGAATGTTCCTTCATCAAGAGGCGTTGATGCGTGTCTAACCAAGTTATTCATTTCTTTAGGTGTTGCACCACAGATATAACACTTTTGAAATGACTCTTGTGCAATAACATTGTCTGTTATCAATCATTCCATAACATACATACTATCGTGTATTCGCAATAAAGCAGTTCTGCAACCACGATCCTAACTAAACCCGGACTGACATTTTGACACCATGTTGCCACGTTTAACAAAACTATGCAGTTGAATATTCGAAATTTTAAATAAATAAAGCTAAAAGTCTGTATTATTTTCTAGCTGCTTATAAATACAACATTCTAAACAGAAATGGGTTACAAATTTTTAAATCCTTACTAATCCTACCATCAGCATTACCAACCCTACCGATTTAATCGGTTGATCTACAGATATAGAAAGTAATGTTACAGATCTAATACAGCTTAGGCTAGATAATGGGCACTAGACGGCCACCGAAATCCCATAATCACAGTGTAATCACAGAATATTAAGTTATTATTATATACTGATTTTATAACATTGATTCTACTGTCATTTGGAAACGCTGCCTACCATAACCATAGACAAAAAACTTTAAGAAACCTGTTCCAAAAAGTTGCACCCACTCCACATTAGGCAAAGCAACCACTACAGGCTTTATACTACCCTCATCATGTTTTATTGTTTTGATAGTACCTAGTATCATATTCTTTACCTGACTGCCACGTGCAAATTCATGACCATGGAAGGTCTTATGATCGTGTCCAAATTATAACCATGTGTAAATTATACAACCTTTCTTGTCAAACGGAAGACTTCGTGGGCTTTAATAGGCAATATCTACTCTAAAAGTCATCTTTTAATGGCCGAGATCTCATTCTATTTCAATTTCTTTTTGGTTGCTTTTGACTGAAGAAACGGTGTGATTTCTATAAAAATTTCCTCCGCCTGCCTTGCGATTTCTTCCGTAGTGTTTTGATGAAATCGGCATCCCCAATCAAAGTTGTTGAAGATAATTCAAAAAACATTTCTGCTTTTGAAGGTGTAAGGTTTTTAAACATTTTATTCGTTAAATCTTTTATGAAAAAGTACAATATCAAATATGAGTTTGCTTTGCAAGTTTCGGATATTAGAGCACATGATCTTTCCTTCCACTGATATACTGGGAAGAGAGAGTATAGCGACAACATTAATATGAATAGTGTTCTTCTTCTCAAAGCTGCCTTAATCAGTATTTAATAAGCCATTAGCAGCTCATTCAAAACTAGCACATACATCAACCCAAAGAAGTTTGAACCTATTTTGACAATCCTACTCAGATTAGTTTTTCTTTTTACGCTCTATTGCACAAGTAGTTAAGATGATTTAAAGTATCCCAAATGCCACGCCAACCTTGATTTTTTAAAGTAAAAAGGTGGTTTAAACAAATATGTTAAAATTTAATGCAAATTTGAATTATATCATTTTTGCCTGAACATCCTACCTTACTAATAAATATTTTAATATTCTTAATTTAGTAGATAAACACAAAAAATGGCTACTCATTACAAAAAACGATTTAAACTGCTACTAAATAGTAATGAATTTCCAGCTTCTCAATAAATCAAATGCATAACCATAAATCACCAGCAACAAACTTGTGCCAATCAGTGTAAGGTGCTAAAATACTAGAGTAGGTCACAATGAAATAACCTTATTCAGCACAATATGTAATCTTTTTTCACGTTTACAGAATCATGTTAAAAATTTAGTTCTTTTACATATACCTACCAAATATATCCAATTTAACACTTTTATAATATATTCTTGATTATTTTGAACCGTCGCTCCTTGAAATCACCGATTTCGAGAAGTGAAAATAGTCAATAGTAGAGGTACTCCCCTCAATTGAATTAGGTCAAAGTTCAATTTCCTAACGGATCTGACGTCATAGAGAGAAAAAAATCACTTCTTCCTCACACTAACAACAAAAATCCCAAATTTTCAAGGTGTCAAATTTAAAATTAGAAACTAATTGGAAATTGCAGTAAATAAAAGGATATGTCAAAAAAGAAAAGAGCTTCTGGCATAATATTATTTTGAACGTTTGATCGATCCAAGAAACCCCTGTGACGTCATTAATTTTGAACGCTGGTGGGGGTAGGTGACGGCGACGTCACGACGCCGGCACACCGTCGTCGTCGTCGGCAAATGTAACGAAGGCAGACGTGCAGGCGTCGATAATAAAGGTTTTTTGAATAGACACTGTTCGCTCGTTGGGGTCGGTTGCTCTGGGTTGGCCGTTCGTTTAACCGCGAACCAGAAGGACGAGTGAAGACGAAGAAGAATTTTTTGGCGTGGTCCGGAAGGAAGTGCATGAGGTGCCCGGAAAACGGTAGAAGAAGAGGAGAGCGATGGGCGGTAGTGTGTTGGTTTTCGTTAATGTTTTAATATTAGGAAGTTTTATAATTGAATGTAAGTATAATGACATAACATTATTATTGATGATTTATTTTACTTATGTAGTTTATTACTTTTCAAATTACTAAAACATATGAGTTGTCTTTTTTTTCCGAATTATGTTACAATTTTAGTGATTCATCACTAAAATGTTAAAGTTTTGTTGTTAACTCAAAAATAACTACACGAATTCCACGGAACAAAGTATTACATGAATGCATGGTTGAACAAGAAATAGTAATTACATTGTGTTATGTAACCCAAAATTTATTGATATTTATGTAATATTCTTTCTTTACCTAAAAGTACTAGACGATCTGTAAGCTAAAATCAATACAAAATGTTCTATTAATGAGCGTGGTTATTTTAAAATTGGTTTTATGTTAGTAGAAAATGCAATTTTTTAATTGATTTAATACTTCATTTTGTTAGTTGACGGTGATGTAAGACTACAAGAAATAGCAAAGTTAAGTATTCGCTTAACCAAAAAGGTTTCTTGCATTATTTCACTTGCTTTTATTGGGTTACATAATAACTAATGAGGAAATTTTGAAGTTGTAATACAAAGTTAAATAAGTAAATAAATTAAGTAAAAATAATAAAATTGTTAAAATGTATTAAATTTTGATTTTTAAATAAGTAATTTTTCATTAGAATACATTCTTAAAATGTTACTCCACTCGTAAATATTATGTTGTACTATCAAAATTTTAAATAACAATTTGACACAGTTTTTTTTACAAACTATGACGTAATCCTAAAGATTACATTCGGTTCGATCAAATTTTTGTAATAAATTTTAGTTTTCTTAAACAATTTACTCAACTTAAAAGATATAGTGTAACTCATATAAATTTTTTTATCAAAACTACACGGTTTTGGAGGAATCTTGAATAGACGAAAAGGAGTTAATACACTTCCAGTTATGTAAATGATATTTACTTTGCCTTCATCCCAACAACACTACAAAAAATATAATATATACATAGAAGGCCAAGGCGAAGAAATATTGAGAACCGCAAAAGCTCCATCTCATGAATACTATTACAACTAGAATTGAAAAAAACACTGTTAAAAAATAGTTACATTTTAAAACGTGTTTTTTTCTTAAAGATTTTATTTCAATATTAACAGATTTATAATTGCTCCTGTTTTAGGTCTAGCAAACAGTGACAATTCACAAACTAGCGAACATAAACCTATACAATGTTATGATTGTAATTCAGAGTACGATCCTAGATGTGGTTTGGATTTTGACAACTACACCATAGGCGTCGTTAATTGTAACGAGAAAAGGAAATTAGATCATATGAAAACATTTGTTCCCATTTTGTGTAGGAAAGTTATTCAAAAAGGTAAGTTATTATAATTCATTTCTATTCATATTAATCAAAATTAATATAATTATTTAATAATACGAATCATAAAAAACGGAAAACTTATTATTAGGAATTTTGGTTAAATTTGTAGTCAAATCAAGATTCTCAGTGAATGCTTACCTAAATTTTGCTACCTTGAATCCCACAGATATATGATTAAATCCTGTAGGTATATATAGCTATTAATCCATATTTGGGCTCCCTTGGTCCGAAAATAATGGTAGTCTTTCCATATTGACATTTCACCAGAGCAAGGTGAAGGTTATAACCTTTTGAATACTAGGTGGAGATGGTGAAGTTGTTCATTCCAGTTGTTGTAAATGATAACGTCGTCTAAATACGCATATTCTGTGGTACCTAGAAGATATTCCGAAAAATGTCACAAATTAATATTCTTCATTCCTAGTCCGAATGCTATGGCTTGATTTCTATAGTAATTTGTTATAGCTATTCCTATATTATATTAAGATTGGCAAAAAACAACGCAGAACTTTTTGTCTTCCGCATAAATTATATTTGTTCATTAAACAAAGCACATAATTCAAAGCCACGGAGCACATTGGGGTGCCAAACTTCTATATTTCAGTACATTATAGCTGAGACTTCGTA